ATGCATGGGGTTACATTTAATTGGTATTATTTTATTGTGAAAGTGGAAACCGGAAGTTTGGGTATAAATTAAAATCTGCAACCATGACACACCTACGATGAATTTATGATTCTTATTTAGATCTTAATTATTATCCTACTTTTGGTAATCAATACAATTTATATACAAATACTGACAACTACCAGAAAAAGGGTTTTTTTCAGGGTATATATTTCGTGTCTGTAATTTTCAAAAATATACAGTATTAACGATATAATATCTAAAATTCGTGAAAAGCCTTTTTAGAGATCGGTTAATATACACACATTGGCGTTTTTATTAAAACTTTCGTGTTTATAAGCTTGAGTTGAGCGCTGAGTGATTAATTATTTTTCTGTTTCAGGATCGTGGCCGAGAAGCGCATGCGCAACAGCCGGTTATAATGTGAGCGGCGCACGAACACGCGCGTCTTCCCTCAAGGTAAAAACACTTTATTTTTTAAACTTTTTTCATGAACTTTACGTCTCTTTCACTAGCCGCCAATTAAAATACAAGTTCACTGAAATCGCAACAACAACTGTTATTATTTGTTAATTTTCCCTTTTTTGTAAATATTTATTTCGCCCTTGTCTAAATCTGGTTTAAACTTGATTTTAATCAGACTTGTTAAGGCTGACAATGATTTAGTAAAACAAGTCCAACAACACCGCTTGTTCAGGTTCACCTTTAAGATTATACCAGCATTTTAATTATTCGAAATACCTACCAACTACAGACCATTTGTTGTCTTCCTCTTTCTTACTAGACTATCCTATTTTTTCTTTACACAAAGTTTGAAACAGTATAAGGTGGTAAGTATAATAAAGGAACGTACTTCCACGTTTAAAAATACTTTATATTTTATAAATTCAATTGATAATTGCATTTTAGAAGTTTTGGTGCGAAAAACATACACTCTCAAGTATAATATTAGTTTGGATTTTGAGGGCAGCGTAACCATGAGACGTGTATAATCGAAGCAAAGTTCGCACCGTCTCGAATGGGGCGATCATCCAAAAATACACTGATGACATTACGATTCTCATTTTAATACTGTCCATTCAACTTTCCAATATGAGACACTTTTTACTTATTTGACATATCTCAAAACAATACATACATACATATTTTTCTATAAAATAAAACTTAAACTAGGGATATCTTGAATCGCTCAAGAATCAAACAATCTGAATCTCAAATAAATTAAGGAAATAGTTGTATTTGTAATGTAAAATTTTAGTATTCTAGCTTTGTTTTCCGAAAGTAAGCAACGTTCTTGAACATGTCTGTTAACTTAAATTAATGACGATCGAAATAAATAAATGTCGATCACAATACTGGTATTTATTTTACGTCCAATAAACTAAATTTACTTTACTATTTAAACAGGTTATTACTGTCTATATGTACGAGAATGATAGGATAAAACAATTAATTCATATTTAATACGCATACTAACAGCGTTTAATAATAAAATGAAAACCTTTAGTTAAGGAAATTGTCAAGTATTTATTATTTAAATGACATAATACACCTCATTACCAAACAGGAATTACGTTTGTACCTCGACAGTTATTTGTTTAACTTCAATTAGTAAGCTTCTGGGGAAAGCTTTAATTAGCATTAACAACATACCACATTTCGAACTGTTCTTATTTGTACTTACGGGCACATTTTGTAGCCAAATAAACTACTAATCAAATCCCATATATCTATACAAATATTATAAAGAATAAACTTCGATGTTTGTAACGAATAAACTTAAAAACCGACCGATTTCTTGGAAATTCTGTCACCACCCCTCGTAATATTAGTTTGTATTTATTTCCAAAATATTTAGGGTCTGTTTCACAATGTACGGATAAGTTCAACATAAGTTCCAAATTAGCTATTTATTACTTATTGGTAGGATAAACACTATTGTTGCGTTTCACGACTGTCAGATAGCGCTATTCGTCACATAAAGTCCATCATAAGTTATGGGTCGAATGAAGTGTCAAATAGCCCAATTTATCATCCAAATAATTTATGTGTTGCATAGCTATTTGGTACTTTATCCATACATTGTGAAACAGACCCTAAAACAAATTAATGTACTAGCAGTAGTTAGTTGTGCGAGGCCGGTACAGCCCGCTAGTTTTTAATAAAAACGATCCTACATTTGCTTAAAACAAGAGTTAAATTGTGATTTACCAAAAAAATGTGAAACTTTGTTGTCTAAATGACATCGCTACTTGCGAGTTAGCGCCATTTGCTACCTAACTTTGTTGTTTACTTGTGTACAATGTAAGTAAATTCCACAAATTTGTCAATTCGTATCAAAGTGAAATGATAATAGGAAAACCTAATTATGATTTCTAGTAGACTAAAAAACTGTATTATCAACAATATTATTCAGAGGCTTTGTATAAAATAGTATCTTTTATTGTTCACTTCACATTCTACAGTTTCATTTTTGTGCATAAATAAAGTCTCTTTGACAGTTATTGAGTTACTTAACCTTCAACAATTGCCTGATGCATTTCTTGAATATCCTGTACAAAACAAACATTGTGCGTTACTTCATAATATGCAAATTTGACCGACATCGTGGCTGACCAGTTAGCAGTAGACACTTTCACGACATCAATGTTTGGTCATTACCATACAATAGGCATTAATGGTTTAGCTATAAAACTTAAAACCCATAGGTAATTTATTTCTTCGTCATAAAATTTTATTCGATAAAAATAATAATTGATCGTGTTGAAATACAATTAAATGAGATTCCAATCAAACTGATGATTTTACAATTTATGTTGTCACCCTTTAATTCTACTAATCACCGTTTAGCATTAAGCATTAACTAATTAATCATAAAGCATTGACTACAATTACGTTTAGAGTTTCTTAAAATATAATTTTAAATCTTCGCCACACAAGCGATTTCAATATTATGTTTTAGTATTAGAATATTTACCTGTATCTATGTAAATTCTACTTTTTATTACTCTGCTACAATACAATATTTCATCCCAAAAGTCCTTACCAAAACAAATAAAAGCTTGATATGAACGTTAAGACCATCTGTATACCACCTGTCAGCCCTAAGGAGGGTTGATGTTTGGCCAAGCGTCACCGTAGAATGTCCGTAACTCACGCTCCCCTCCTAGTCCCCACTAGTCTAAAGTTGATTCACGCATTCATTTTAATTAGAGGAAGTAGACATATCGAAATAGGTAAGCGCATTAGAGTGCATTGAGGATAAACAGCAATGCGCCTTTGTGGGGAACGATCACTCGTCACGCGTGTCACTCAACCGAGCCTAACTGGAACGAGTAATTAACGATGGCTATCCTTTCAATTTCTTATTCTGAATATTCTGAGAAGCACTCGACTCGAGTAAGTGGAAAGTTATTTGTGTGCAACCCTGTACTACCTCTGCGCCCGCGCCGTTCCGCGACTGTCGTCTCGTTCACGCATGCATGTCAAGGTAGGGTTCAACATTCGAGGATCGTTCGTGCTAATAATACCTAATAACCAGGATTATCCCAAGTGTCTGCAATTTGTTACAACACTGCTTTGTGTCAAGGCAGTGCCGTTATCGAGGGTGGATTAATCAAATGAGCTCCAATCAGGCATCTATTGAAACACGGTCAAATCCCGTGAAGCACTTCCGCGTGCGATGCGCGGGCGCCTGGTGCGATCATTGCCAGATGCCGGCGATAGATCGCGGGGTCAACAGCCAATGCCCTTGTTTTATGCACTAAATTATACGTTAATGTACCAGATTGTAATAATTTGCCTAAACTGTGCTCATGACTAGGGTCAAGGGAAACATTATTTACACACTAAAATTATCAAAGTATATTTAGTCAACAACTTTTTCATTTTAGTCAACTCATTTCATTTATATATACTGTACATTTCAGAATATATAAATACTAATATTTTGTAAAAAAAAATAATCTTATTATATCTTTATAATCTTTTTACTACCCTTTCATTCAAAAATTACTAGACGTGTGATAATTATCCCATACCTGGATATCACGTCTGGCCGTGGCGACGTTGATACCTTCCTACTACTGGATACATACAAACTGATGCGGTTGCTAAGATACTGGATGTCCTCTGCCGCACATGAGAAACAAAGGACTTTAAAGGAAGTTGCTAGGATGAAATTTGAAACAATTTACGCCAAATAACTAAGTTCGACATGGAATTATTAAATAATACTAGTTCGATGAAAGAAAATTCTGTATGTATTACAAATAATTTTAATTACGGTACTTTCATTTCACATATTAAGGGCATCAAGGTCAGATTTCAACATTTTGAATGATCTGAATTCTCTCATTTTTCGTTAAGTCATCAGTTTAAATACAATCCTAAACCTATTTATCAACCCACACAAGATTATCTTAGAAGTTGTCGGAAATCGAAAGTCACTGTCGATAGAATCAGATCCGTCAACAAAAGCAGGTAGATTGTGGGGTTCCAATGAATAGATGACGGTAGATGCATCTCGTTTATGTCTACGTATCGATACAATGAATAAGGCCGAACCTTGATCCATTTTGTGAATCATTTTATTCGAGATCGTTCACGACATCTAGCTAAACACTACAGGTGTTTAACGACGCCCATAAATGTAATTTACGATAACCTAACTTTAACTAAAGTTGAAATGCATTTTAGTCTACCTACAATAAAAAAGGCTCTTAAAAAAACGCCATTAAATAACATACAATTATTACCTTGTTTCCTCAAAAACTGAAGTTAAAGTAGGAAATTCCTTTATAGTTTAAACAAATTCCTACGTATTGTATTACACTACTTACTACTTTATATTCCTAATACCTTAATTAAATTAGCCGGCTAATCGTTGCTAGCTTATCTAACTGGCTTTGCTAAATTACCGCTAATGATATTTGTTCTGTTAAATGGCGAATGTTTTTACTATTTAATAACAGTTATTTATTACATTACAGGTGTTTGCGATGTGGTACAAGTGGTTCACGTTACTGCTGGTGTCGTGCGCACTGGTGCAGGCAGAAGACGGAGGGTACGCCGGACCGGTGACAGAGGGGACTGGTCAGGTTACAGTCGTAACTGGCCCGGTTTCAGATGTAACCGGTCCGGTTGGGGAAGTAACTGACCGTGGTAGAAAAGCAGACCGAGATGATTTAATTCGGACCAGTGCGGCTAATCCCGTCACCGGCGATATTATCAGTCAGGTTGGAGATGCCAGTGACACTCATCTAGAAAATGATGCCGTTAACACTGATGTAACAGAAATTCCTGGACCAGTCGCAACGACTAGAGCTCCTCCTCGTACCCTAGACAGACAAGCTGCTGAACTAGCGTGGCGCTCGTGGCTTCAAAGTCCGGAAAGCGGTAACCCCAATGGACCAGCAAGGAGAATCACTACTAAGTCACTCTTTATCACACCACTAATTTGTCCAAAAGGCCAGAGACTCGACAGAAACGGATGTGTGCAGGTAATTTAAACGAAGTAATAACAATATTTTTATAACTTTTGAACACAGTTTATGTTATTATAATACGCAATTTACGATGTAACTTAAAATATCTGCTAGATATGTCTATGGAAAATTATTATCAAACACTAGGAAAAGTTTGGTTTTTGAAAACTTGTATTTCGCTTGTATTTCAGACCGTGACATTAAATAAGGACGAACATGAAAGAATATTACTTGATCAACTGAATGCATTGTTCATGAATTCAACACCTTCCAACAATGCAGAGGATCTTTACGACTATGGGGAAGAAGAACCTGGTCCCCTACAGCTAACAATACCTATAGGCCTGGACCCTCAATCACATCAGGTATATATAATAAGTTTTTTCTTTGATTTAAAAGTTTGTGCATATTTATGATTTTAGTTGTTATATGTAAAATGTGTTTACTATATCTAGCCGTTTCTTATTGCAGAATATTGATAAAAAAGGTGAGAACGGAATGTTGAATGATGCCAGCATTGAAGCTGAATTAGAGCTACTAAAATTGCAACAACAAAATATGCGCCAAAATGATACTGCTGTGGATAATACAAATATTTTGTCACACAATGTACTAAATAACTTATTGACATACTCTGATAAACCAAAACGGGACAGTCCTATACAAAACTCTACCGAATCACAAGAGACCACAGACAAAGGACAAAAGGAAGAAGTTTTTGGACAAGTAAACGTGGACCCTGTTTTGTATGATACTGATATTCAAAATGAAGAGCCTGCAGCTTCTAATGACCCCGTAAAAGACAATGGGTCAGTTAATGGTACTAATACTGAGACGCTTAACAAAAACCAAACAAATGCCGATCAGTCAGAGTCTCTGTCATCTCTTACAGTAAAAAATGCAGATACAACGAAACTTAACCCAGAAAACGATTACTCCGATATTGGAGAAGCGATAAAATTGATAAGTAGATATGCTGAAGTATCGACAGACGATAATTTTCCTAAAGACGTAGTTAGAGATCCAGTCGAGGACTCAGTACTTGGCACACGTACTAAACTTCAATATCGCCGAAACCGGCCCAAAGTTTCGAACAATTTAAGCGATATTCCATCTTTTAACCAACCTGAGGTAACTAAAGAAGCCATATTAGCAGAATCTCTTCGAGGGAGACCTGGAGTATATTACAGATACCCTAATGATAACTTCGCGCCGCCACCGAACTATCCATTCAAACGCTTACAAGATTACTGGCCCGGAAGGAATCAAATAGGAGGGGTATACAACAATATGCATGAGAATCCAAAGAGACACCATCACTCCTATCCACATTATTTTCGCCCTCGTGGTTATCCGGGTTTACCTGACCCTTACTCAGGATTGTATCCAGCATATCAGCTGTACCCACACAAAGTACAACAGAACGCTAGTCCGATTAGATCTCACCCTAACGATCAGGATATGTACAGCCTTCTCGGCCTAAGACATTGGTTTAGCAGCGAGGGCGCGTCAAAGAGATAGACTGCTCGCTTTCTCCTACATTAAACAAATCGATGTTACCCGACGACGTATATTGGAAGCTGTGGAAGAATGTCAGAATAACTATTTTGCATTGTGTACCATTTTCATCATAGCTTTCGATATATTAGCCTATTTATTTTAAAGCCAAATATTAAAGTCATAATTATTTGTAAGTCAGTAGCCATGTTAAGTTCTTGTAAATACTATAAGCACATAAAAGTTTTAATTTACTGCTGAATATTTAGTATTATCGTTGTTTTGTATTATGTAAATTGTTGTATTAATATTCATTAATTTATTTTTATTTGGTGTATATTTTTGTTGTTGTGAATTATATTGTAGATAAATAATGCAAGAAGTTTCTGATAAATATGTATAATTTTTAGACCCTATGTTAAATAAGAATAAATATTATTATACATATACCTATCATGTCTTACAGTCAAATCAATTTTTACTATAATTTGAAGCTGAATCGATGAACGGCACAGGCTTGCCCCATTATCTAGAAGTAATTTTCGTACTTACGGTGTAGTTAATATTTGTGGAATATGATAGCTTCTAAATTTGTCTGAGTTTATTGAGATTATATTGTAACCAATAAATTATACACCCCCCACCAAGGTACTTAATTAAGAAGGTATTCATGACAATGGTATGTTTGCAAACCCAACGTACTGAAATTAAACATAAAAGCGCATTAGACCCTATAATAGGAATTGGCTTTAGTATTTCCCGCTGTCAAAGGAAATTATCTCATAAAAAGCGTTTATTGTCAATATCAATATTAATTTGTACCGGCAAACGAACTACCCATTCAATGATCCCACCAAAGCTTAGCGTAAGGAATTAGGTTTTAAATCTTGATAGAGTGGTAGGTTAATATATTTTTAATAATATGAACTTTTCTATGTATTTTTCTATTACAAGTCACTACCAGAAGATGTTTTGCAATATCATGAAATAAATACTGTTAAAAACATTAAAATCAAAACTTGGTCACACTAATTAGATTTTTTTATTAAATTGCTTTCTGTTTTAATTTGTAGGCTTTTAGCTTTTTGTATGTAAATAAAATAAACCGAAAGTATTTGTTCGCTTTATTTTATTTAGTATTTTCATTTATATATATTTTCATAAACAGTTATTCATTATTAAATTGCAAAGTGTAAATGAATTATTTGTATGATATTTTCTTGTTACACTTTTTTATTTAATGGAAAATTCAATTTTCGAAGCACCATGAACGAAAAGTATAATTTAATAAATTATCAAGATATATTTTGATATGAGACATACTAAATACAGTAGAACCTCGTTAAGTCGAACCTCGATAAGTCAAAAACCTCCAAATCTCGAAAAAATGTTTTGTTCCCTTCCCTTAAAACACCAAAACCTCCATTACTTGAAATCTTGACCCTCTGTTAATCGAAATAATCACCGAGTCCCTCCAAGCCATTTTGGTACATATTTTCACTCTATAACTCGAAATATTAAATTTGACCTCTGTATCTCGAACATAGGAACGTTTTATTTTACAACCTTTACAACTTGATCATTTGGAATTTATTATCTCTATTGTTCGAACAAAAATAAGTTACCGACTTTAAGAACTTGCCGCCAATGTGAGTACACTATTGTTTCTTAGAAAACATTTTAGGTGTATACAATAATAAATTTATGACTCATGGAAACACGTGTTTGCTTGCTTTGTGTCAGGTGTTCAATTTTGATTCCCTTGGAAATTTAGCTAAGCCAGTCATTTGTTTTCGACTTAAATACTGTCAGAAGTAGTTTGGTTCTACTGCAATACACATCAGAATAAACCTCAAACTCTTTATGTCGAATCAAAATCCGCCTAAGTCGAAATCCTCCATAAGTTGAAAACTCTATAACTCGAATTTTTTGGCGTCTCCCTTGATGTTCGACTTATAGAGGTTCTACTGTACATAATTTCTTCCTACTTATTTTAGACATTAAATTTATAATTTCAGTGTAAGTAAATAAATATTATTTCTTAAATAATTAACATTCAATGATTTCTAAATAATGGAATAATAAATGGATGAATTATATAAAGAATTAATGTTTCCTTACCCTTTAGATACAAATTTGATTGATTATATTTTTTGTTTGTATCAGTATCGCATATCTGTACCTACCGCGATTTTCGACAAGTTTTTTTAATTATTCATAAAGTATTGTTTATTTCAAAATAAAATTTGCCTTTTTACTGATAACTATGTATTTATGTAAGTCATTCAACAACACGTGTCGCATTTAAATTTTGAATTTAGACATTTAGTTTCTTTACTATCGTAAAGACAACAATAAGAGATATTAATTATATTAGTTTGTGCAAACAAGAACCAGTGCAAATATTATTGTTTTCCAAATACCTTACAAAACATACTGTATACCTACTCGTAGAGTTAAATTTCAATAATTCGTAAATGAACATCTGCATACTTTCTCCACACTCTCTGCATCACTATCCAAATCTACCCTCTCATACTATACTATGTAACCAAATTGTTTGATTTAAAATGTTTAGTATTATGATAATGATGTAGAATGACTTATTTATAATATGATGCATTCAGGGCAAGAAAGCTCGGCGTGATTTAAACGTTTGAAATATATAAAAAAAATTGGAGTGTACAAAGTGCCAAATAAATTTTCGATTAGAAATTCACTAGAGGAAGACAGGAATAGGAAGAGGAGACAAACATGTGAAAAAACTTATATAAAAATTCGATGGATACAAAAAAACAATACTTAAAATTAGCTTTAGACGAGTAATGTTACAAAGTATAGAAATTTTACGAATATTTTAAATCTACGTGGTAAATGGAAGTATAAATTTACTATCGATAGGTGTCGAGATATTTAATGTAGAAAAATATATTACTTTAACTAAGCTAACCTATAATTTGTCAGTAGTGCGCTAACTCCCGCAAATCATAGACAATTACTATCATTGCCAGTATTTTATTGTAAATACATATGTGTTATATTAAACTGATTGAAAGAAAAATATTGTTTGGTATTCAAGAACCTTTTTTGTCCGATTTCTATTAAATGACTAGCGGACACGACAGACGTTGTCCTCCATGATATTTCAAGCGATTAGTATATTAAACAAATTATGATCGCACCGACGGCAGCGCCATCTGCTGGGCTGATTTGTGAATCCATGCCATCCAGGGCGTCACGCAAACGCATAAAAAAAAATCATTCAAATCGGTGCAGCCTTTTAAGAGGAGTTCAGTAACATACACACGTTCAGAAGAATTATATACATATTAGCTCACAGTTTCTTCTTGTGTCCCTTTCTAAGTTTTTTGATGTAGTGTGCTGATCTAGTTATAAGTATAGTCATGTAATAAAACTATAACATCTTTTACCTTTTTTAAATAAATTTATTGATTATTATTTTATATGTATTTTATCAATATAATAAAAATGATCGAAGCATTTGTTTTAATCAATATCATTTTTCTTACATCCTCTTTGACGCATTCTGTCAATGGACGTAAGGCAAACGACATAAGGTTACATCATATTCTTAAATTTTCTTATTTTTTTTCTTTCATAAGAACCTCCTGACAATAACAAACACTACAAAAAAAGGATTAGCGAAATCGGTCCTGCCGTGCACGCGTGATGCCTTGACCAAGGGGCTTAGGGATTCATTTTTATTTATATAGATAGATAGAATACCTAACTAAGGAAATATAAAGAAACCCATGTTATATTTATTAAGTCATTTTATTGAAAAAAAAATAGTCAATTCTCTGATAACAGATAATGGATAATCTACAATACAAATATATTATACTTGTTCATACCATACAATCCTGTACTTGCACACACTTTATAAAAATAGGTAACTCCTCTTCTATATTCAAAGAACAATCTACAAAGTAACTAATCAAAAACACTTAACTTATATGCAAATGATTTGTACATTATATCACAATTATAGTTGAATAATAGCTGGCAACATTTGCAACAATTTTGGATTAAGTGCCTTTATCCAAATAGTGCTAATTAAAAAGCCAACTACGCTCCCTCCACTTTGATTGCAATACTGATATAAAACAATATGTTAACTACTGATTTTATTGATAAAGTTATACAAATTAAAAGTATATGCAAGGACAGGCTTAAATATTGTTCATATGTCAAAAGTAATATTATTTATTGATCAATAGCGATACTACAATTGCAGGAGAACATATCTTTCATTATAAATCTAAGCAGGTTTCCGAGTAAAACTTTAAAAGAACATTTAAGTACTCTTAAAATATTCCAACCATCCATGTACTACAGATGTTTCACCTGAACTCGTAAATTTGGATACTGTGTTCAGGAACATGGCTTAATGTCAGTGATTGAAACCTGAAAAAATATGAAGGATTTTAAATAAGCACTCCTTTATAAACATTGTACATATTTTTTAAAGGAAACTAGAATTGCACTTGATAGTAAACAAGTTCTTACATATATTATGTTTGATATTATAATTTTTGGTGATCAGTTAAGATCCTGAATGAAAGTATTTTGCATGTAATAAAAATAAAATGATTTACTAAACTTGTAGTTATCGTAACTTATGTTATGTGATTTTTGAACTTGCTAGCTATTCAAAATTACACTTAATCTCTAGACATAAATAAACAATTAAAGACTATTGACCTAAATTTAATTCATTGAACTTAGATAAAATGTTCCTTACCATTCTGAACTTCTGTGATAATAATAACCTTCTATTGTTGCCGCTGATTTGTGAAAACATATATAATAGAAACCAGCAAATGAAGCACCATTAATATCTTTGATTGTATGGTCTGGAACTAAGAAGTGTTCTTTCCACCTCATAAACACGTAATCAGCCTTTGCTAAAGATTCATAGTCAAATGAATCAGAGTTAAATGTCTTCAAATATGGTACAAATAACTCAAATTTACTCTGAAAATAGAAATTACTTTACATTTTATATGCTTATAAATAAATTGCAACATTAAGTTACAGATATAATGGGTTCACATTAAATACCCAGACACAATAAATAAAAGGTATTATCCACATACCTGTCATTTAATGTTATAAAACAATACATACCCAATGTTTTCTATCAACATCTTCATCTGCATCCCATTTTCTTGTTAGAAAGGGATATTTGGCTGATATTATTTCTCCATCAAAGAATGTTGTCAAAGTTGGAAACTCCTCAGTCAGCCCCTTTATTTTTAAATAACCACAAAGATACGAATTCTCTTCATCGACATGCTGTAAACCAAACACGGAACTAAATTTTTTGAAAAGCAAAGAATTTTCTTTAAAAAACTACGTATTCTATTATGTGAAGTTAACAAATAAATATATTTTTGTAATACTGCTCAGTATTATTTTATTTCACTTTATGCGTATTTCTTACTAACCTGCAGCACTACTTCGACCTCATAAGAATTTCCTTTGGATTTCTGATGCCCTTGAAACTTTGAGCCGTTGTAGAGAAGAGATTTAGTTACTCCCGGCTGTTTCGAGTTAGCTGGCGGGGGTGGAGTAATATTAACTTTAACAGGCATTATTTTCCATTAAAACAGTGACACGGTTCTTATGAAGGTATGTTTTATTATGACTACAGTCCACGCTATATATATGTTGTAGGCACACAGTGAAATGTGAATCGTATGAAATTATACTTGAGTTTGACAGATGTTCTTTGAGGTTTTTAATGAAACAATGATAGATAGATTAGAGCTATCAATTAACGCATATAGTCAAAATATTATAAATGACTAAATGGATATGCAGTTAATTCAATTTCCATAATCTTTAATAGATCCTTCGCGAATGTAGGAAGTGAAAGCGTAACACAAACACAGCCATCTTTTCAGCTTTATTTGACCCACAGACAAGTTAGAGTATACCTTATACAAAGGTTCGATGACACTTGACAGACATTAAAACTTTTATTTAAAACTTGAAACAGTTTAAATAAAAGTTTTCCAATCAGCCGTTAAGAATTAAGACTGGCAATTTATTATTGATAAGGGTGTAGCGAATCGTAGATACGCACTAAAAATGTACATACTCTTTTGTGTAGTATTTTCTCTAGGATTTTGATGTATGTGTTAACATAAAGATAGGACACTAAGGAAAGAAGAAAACAGACGTCACTCAGACGGACTTTGAAGACAAGTGAATATATATATGTTTTTCTTCCTTGAGCGTTTCTATGTGAATATAAATTAATTACTCTTGTTTGTGAAGAATAAACCAATTAACAAAGATAAAAATGGGTTGTGATTTATTTCAAGATAGCACATCCCATGAGTATATGCGCCGACACAAGATTAGGGGGTCTAGCCATATTGGTGTCGAAAAGTATTCTACATACACTACCGCTTTTGCGTAATTGTATTGTCGAAAACGCTTCGTTCGTAGCCAAGAGGCATGTCGATACATTACCGAAAATCGACAGCGTAGATGCGAGCTGCTGTTCGTAGCACCTTATTCCGTCATATTGTCTCTGGATTAAATGTATTCCTAAATCCTAATGTCACTTTTATAAACAAATAAAAGTTAAAACTAAAATATTATTGTAAATTTGCAGTCATTGCAAATTCCAATTATTAGAAGCTGCAAAAGGGACATTAGAATGTCAGCAAGGTCGGAACAATTTTCGATTTAAGTGGAATTTACGGAAGGTGCAAAGTGAATATATGAATTTTAATTGAATGTTTAAATTAATTAGGGTTTGTTTCATGTTTTCTCAGAAATTTAAGGCTACAAAAAATACAATATTTTGAAATTGCATAATCGCGATATATAATAATTAGTAGTACTCATACTTTGATATTTTTAGGATTTGACCTCACAACTAATCTGCAAAATGAAGAAGCAACATATTTTGTTACCGCTTAGAAGAAACAATAGAAATAGTACTGTGGATTGATAAATAAAGAGTGAAAATAAGGTTGACTAGAAGTTGATAAAGTCCAAGGAATTAAAAAACAATAGAAAAAAAACGTAGACTAGTGTGAACACTGAAATTAGAGTTTCATTTAAGCTTTAATTAGGTTTGGTGTTTGTGGTTGAACATTCTTAATGTCAATTTGAAAGCAGATTTATATATCAGTATAGATTTTATTAGTGATTAGCTACTAGTAGGAATTATCTCTGTTTATGTCCAACAAACAATTTCAGTTTAAGTTAGAGTCATAAAGGTTGATTGTTTATAATAAATTTATACTTTTAGAAATTGAAAAGCAGCAAGAAAATAAAATAGAAACTTAGTCTGGTATGAAATTATAACCCTTAATCAACCTTTGATTCCATATTGATGCTCCAACATCTTAGATATAAATTTAAGTTTGATGCTGATTTTAAGTTAATATTTATGTCAATTAACTTTTGGTTATATCAGTGATTTGCTACTAGTTAATATGTAAATGCAAAATCTGTTTAAGTAAGAAATGAATAAACATTGTATGTTTTGTATTTGACAGTTTTATTTTTGGTCATTTACCTATGTCTTCTTTAGTAGGAAAAGCCATTAAAGTGGTTAACAATATTAGTTTATTTTACAAGAATATACAGATAATGCATATATGAATGACCCGTACCTACTAATAGTTAGGAATATTAAACAAACAGGTAGCAAAATAAAAATGTTTCAGTTATGGTTATTTTTTATTAAAATAAGGCACCAAATATCTTCCTTAACATAATGCAGTCTACATAGAAAAATAAGCATATGTAACAACTTATTAAACAATACAGACTTTACTACTGAACACACACAGGTGCACCAAATTCAATGCATTACTACCTAATATAGATGTATTCATATTTATATATGTAGATAATTAACTAATAAATGTAAGTGTTAATTTGCAGCAATGTCAATATCTTGTTTGTGTGCTGATGAATACAAAAAATTGTTCAATTCATAAAACCTAATGTTAGATGTTGTGATGATATCATAAAATTACTATGATACCTACAGTTACTATGAATACAGCCTGGGTGATTAAAAAAATAGTGATTGTTTCCTTAACACAACAATTGTAAATAATAATAGTTATTGTAAAGATATAATTCTTCCCAAAATCTACAAATGCAGTTTGTTTATAATTATATCTTAACTTATTAAGATTAAATGTGGAAGAACATAGTTTCAGTTACTGTTTCCTGTTCATGACGACTTTCTTTTAAATATTTTTAGTTGTCTTATTAGCTTCTCTTTTTCTGAAAAGAAAATATTTTAGTTAGTACTTTGATCAAATAGAAAACTGACAAACTAAACTAAGTTCGGTCCAAGGTTTGTTCAATAGGTAACTTTAACATTAAAACTCTTTACTTAATTCTAAACTTAAAAATATACCTACTTAATTTGTCACTTTGCTGCTTATTGTCAATTAAAGTTATTAATAACCAAACAATGTCAGTAACTCCCAAGGGACTTGAATTCAAACTTCTCATTCATTAACAATATTATAATAACTTCTCTAGTATATTGACTTAGTAAATAATTAAAGAAAATATCTGCTTACCAATACTTAGTATTGCTCACTAGATTTTATATTTCCAAAGTTCATAAAGTATAAATCCACTTTATTTGATTAATTTAAATCAATATTATATCATTAGCTTCTATTATAATTACAATAAAATATATTTAGAACTTCTAATCATGTTCATTAGTGACTGCTTTCTCATCTGAAATATACAAATAAAATGTACAATCATTTTACTTTGCGATTACATAATATATGCAATATTAAATGGTATATGTATTTTTCAAATTAAAGAACAATTTCATGAACTTACATGCAATATAAATATCAATAAAATATATCCAATATAACTAGGATTTACCTGTACTAATTTGCTGATTTTCATGATATTTTCATTTTTATCTGTGTCTATTATGTTATTCTCGCATTGATTCATAGAAAAACTAAAACTCTTAACTTAAAAATATTAACTCTAGTTTAAATTATTATAATTACACGAGAACGTTAAAAAAAGACAGATAACAAATTAAAACCATTTCGTTAAAATGTCCAAAATATGACATGTTTTTAAAACGGTAGCCATTAAAGATGGCGATAGTTGTACTGAATTATTGCAAACAGTAGCTTTTGAGATCACGCTAAAACATGGCGGAGAAACGCCGTTTTTTCTACACTGCCGAAACATTAATTGGCCGTTGGCTACCGCCTACCGAATAGCGTAAGCGTTAATGTGTGTCTTTTCGTAGCACTGTCATGGCGTCGCTTATTGTATCCCGACTCACGCCTTTAGGGCCTAGGCTACCGACTGTCGACACGAGCTGTCATTTACATACAAATTTAGTTTTCGACTTTCTACATACACTACTGTTAAGCCATCTTGGCTAGACCCCTAGGTATGACCCGTAGACGAACTATGGTTCTATACTCTATCTACGGTATGACCGGAATATAACGAGACGATTATTGGGGCTTGACGGTATATTCAGTCACACCCGGCGAATAGAACAACGGCAACCGTGATTTTTAAATCATTATATAATTTTTTTCCCAAAAATCAATTAAAAATACTAGCGGCCAAATTTTGATAAGCAACTTGGTACATATATACAACTATAAATTTTGCTAATTTTGCATTAGCTAAATTTATAGTTGGTTGATTTATATATAAAGATAATAAATGTATTTAAAATGTACAAATACGTCAAACTTTTGCCATCCTTTGTAGTATACTCAAACGTCTGTCTTTATACAGTACTTCTTCTAAGATGAAAACCACCGAAACTGATTGTTATATCCATAGTAAACTTATTACTTTTAGTAGTCAATATTAGGTAAATATTATAATATGGTATAAAACTCCCATTCTCGTACTGATTTCTATGGATCACATTATCTGTGGATCACACTTTTAAGTCTATTGTCTGCGAGTTTAGTAAATTTTTATCGTCGCTGGTCATCTCGTTGGTTTCGTTGACCGACCAACTTGTTTATAATTTATTGTTTTGTAATTAATTTAATTTAGGGCATCATTTTTAATATTTCATATTCTATTTCCATTATGAAATCTTCTGCAAAAAGTATACATGTAGTATATCGTAGTGTCATGGTTTTTTAGTTTTGATTGAAAAGCAATAACAGTGTTATTTTCTCTCATAATTATGGTTAACTGACGTTAGACAGTGCATCCTCAATTATGGCAGACCCAGGTTATTACCACAGTGATTATATTCGTCATCCCGTCCTTTACGAACTGGGTGTCAAGTATGGTATTAAAACGGAATGTATTCCAGAAATAGCATTGCCGTCTAAGTTGGAAGAGCTCAAGGATGTTATACGTAGAGAGATACGTAAAGAGTTGAAAATAAAGGAAGGCGCGGAGAAATTGCGTGAAGTAGCTACTGATCGTAGATCGCTTGCAGATGTTGCAAACCTTGTCAAGAAAGCTAATATTAAATTGAATGAATTAAAGTCTGACTTGCAAGAGTTAGAATCCCAGTTACTGTTATCACGCGGTCAGTCAACCCCTACATCACCAGAAGACTTATCGTATGATGAAGAGATCATCTTGGCTTCGGAGGCGGCGCAGCAACAACGCCAACTCGGCGAAGGCACTACAGATCGTAAACTTGCTTCACTTGAAAAACAATTGAATATTGAACTTAAAGTAAAGCAAGGTGCCGAAAATATGATACAAAGTATCACCAGTAGTAACCAGTCAAGAGATAAAAAGCTACTTGCTGAAGCTCATCAAATGCTTGCAGATTCGAAAGCTAAAATTGAGTATTTAAAGCTTAGGATATCTAAAATTTATAAACAGCAGAAAGGCGACAATGCTGGAGCTAATGGAGATGGAAGAAATATGGATATGAGTGGAATTCACCCTCTACTTGATGAACGTATTGCTGAGTTAAGGAATCGTCTACGTATAGAAGCAGCTGTTGTTGAAGGATCTAAAAATGCCATACGTCTGTTACAAAGTGATAAAAAAGTTACAGACAAAAAAGCTTTGCAAGAAGCTCAAACAAACTTGTTAGAGTCAACACAAAAGTTGGACTTGCTGCGTAGGTCTCTAGATATGCGGCGACAAGAATTGCCTGCAGAAAGTGCTGCTTTTATAGAACTCGGACATGAATTACGCAGTACTGGGTCTAGCCCTGGTTATGTTAGTTTATCTGGAGCGACAAATGCAAGACCTCCTTTTATATCTCCAGCACCATTAATAAGTCCTTGTGTACAGGTAACTGGGGCATTAGAAGTTAGACTCATGGGCTGCCAGGATCTACTAGAAGATGTGCCAGGACGTAGTCGCCGTGACCCTTTAGCTAGTCCTTCAGACCTTAAATCATTTGTTAAAGGAGTTGCTATACGAAACTCCATGAAATATACATACAGCATCAAGGAAGACACTAGTAATGAAATCATGGCTGTAATGAAATTGGACAATCATACAGTTGCTCAAACTAGTTGGAGGCCATGTTCACAGCAGGCATGGGACCAGAGGTATGTAATTATAATTGTTTGATAAAATAAGTATATTTTGTTAGCCTCTTAAACCTAGATAGAACTACCATCATGTAACTAATTAGATTATATAGATTATAACTGTGCCCTATTTTATATAGCATGAATAAGTAGTGCATGGTATTACATCACTAGGTATTAAATTACTTACATAAACATAAAATTTTTCAAGGCATGTTATGCTTGAATAACTAAATACATACTACAATCAATAATTACCCTTAACTGCATATCTGTTTCCTTGAAACTTAATCTTTATAATTTCTTAGACAATATGATTACTCATTACATCTTATCAATCAAGCCACATATTTGTTGTCTGAGTAGGCGGTATCATTTAATTTTTCAATTTCATGATTACACTCAGTAATGCTAATACTTATTTTCTTGCTATAAAACAATACCATGCCCACATAATTTTTTTTAAGAAAATGCAATGAAAAAAATAACATAATTTTCTAAGAAAAATACAGTAGAAAAAAATATTTCACTTCTGAAAAAGTAACTCATTTGTTTATATTTCTTAGATTCACAATTAAGCTGGATAAATCAAGAGAACTTGAAATTGGAATACATTGGAAAGACTGGCGAGGCCTATGTGCTGTTAAGTTTTTGAGACTAGAAGAGTTCATTGATGATATTCGGCATGGCATGGCTTTGGAGTTAGAGCCCCAGGGATTATTATTTGCAGAGATTAAGTTTTTAAATCCTATTGTATCAAGAAAACCTAAACTCCAACGCCAGAGAAAAATTTTCAAACAACAAGGCAAAAACATCCCGCGACCGTCCTATGGAGAAATGCATATACCTGCTGTTGTTTTAGGCAGATTGTTAAAAAGGTCCTCACCATCTGTTCAAAATATTCAAAACGCTCTAAGTCAGAGCCAGCACCATAACTTTGAAACACATCATGATAATAAAGATATTGAAAATACCAATGCCACTTTTACGGGGATGGCTGGTGTTAGACCATTGGGTCTACCAACTGTACCACATGTGCCTATTTCACAACCACCAGCAAAGCCTACTCTGCCAGTACAACCCCCTCCAAATGTCTCTACACTTCGAATGGAAAAAGAGTTACAAGAAGCTTTTGCATTTCTGGAAGATTCATATACTAGAGATAATTACATTGCAAAGGATCCACAATCTTCTGCTTGCAATACTCCTTTGGTTGAATATCCTCCATCTCCATCTCCTAAATTACTTCTTGAATACCCAAGTAGTGAAGATCAAATTGTGGAAATAACAAGTAATATGCGCCTGTCTTCCTCAAGGTCATCATCTGTCATAGAAACTATGAGTAAGGAACCAGATTCTAGGAGGCAGTCCGGTGAAATGTCAATGAATAGTTTTAGACTACTGAGTGTCTTAGGAAGAGGTCATTTTGGAAAAGTAATATTATCTCAATACAAACCAACAAATGAATATTTTGCCATTAAAGCTTTAAAAAAAGGTGATATTATTGCTAGAGATGAGGTTGATTCTCTCTTGTCTGAAAAACGCATTTTTGAAGTTGCTAATGCCATTAGGCATCCATTTTTAGTAAACTTATTTGCATGCTTTCAAACCGATCAACATGTGTGTTTTGTGATGGAATATGCTGCTGGTGGTGACCTTATGATGCATATACATGCTGATGTGTTCACAGAGCCCAGGGCAGTATTTTATGCAGCTTGTGTAGTATTAGGCCTACAGTATTTACATGAAAATAACATAATTTATAGAGATTTAAAGTTGGACAATCTGCTTCTTGACACAGAGGGGTATGTCAAGATAGCAGATTTTGGTTTATGTAAGGAGGGCATGGGTTGGGGTGATCGTACTGGCACCTTCTGTGGCACACCAGAGTTTCTGGCTCCTGAAGTTCTAACAGAGACATCATACACAAGAGCAGTGGATTGGTGGGGCCTTGGTGTGTTAATATTTGAGATGTTGGTTGGAGAATCACCATTCCCTGGAGAAGATGAAGGAGAAGTATTTGATTCTATTGTAAATGATGAAGTGAGATATCCAAGAACATTATCTTTGGAATCAATTGCACTGATGCGCCGACTATTAAGAAAGAATCCTGAAAGACGTCTAGGTTCCTCCGAGAGAGATGCTGAAGATGTTAAGAAGCAGGCTTTCTTCAGAAATGTTGACTGGGAACAGTTACTTTTGAGAAAAGTAAAACCACCATTTGTGCCAACAATCAATAATTTAGAAGATGTCAGTAATTTTGATAGTGAGTTCACCTCTGAAGCAGCTGTTCTCACTCCTCCCAAAGAGCCAAGACCTCTGAGTACAACTGACCATAAACTTTTTTCTGATTTTACATATATGGCAGACTGGTGCTAGGCAGCTTATTGTTAAAGCAAGTTGATAGATTAATAATACTTTATGAAATACAATAAACCCCATTGCCTTAACTAATGTGAGTGAAACTGTATTTTGATATATCTCTAATCTATTCTTAAAAGTATCTTTGGAGATACTCATGTTGACTTGTATTTAATGCAGTTAAATGCAATATTTTATGAAATGTGTAGGATAAATAAGTTTTTAATAGTAAAAACCTTTATTTTTTTAAAAGCATCATACATATAATGTAGTTATATTTGATTAACCTGAAAATATTTCTTAAGTGAAGTGTGTGTCAAATAAATCTTTACAATCATCAGTCAATTCTCTACTTTAAACTGTGAAATAAAGTTATCAACAACAATAATTGTTTATTATTTTTATCTAAGAAATGTATATAATAACTACCACCTAGTTACAATTTGTATTTTTATGAGGCTTAACAAGGCGTCTTTATTAAGTCTCAAAGTGTTTAAGTAATGGCTCATAATAATTATAATAATAAATTTTAGGTCTAAAATACAGATAAACAAAGATGCGATGTTATTTAACAAGAGGCACTTTGTAATTACACACATTTAAGATAAACCTACTCTTTTGTTTGCTATGTTTATTGGATCAAATTAAAGTATAAGTACATCAAACGCTTATTATAATGTTTTATAGAGGCAGTGTCTTTTATTTAAGTTATAAACAAAACCTTAATATACAAAAACATTGTAATCCAAAATTTTAAAGGGCATGTAACTGTACTAAACTTTAGACTTGGTTGAAATTACTTTGAGCAATGATTTTATTAACTGGAACATCTCTATTATATAAATTATGAAATATATCTTTTACAGCAAGTAACAATAATATCAGTCATATTTTCTTTTAAATATGGAGATATATCTTATCTGTTTTATAATAAGATTCATTAATCAGAAAACCTAACAAACATGTTTAATCATCTAAAGAACATACACCCATAAATAATATTTTACATACAGCATTTTACTATAAACAATAATTGTAGTAATATTTGTCTATTTTACATACAATATATTTTAAACATTCTAGAAACTGAGTATTTGGCCGATAATAAGATTGAGAAGACAATATCATTCATCACTTTGGCAGAATTAACTTATATAAAGAGCTGTAAAATCATATAACTGTATTTATGCAATGCATACTTAAAGTTAAAGAATTCAAAACACTTTCACATAATTTCATGCAACATTATGTACAACATTTCTCTTAAAATGTCTTAATTATCACTTACAGTATTGCTACTTCAAAAGTGAAATTTCAAATTCTTGAGCCCTTTTGTTGCAGAACCATTGCTCTATCTGTAGGTTCTATGTCATTGCTATTTGGATTGTTACCACATTCTCTGCTAACCACACACAGGAATTCAGCGTGGTCTTCACTACCATAATTATATTGAGATCCAATATTTATCAATTGTTCAAATTTCCAACCATCAGACATAGAGGAAACCATTTGCGTCAACTCTTCTTCATGAAATTGTAAGACTCTGTAGACATGATTTTTGGAGTCTTTCGAAGGTCCTGTTTCTCTTTGAGATATTCGTTCTTTTACTAACTTAATAAGCTCTGTTATATTATAAAATTCTGCTTCCTCTAAAACACCTTCTTCAGCAATGTCATTGTTGATGACCAACTTTCCGTGGCGTAAGTAGTTGAGCACTGGAGAGAAATACGTAGGATCTCTATCTATTAAATAAGCTCCAGTTTCATCCTAAAACAATAATATTCAAGAATTACAAATATAATACCTTAACATGTTTACAATAATTTAATATAAAACTAACCCTATCTGAAATTAAGTCACTGTCTTCTTGCACTAATCGATACAAAAATGAGTTAGTGTCCCTAGACAAAGTAGTTTTGGTTGTTAGAAAATAGGTACCACCAACATTAAGTTTAACCCACTGCTTACTACTTCGTCTTTCATTGTTATATCTTTGTATATTTTCATTAGTAAAACTACCGCCACCTACGTGACCCGCCATGGTTAGTATACCATAAACAAATACAACGGACAATTATGTTTATTAATTATTATTGCACAGCATAGTTAACAAAGCTGTCATATAAATGACAGTTGGTGTATAAAACTTTTTTTCCAATAATAATATACTTTAAGGAAATCTAACGATATCAGCTTTATTTAGGGATGTGAAAAAATAATCGATTATTAAAAAAATCGATTTTAATCGATTTTTTTTAAAAGTAAAAATCGATTTTTTTACACGATTTTTAAATTTAAAATAATCGATTATTTTTATAATTGAAAATCAATCATAATCGATTTTTTATCTGCCACCTCCCGACATTATGTCTGGTATTTTAAAACCCGGACCTCGAACTATTAGGGATATTCGATACACAACGACGTTTACAATGCGATACATTGAATCCGATTCTTTGAAGATGTATTGATATACTCGATACATTGATGTTTTTTTGTAAAACATCAAAAGGATGATAAAAGCAGTTAATTTTACAAAAACTCAAGTTTGAATGGAACACTATAATTTAAAAGTAAAATAAATTTATTCAGCAGCACAAGACTAGGTACATACAATTAAAACGACAACAATAATACTGCAATGTGCTACTGAAAAGGACGCTCAGCATTTATCAAAAATCTATCAAAACGAGATTAAGTTAATTTTGATTATTCTTAAAAAAAACCATGAAAAATAAAATATTTAGGGTGTTTATTATGAAAATAATTAAAAAATTAGGAAAAATTCGATTAATAAAAAAAATCGATTATTTTTTTTTTTAGAAAAATCGATTATTTATTAATCGATTATTCAATGTAAAAAAATAATCGATTAATAAAAAATCGATTTTTTATGCAAAATGTCACATCCCTAGCTTTATTTATTAATTATATGAAGCTGTAAGTAAACTTAGGAGTTTCATTACAGCAGAGATTATCCGATAACGAAATTTTAATTTTTTGTGTTACTGAAAGCAAGACTAAGTTGTTGTCTATGCTTGATTTTGATTAATAACAAATGTGAACTGTCAGTAATTACGATTTACATTTATATTAGACGATCGCATTTGGAAAGTTCGAAATAAAGCTACATTGTTTTAAAGTAAACTAGATAGTTAATTAATTAAATGTTATCTGGTTTTTGGGTGAATTTTGCATTAAAAGCAATATAATGTTTAGATAGTGTTACATATACTGAAACATTATGAGTAATAACTTGGATAATGATAGGTCTATTACAACTGGCAAAATGTATCCAATCGACTTAGCGCCACAAAAAATAACAATAGTTAAGAATATTTCAAGTGCAGACGTTAAAATGACTCATATAATACCAAGTCAGGGTAAAACTACCGGAACCAGTCAAATAATTACACATTCTAGCGCTGGGCCGATTGGACTGATGCGTACAGCAACTGGCGCCCAAATAATTTCTTCCGGAGTTGTTTCTCAGGTAAAGGTCTACCACACAAGTAACATTCATCCATTTTCTAATGATTGAGTGCCTTACCAGTGGGCAGCATTTCACTATCATTTTCTTTAAGAATTTACTTTTTACCTATAGAAATTACTACTTTCAGGGTACTCAAATTGTTAGTCAAGGAAATCATTTAATAAGTCAAAATGCACAAATACTCACACAACCACAGCTGTTAACAAGCAGTCATATATTAAGTCCCTGCACGCAGATAATAAGCCAAGGTACTCAGCTATCAGGTCAGGCGATAAACTCAAATAATTCCCCATCTTTGAATACTATTCAGACAAGTGTAACATCTACAGTGAGTGGGAATCAAATGCTAAATGTAGGTGCACAAATTGTTAGCGGCTCAGGAAATTTAATTGTTAGTTCTTCTGTACGAACTCTTGGTGGAGCTAATGTTAGAGTGCTACCTACTAATCAACATCAAAACTCTAGACCTGGTGAGTTAACTTAATATCTACTATAGTTACTAATATATATACATAAAGTGAAATGTTATAGTTCAATTAGTTTACTTTAGTAATTTTGGATGCAGTATATCTGAATACTTTTATATAACAATGTCATTCTCTTTTACCTAATCTTTATAAGGCTAAGAAATAGAATAGTTAACTGAAAATACAAGTTAAATTTATTATATTAAAATACAATAAATTTGAATAACTTTCAATTAAATGCATTTACAGTCCTGACAAGTGTTAATGTAAGCACAGCTAGTGTTCTAGTAAGTAAGGGGACCAGTCATGTGCCAAGGGGTTTAGCTGCTGGGGCATCCCTAGCAGTACGTCCAGTTACAGCTTCAGCACAGGCTACTATCAGCCAAGGTGAGAAATATCTTCAATGCAGAGTAAAGTAAAAGTAGATTAGATCAGCATCAATAGTTTTCTTTAGTTCTTGCAAATTAACTTTTTTTTATATAATAGCAATGGGTTAGGTTTTATTGGAGGTAAAGGAGTTAGTTATTCTAACAATGTAATAGATAACTAATGGTGTATTTAGACTGAAAATTAACATATTTTAGTTACATACAATTAAACATAATATGTAGGCATTTTAACCCATCTGGGTTATTTCACAGAGAATTAATACTAAAAAATGTATTTCGATATCTAGTTGGCAATGCTTTTACATCTTAATACACTACATATTTAAAGATTTAAGCATTTTTTAAAGAATAAAAAAACTGCAACTGAAAGTTATACTTCTTACCGTTTTTATTTAATGGTTTAGGTAGTGGTTGGTCATCAAACAGTCGTGGCCGTGGGGCTTTAGTATATGGCTCAAGAGGACTTAGCCGTGGGGTGCCCCCACGACAACCATCACCAGCACCTTCACCCTCACATACACCCCCACATTCTACTCAGACGCCACTGTCTCCACACTCTGCTATTGTCACTTTGCCAACAACCTCTGTATTGACTTGTGAGTAATTCTTTCTTATACTATATAAACATCTTATATTATATTGACCATAATATTATAAACAAAATAAGATTATTTTCTTACCCGATTTTAATAATTTTTATAATAGATTCTGCTAAATTGTCTGATTGTGTTACCAATTAAATTAGAAAAATTATTGTAAATATTATTTTATGTATTTTAACTGAAAAAGTTTAAATATCTCGTGTTTTATAAATTTGACGAATATTTAAATGATCCTAATCCTTAGGATTGATTTGCTCCAGTTCAAATAATTTGTATGACTCAAAACTTAGCGAATAGAGGAGTGGCGGAGAGTTTATTGCCAGTTCTTCTTGCCCGTTTTACGCCCTTGAATTGCGAACTGGTAGTAATGTAAATTTAGAATCAATTTAACATCTTTTCTGTTGACGTTTCTAAGTGTACTTGTGTACTCAAAATAACTTTATTCATATAGATTAGAGTAAGTTTGAGTTCCAGCACCACCGTTTTCAATTTCTAGCGAGTGGTGTTATATCGAGCACAATGCGTGGTTCAATTGGTGTAGTGAGTGGTGTGACAAGACCGAAAACACCAACTCCACCACCACCAGCTCCAAGACCGTTACCACTCTTGCAGAGGAACTATCAACCTGCAAAGGTAATGTTATTTTATCTTTTTCTAGAAATATGTCGGAGCGCGGGTTTGCGCATTTGTCTGCATTGGCGTTATTGACTATATCACACATACGCAAAATCTATGTTCTACCATTGTTCAATTACAGCAGAATAGCGGGGTGACCCTTCCTGGTGTATGTTTATATATATTGTTAGGGCTAGTTGATCTGGTTCTTAGGGTAGGAAATTAAACACTCCAATGATGACTTGATTTACTATATTTCACACACTGACCCTACGTAAAATGTACAAACACCAACTTGAACAAAGGAATGGCCTGTGCGCATGTGTTACCAGATGTTTTATGCTCTCGTCCCCACTCTGACTCGACCTTCCCACTTCGGGCAGTTATTCGAGTCAATTCGTAACATTTCGTGAATAACCGAACGAGGCAATGAGTAATTATTGCACATGCGCACTTGTAGCAAAAGAATATGTTTCATAAATTATTTAGAATATTATTAAATAAATAATAAAAGCTAACAGTCGGCCTTTCCTGACAATGTTTGCGTCTCGCAAAAAAAAGAAAAACAAAAACAATGCTTTGTAAATTACAACTCAAAACAGAAACAAAATTAATTCTATGTATCTTTTAACTTTCATTCTTGAATTACATCTCTTTAGTTAAATTGAACCTAAATTTAATTTATGTTTATTTATAATGGAATAAAAGATACAGGTATCACCTATTTCACGTCATTAAATATGTATCGGTAGAAATCCCTATTCATCGGCAAAGAAGACATGGGGTGTAGGCCGAGAGAAAAAGCCGGCGTAAAAAACTCTCGGTACTCTTTTAAAATATCAAGTCATCAATAATTAACAATAGTCTTACATATCCAAGTCTACTGTGACCTCTTCATATTCACAATAGTCTTACATATCAAAATCTACTGTGACCTCTTTACATTCACAATAGTCTTACATATCCAAATCTACTGTGACCTCTTCACATTCACAATAGTCTTACATATCCAAATCTACTGTGACCTCTTTACATTCACAATAGTCGGACACATCCAAATCTACTGTGACCTCTTTACATTCACAATAGTCTTACATACATACATAACTAAATCTTTTGAGATCTTTTTATGTTCACAATATAGTTTACATGACTAAATCTTTTGAGATCTCTTTATATTTACAATATATTTTACATAACTAAATCTGTTTTATCTCTTTATAAAATAAAGTTCACATCACTAAATGCATTGTGGTCTCTTTAAATTCACCATAAAGTTTACATAACTGAATCTGTTTTGTGATCTCTTTTTATTCACAATAAAGTTTACATAAATAAATCTGTTTTATCTCTTTACATTTAAAATAAAGTTAACATGCATTGTGATCTTTTTAAATTCACAATAAAGTTTACATAAGTAAATCTGTTTTATCTCTTTACATTTAAAATAAAGTTTACATTACTAAATGTATTGTGATCTCTTTATATTCACAATAAAGTTTACATAACTAAATGCATTGTGATCTCATTAAATTCACAATAAAGTTTACATAAGTAAATCTGTTTTATCTCTTTACATTTAAAATAAAGTTAACATAACTAAATGCATTGTGATCTTTTTAAATTCACAATAAAGTTTACATAAGTAAATCTGTTTTATCTCTTTACATTTAAAATAAAGTTTACATTACTAAATGTATTGTGATCTCTTTATATTCACAATAAAGTTTACATAACTAAATGCATTGTGATCTCATTAAATTCACAATAAAGTTTACATAAGTAAATCTGTTTTATCTCTTTACATTTAAAATAAAGTTTACGTAACTAAATGTATTGTGATCTTTTTATGCATTGTGATCTTTAAAATTCACAATAATGTTAACATAACTAAATCTGTTTTATATCTTTATATTTAAAATAAAGTTAACATAACTAAATGCATTGTGATCTCTTAATATTCACAATAAAGTTTATATGACTAAATCTATTGTGATATCTTTATATTTACAATAAAGTTTACATTACTATATCTATTGTGATCTCTTTATATTTACAATAAAGTTTACATTACTATATCTATTGTGATCTCTTAATATTTACAATAAAGTTTATATAACTATATCTATTGTGATCTCTTAATATTCACAATAAAGTTTATATAACTATATCTATTGTGATCTCTTAATATTCACAATAAAGTTTATACAACTATATCTATTGTGATATTTTTATTTTCAAAATAAAGTTTATATAACTAAATGCATTGTGATATTAGATTTAGTTATGTAAACTACCCATATTCACAATAAAGTTTTACCTAAGTCCATTATGATCTCTTTATATTCACAATAGTGAATTTATCATGTGAAATTGATATTCGTATATGTTTTAATTGTACTTTATAATTTATATATTTTTTTGTAAAACTAATGTTTACATCAACTGTCACACACTTAAGATGTAAGACTTTGTAAAACAATTAGCAGATCCAGTACTGTGCGTGATGTCGCAAGCTTATTAACTAAATAAATAAATAAATATTCTAGTCTGTGTCAATTATACGAATAAATAGTGCGTGAGTACAAAGTACACATGTCAAAAGTGAAACTTCTTTGTAGATTAATTATTGAGTAATTAAGCTGTGCAAATCCCATAATTTAATTTTCCCAGTCTTTCTATATTATTAAATGATACCAAGGCTAATTAAAAACCAGAGCTAAAATTAGTTCAATAATATAAGAAATAACTATCATAATTGCTTACTAATGTCCACATTTTGTAAAATAGCCAACTGGGTCTTAGCAAAAGGTCCAAAACCAACAAAAAAAAAAAAAAATGGTAATTTTTTCCCATAATAAAATAATAATGATATTGATATGTATTAAAAACACCATCGGTGTTCAAGTCTCAATCGCTCTCTCCCTCTTTTCTTTGACAAAAACGCTGCACATTTTCGTGCCGTTTCGTAAAAATTTTACCCTCATGCGCTTCACTTTAGAAAAAATACTTATCGAAAGCACAACAAATACTTGAACTATTACTACTACAACCCTACTTCTTTAGAGTATTATTTTTCATCAACATATTTCAACGCACTCAAAACTTACTTATTATATTAAGCCATCACTTTTATTAGGATACTATCACTTCTGGAGATGAATTAAATGTGAAATTACTTTTATCAAATAATTTGACATTACTTTGTCAAATATAACCTCATTGGTAACCGATCAAGATCATACAATAATTTTCTTACATTATTAAACTTCATTACAACATTTAATCAATTCTGTTTTAAGATATTTCTATCATCAGACATAATGAAAGTATTTCATATCCATTATTAAGACCAATAATAAAAATAAAAAAAAAAAAAATTTAAACTAACCAAGTATTGATTGGTTTGTAGGGAATACATAATATGTTAAAAGGTCATATGTAATTTTGAATTTCTAAGCACATAGCCACAGTACATAAAAAGAACAACAGCCTTAATAAGCAAGTTAAATTGTCGACATGACGTGACATCGAAGTTTCAGATTTGTTAATGAAATTGAGACTTATGTCTGTTTGAGTCTGTATCAAAAAGCAACCCTTTGTAATATACCCAAAGTGAATTACCGCAAAAGAAATGTCATGAAAGACTAGGCTCTGCAGTATGTTAACATTCAGCAGAGTCTTACTCATTTGAAGTAAATCAAACTTCTTTATCAGCAATGCCAACTTTGAATGCTCCCATTTAACATGGTGCATGTAAAATTGACTACGGGTGGATTACTAATTCCTCCTTAAAACCTAAACTTGCGAATGCTTGGTTCTTATATATTTTAAATCTCTAAGCAGCAAAAAAAAAAAAATAATAATATTAATACCTCTTAATATACAGTCTTACTGTGTCGTTGTCCTATCGAGTTATCTTACCAGGTCATCTTTTTCATCTTTGCTACCCTTGCTCTCACTTAAGACCAGAAATACCATCAGCTTTCTAATAGTACCCTGATGCGAGGCCCTGTGTAATACAATACCCATGACTGAAATATTATACAATTGATTATTAATATCGCGGTAGAGGGCTCGTTTGTTGTTCTCATGTTAGGATCAGTCCTTCAGTTCTGGTTTTTTATTTTTCCGTTCCCAGTTTGATACTATGTAAGGCCGTATTACGGGTAATAAATTGTCGCTTAGCTTTATCTTAATTTCTGTACAAGTTTTGAAACCAATCCCTAAAAATTATTTGAAGAATCCCTCAACAAATAAGTATCTATATTTTCATTACATTTCCTTATTAACGTTAATCATTAATATATTAACAAATTAACGACTATTCAACAGTAATAGCGCTTTTACTGTTATCATTCTTATTAAATTCATTTCACCATGTCAAAGCGCCAAATGGCGCCAATGTCGGCTGCCATTATCACAATATCGCATTAAGCAATCAACATCAAATTCATAACTATTAATACTTGCGGTATAAACAAAAGGTAGAGGTAAGAAAAAATAGACCGAAGCATTTTATTACTACTTCAATACCTATGAAACTGAAAAACAATCAATGTTAAACTCATCATTTGACACTCAAAACATTTTCGTTTTCCTCTTGAGATTCTAGACATCAAATTTGTTCTGAATCTTTCTTTGAAGTAACGCTACATTTGTCCAATCGATTTTAAGAAATATCTTCTATGTTTGGACTAACGATCTACTAATTGTCTCGCCACGGACTTAAATTTGTAGCCACTCGATCTGCTGCAGCTTCGTGGTAAGTTTAACTTACGACTGCCCTATAGCCTGCACCTACTGCATTGGAAAGCAAGCTGCTTTAGTCTCACCAATGAAATAACCATAAAGTTCGAATTCTATATGCCTCGTCCCTAAAACGACTTCGTAACTCAGGACTAAAACCCCGGATTCTTATTGGGTCTAGTCATACTGGAAACAATCGTTACACAAAAGAAAAACATTGTACATTATTACTCCAGCCATCTTAATCTATAAGGATTGGCGTCGTTTCTAAGTAACAAAGACACTATAAAATCAAATAATTTTTTTATTAATACATATATTTAAGATAGTTTAGAATATTATTCAACGTAGTAATAAAAAAAAAATTGTTTGTATTGATTATATATATAAAACATTTAAGCTTTAATTACCAATAAAATATACTTCAAACAATACGTTTCAATTGAATTTTCGTATAACAAAGTCATAATATAATATTAAACTGACCTTCTACGATAAATGGCGAAAATTATTGTAAAATTTATTACTTTTGTAAATACCTTAATATTAAACTAACTGAACTTCTAAAAATGAATAATTATTTTAAAGTAAATTATATATGTAAAAACCTTATTATAATAACAGTCACTAAATAATTTCTAAAAATGGTATAAAATATATATAAAAAATTGAAATAAATTAGTTCTGTAAAAATATTATAATATTAAACAGACTTGAAACTTCTAAAAATAATAAATTAATTAAATGTAACTTATTATAATATTCAACTTGCCAAATAATTTCAAAAATGGTAAAACATTTATAATAAAGTAGTCTGTAAAAATAAAACTTTATTAAAATATTCAACTCACCAAAGAACCTCTAAAAAAAAATGGTAAAATTAAAATAAATTAGTTCTGTAAGAAACTTATTATAATATTAAATCAGCTTGGAACATCTAAAAATAATAAATTAATTAAATGTATCTTATTTTAATATTCAAGTTGCCTAATAATAATAAAAAAATGGTATAACATTTATAATAAAGTAGTCTGTAAAAATAAAACTTTATTAAAATATTCAACTCACCAAAGAACCTCTAAAAAAAAAAAATTGTTAAAATATGAGACAAAATTAAACTAATTACTTGTGTAATCTGTCGTAAATCTTAATATATAAATTACGTGTCACGTTTGTCCACTATCGACTCCTGACTACCGAACCGATATCAAATATTTTGCACACCGTGTGCAGTTTGATCCAACTTAAAAGATTATATTATTTTATTGCAAAATACTTGTTTATTATTTAACAGTCACAATTCTAACAGATGGCGCTGTGTTGAAGTACCAACGTTTCACATAAGCCACAATTCAATGGCATAACTACCAATAAAGCATGGTGGTCCCCATGACTAGTGTTCTCCTACCGTTTCCCTTGAATAGTTTACTACTATGTAATATAAGAAAAACCTTAGCCACAGCAACGCGCTTGGCCGGTCTGCTAGTATCTTATAATAATGATTCAATTTATTTCAACTAAACCGACGGTAAGTATTATAAAAATATGTAATGTAACAGCTTTAAAATAAATAACGTTATATGTTTTACAGGACAGGTTCGGTGGCCGTCGATGCATAACTCATAGAAAAATCCCGAGTACATACCTCGCCATAATGTCTCCCTACCAGAGCGTTTCTTAAACACGCACTAAACACTCACTATAAAATTCTAATTAGTGGACGTAACTACATATTATCAATTATAATTGTCAAAAACTATATATAAAAGTACATCTAACGTAACTCGAGTAAATCTCAACAAAGACTAATAAAAACATATGAGAATCGGCCGAGTAAAAATATTTGGGATCACCCTCATCAAATATTATAAAATTATGTATTTCGAACACTAGTATAGGATTCATTTTCTTCCATTTATGTTAGGTAGGTATGAAGGACTTCAGCTGGGAAGTTTTGATTTTCATCGATATAAGACGACAAGACAGGGCCGACGGGTTATAGTTGGTAAAAAATTTAGATAACCTAAAACAGCACAGTCCCACACTTCCTACGCAATAGCACAGTCTTCCGTTAGTAAAAATACAAAACTTCATAATCGTAAGCTAGGTTTCATAACAAATGTAACTAATTTACCTTCAAAGGTGTAATAAAAAAAATAAAAAAAAGAGTACCTACATCTTTAGGTTACAAAATGAAGAAAGGAAAAAAAAAAATCGCATACCTCGTGGGCGTTAATCCTTTACACCAAGGATATGATATACCATATCAGTTTACCTCGATGGCATCCCGCTCTTCTGATTTGTTAGGGCTAGTTGATCTGGTTCTTAGGGTAGGAAATTAAACACTCCAATGATGACTTGATTTACTATATTTCACACACTGACCCTACGTAAAATGTACAAACACCAACTTGAACAAAGGAATGGCCTGTGCGCATGTGTTACCAGATGTTTTATGCTCTCGTCCCCACTCTGACTCGACCTTCCCACTTCGGGCAGTTATTCGAGTCAATTCGTAACATTTCGTGAATAACCGAACGAGGCAATGAGTAATTATTGCACATGCGCACTTGTAGCAAAAGAATATGTTTCATAAATTATTTAGAATATTATTAAATAAATAATAAAAGCTAACAATATTTAATAAATGTTTTACCGTGAATATAAGACCCTTTGAAACCCCCTACTCAAATTGTATTGGTTGTATCGTTTATTTGTTGAAAATTCTATTCCTTAATTGAAATTATCCTTTTCTGGTAATGATTTAATAAAATATTCAAAATAAAATTAAGTTCTTTAAATGTGTGATACTCGTGTTAGCAAAAAAATTATATCCAGTCCAGAAACTTGGATATGAATAATTATTAAGTGTAATAAATATTCATATGTAAGTTTAATTTTTTAATTATTATATAAGTATATATTTTTGTAATTGAATAATATTTGAGTATGATGATGATTACTTCAAGTATGTATACTAAAGATCTCTTCGCAAAATATAACTTCGTTTAAAAAATTCTAATTTATTGAAAAGTTTAGTGTTTTTTGATATATGGGTATCGCTGTAGGAGACACGTATGGTAACTAAACTAGGGTAATATTTTTCCTTTTTACTTAAAAAAATTTGAAGTATGTTTAATTTATTTAAATTACTGTTTGGCTATCGCAGGTTGTGGGGGTGGCAAATGTAGGTGTACGGGGTGTTGGCAACAGTGCTCCGCCGCAGTTGTATTACGAAGTGCCGCGAGCTGCGCATCCGCACCACGCAAGGCCGATTACGCCCTACGCGCATACACTTACAACCCAAGGTACTGTAATTAATATATATTTTTTTATTATGGCGCAATAAGGGTTGGTGTTATATTTTACTTTAAATAAATACGTAATATCACTTATAAACTAAATTAGTAATCTATTTTAACATTAGTTGTCTGTCTGTTTCTGTAAAGTTGTGTTACTCTGGAAAATCTAAAAAATTTAATCCTTAGTAAATGTACACATTTATAGCCTCTGTTTTGAATGGCGCTAGCAATAAATTAATAAAAACATATTCATTTTTAATAAGTAAAAAAAACTATTACAGTTGAATAATATAAGATCCAAAATAATCGACGCAGTATATCAGGCCACTAGTTAAACGGCGCCGTTTAGTTAAAAGGCCAATTAAGCTAGTTGACTGCGACATATACAATATACATGTTGATCCCTATGGATAAATATTATCTAGTTACCAAGGGTAAAATATAATTACAGCGAGTGGAGTAAATACCGTCCAAACATCATCAGAGGCTCGTCAAACTACAACTATTGCCAGCACACCCGTTCTTCCCAGACCTTCCATCTTAAGGAAACGGGATGTCGATGGGTGAGACTTTTAGATATTTTTTTTGTCTGCTTGATTACAATTTTTTTTATTTGGGAAACAAAACAGATACATCCCTATACAATAAAAAAAGTTAAAAAAGAAACACATTGCATGTATCCACAAAAAGTTTCACTAATAAAAAAAACGTGTGGCACTCGGGGACTACCGCGGTAAAGCTATTGCATAGCATTTTTTATCAACTTATGCAATATAATTATTTATTTTTTATTTATGCAGTATTTGTTTTTCTTTGATATTATTTCAATCTACCACTCTACCACACTTAGACTAAAACGGCTATATAGTCTGTCTCACTCTAACGCGTACCGGCCGCACCGGCCCCGCTCACGCTACGTCACCGATCTCGTCAGAGAGATGGGAATGCGCAGTTTGCGTTCTATCCCACTCTAACGCGTAAGGTTTTTTCGTTACGGAATTTCTTCATCGGGCGCCGCGCTCAAAGCCCGCGATAAATCTTTGCAATAGCTTAATAATATAATACAGAGCAAAGCAAAACAAAACATGACAGCACAAAATTTATAAATCCGGAGAACGACAAAAATGCCTTATTTACCTGTCTAACGACAATACTTCACTTGGCTTTGAATCAAGAGAAACAAGTAGTAGACTTACCTCTCCCTTTTTAACGTTGGACGTATATGAATAAATCATATTTTATTTTACATCATTTTGAAATACACTAAACTCCATATAACGAATTTCAAGGGACTGTGGTTTTTTCGTTATACGGAAGAGGATAAAAACCCAATTAACAATAACAAAGGCGAGACGGCTGTTTATGACCTCAGCCCTGCGATTCTGTAACTCACTTTTCGAACTCACACAGCGGTTTTCGCAGCGGCGGTCGCGCTCAAATCAGTCGTGAGGCAGTCATTTTATGATTTGGCATTCTGATAAGCAATAAACTACAAGCTCCCTTCTTGTGACCGCTCTGTGAGTTCGAAAAGTGAGTTACAGAATCGCCAGGCAGGTGTCTTTCTTAGAAATTTTGGCACCTCAAAAGGTTAGTTTTTTAAGCTGCTTATAAAAAGAATTACACTTAAGTATGTTGTTGTCTAAATATGAAAATATTTCTTCGTATAAGAATGGCAGTGCGTTATAAAGAGTGAATTATTGTATGGGTTTTATGTTAAGTCAAACAACCTTTACCGTTATAACGAATAATGTTATAAAGAGTGTACACTGTATGTACTTGGCTCAATACTGCGAAGTGATTCCCATCCCACAGTCAGTAAAATTAAATTATTCCTTTCAGGTCGCCATCTAAAAACCAAATGAATACGATATCAACAATATCCCAAGTAGGAAACATAGGCAACATAACATCAAATATTTCCAATCTAAGCAATACTAACATAAGCAATATAGCAACACTGAGCAGTATTAGCAATATTGGCAATGTGGTTGTGGGGAATAACTTAAGTAACTTAAATGTTAGTGCAATCAGTCGTGTGGGTACCTTGAATAGTCTAAGTACCTTGGGCAGCATTGACAGTGTGAATACTATGAATAATAGTGCAATGAGTAGTGTGAATAGCCAATATATAAGTAACACTGGGTGGGAGGATGTGACAACCTCCCAGGGACCGGGAAGCGGGTCTACCACCATGTCAGCAGCGTCATCACCAACCCCAGATGAACCGGAGCCTCCAAGGCAAACCGATGTCTCACCGAGGAAGAAGCCGCGGAAACAGTTGTAAGTGCATTTTTTACTTAAATTTTTTTATATATATGTGGTGCTACAATCTTTTCAGGTCTGGGTTCTTCTGTATCAGTTTCATAATTGTCAATCTAATTGGCAAGTAGGTGTTCAGCCTACTGTACCTGACACACGCCGTCGACTTTTTGGGCCTAAGACATGTCGGTTTCCTCACGATGTTTTCCTTCACCGATAGAGCTAATGTTAAATGCGCACATAGGAAGAAAGTCCATTGGTGCACAGCCGGGGATCGAATCTAAGACTTCAGGGATGAGAGTCACACGCCAAGCCAACACTACTCAGTCTAATTTATAAGTCTTACTAGTAGACTCGGCCAAGCGTTGCTCTGGCTAAGATTTTTGTTATATTACATAGTAGTAAACTATTCAAGGGAAACGGTAGGAGAACTTATGTGAAAGGTAGATTACAGCTTATGTGAAACGTTGATAATTTAAACACAGCGCCATCTGTTAGAATTGTATCAAATAATAAACAAATATTTTGCAATAAATTAAAATTGCGACTATAATTTGAGATTTAAACTATCCTATCTCTCAAGTTGGATCGAACTGCACATGGTGTGCAAATTTGATTGATATCGGTTCGGTAGTTTAGGAGTCCATTGAGGACAAACATTGTGACACGAGATTTATATATATTAAGATAATACAAAACAAAGATTACAGTAAAAATTTTTTTTTTAAATTTCAATTAAATCGTGTTTTCTAAATAATTCAATAACGTTTTATTTTCAGATTAACAAGTGAAGTGCGTCACTGCGACTACCCAGTTGAAGAGAAACCTCCGACGCCGCCTCCTGCCCCGGTCATACCCAAGCGTAAGTTTCCTAAATAGTCCATAAAAGATATAACTAAATATATAAAGAAAAAAGATGTAGTGTGGCCAGTGATAATTTGGCTGTAATCATAGATCAGACCATGATAAGTACCTTCATTCATATATCGAGTGTTTCATATTTTAATAGTGCCTTCAAGATTTCTTATTAATTTAATTACTTGTCCTGTAAAGTAATGAAATTGTATTTATTTATTATATTCTGACCTATGGGCACAGAAATAAAGTAATATATAATATGAAACCTACAAATCAGTAAAACAGACACAGAAATGCAAAATTATGACATGTTTTGAATACAAAATAAAAACAGTTAAAATTTGTATTTTAAAGGACCGTCCCTAACCTCGACGTACGTATGCGGGTGGCGTAGTACGGCATTGCACTTTACGCGGCCGTCCGACGTGAAACGACGCGAGACACGCGCGAGGGACATCGTAGCGATCGCGACACAGAAGCACGTGCTCGTCTCCGCCGAGGGATGGAAGGTGCATCATTTGACGGCGCAGATGGACGATTTGGTAAATTAAATATGTTCTCTTTTCATTGTATACATAATCAGAAACAAAAGTTTACAATAGTGTGGTGGAATAATTTAGACACAGTTTTTTCTGTCGAACAGATCTAAAACGTATATACTAAGACCAATGTTATATATTACATAAAATTATAATAATTATACTGCGCAGGCAATAATTATGTTGACTAGTGTTCGATTTCTTCGTGTTCTTTTGTTTATGTGTATATGTGTATTTTACTATATTATATGTACTTACTAATTAACGTTTATTGAATTTATTATATTTAAAAAATGTGTATCTAATAAATTTTCTTTTTCTTATTCGGTTTCAAAATATTAATTTCTATATTAACTTTTACTGCTAATTTTGATCTCAAGCGCCTAGAATGGACGAAAAGATCTGGCAAGAAACTTTCTGCCACGCTTTTTAATCGCCAAATATTTCATTTTACAAGATACGATATAAGATTAAGATCTAAAATCATTTCGTACCACAAAAATTTTACTACTTCTGTGTAACTATTATTTAGACGAGTACTACCTAATAAGTTTTAAATACTGATGATAAATAAAAGATACCTTTTAATTTATGTTAAAACTGTCCCATTAATGTTTAATAAATTATTACACATTCTTGTACGGTAAGCAAGTTTTATTCATTAAAACTGACTCAGTCTAATTGCACTTTAACGAAAGTAATCTGTCCCTCTTCATCACAGCATAAACAGCATTTGACAGAAAGAGACGAAAGAGCACTTCACTAAAAAGACTAAAGGTAATAATGTTTCTTACAGGTTTCCTTAGAAGCGGATGTCGGCGAACAGTTAGAGGGAGTACATCGTTTGTTAGAGACAAGTCGCGCTCACAACGCGCTTAAACCACTCTCACACTCACTACTTGAACTTATAAAGGTATTATTTAATTGTTATTACTATTTATTATCTTTAATTTAAATATATTTTCATGATTGCTTATTTATTAATAGAAAGACAACAATGACAAATGAATATACCACTGCAGTATTTCTGAACCAATTCTACTAGGGTCCTTAAAACAAAGAGCGTACCAATTCTTAAACGTCCGACAACGCACCCGTGAGCCCTCTGGCAGAGTGTTCATGGGCGGTATCACTTAACTTCAGATGAGCCTCCTGCCCACCTGTTCTATATCAAAAAGTCTGACATTATGAAAATGTAGGTAGTCACAGAACAGGATGCAATGTAATATCTGATTTTTAAGTATTATTATAAAAAAAATAAACTAAATCAACAGTCATGCTATATATCTGAATTTCATTAAAACATACAATTTAGGTTACAGCTACTTTCTTTAGAAAGAAAAATACAAATTAATATATATATAATTATGTGTTTAACAACTATTGTTAGATAGATTTATCTTTATAAATTATTGTATGGGTTTCCCATTGAAAACTAATTTTAGCTGTATAAGCGCCCTTAAACAGCCAATCCTTTTTTGTGCCCGAAATAATGTTTATTATTACCAACAGGGAAACATACAAAGGAGTAAAATAGTCTGCGAAGGTATTCAAGAGGCTCGCGAAGATATTCTACGTGTATTCAAACATAGAAATTTTGTCTCCGACATTTTGACTCGACAAGCGGATAAGCGATGCTTCCGAAAACATCGATCGCAGTCATAACATAAAATTAAAACATATTTATGAGAAACTATTTTTGTATTCCGGGCTCAAGCCGTAGCTTATTAGCTATGCATCTCAAGTATTAAAACCTTTTTAACATCAAATAGTCAGTGCACATGTCAAAGTTTATAATAATCATTGACGTTAAATAAAATTGTCCAATACGAAAAACGCAAATGAAATTGCTGGCCTTAAAATCTATACACAAGGCGTCTAGACTCTGAATTTACCGAGTTATAGTCGAGATTTAGCGTTAAGTATAACTCCCATATTTAAAAAACCGTATTGGATTTGACATACGGGAATCATACATAGCGCTAACTGTTCACTCACAATATATATATGTTTTTTTTTTCTCTTTATGCCTCTGACACTCACAATATTACTCTTAAGTGACATTTCGTGACATTTTAATTTAAATTATTGATAAACATAAATGTTTCTTTGTAAATCTGTTATTGTAATTTGTTGTATATAATGATTTCTATAAATTCGTAAAAAATTAAGAGAGATTCTTATAAATATATAAAACTTTTGCTTGAATTGCTGTTCTATATTTTGTTAAAATGACCTGACCATCAAAACCATTTCTAAAACCATAGGTTTTGACCCCTGGTATCTGATAAGATTGTTGTCAATAGAACAGAATACATTATTTTGTTTTAATAAATAACTGATCGGAATTATTTTGGATTTGTAAATAATAGATAATAGAATAGTTATGTAAATTTAATCCTAATATACAAGTGCTTTTATTTGTTGTGTGATGTCCTTATTTTATAACTTAAGAATAAAACGGACTATGCTGATACACAAAAATGGTATTTTATTAAACATTTAAATTTTCAGTGTCCACCCTAAAATAGTTTACTTATCGTACAAAGTGTGAATTTTGTAAAACATTACATTATTATTAATATTGTTCATTATTTTAAATAATGAATGTAAATGGCTATTTTGTGTAAGAAATACATAGTTCTAAATTTATATACTTACATATATAATTCGCATGCCTTGCATTGGCATACAAGTTTTTAAATGGAATAACAACGCCGACGCTACCAAGAAAATCGCATCGGTTTTATTATATAGGACGATAGCGGCCGCGCTAAATTTTAAACATTTTTTTGACTAGCGTTTAATCATTAAACATTAATGTATGAACAGAACAGTATAAAAGCGGCGATCTCCCGGATTTTATCGCAACACTTTTTTAACGTTGTTTGATGACACAACCGTAACTTTGTGGTCAGTCCATGTCCCATGATATTATTATAGTTTTTAAAGTTCAATTCAATTTTGTAGACAATATGATGATCAGATATTATATATATATCAGTCTGTGGTTGGCATTAGACAAAGTTACAGTTTTAATACTCTATGATTCGAATTTCGAAGTCTGTAAAATTAGTTTTTTTTTATTTTGTACTCTAACCCTATAGTCCCTATATATTATCAAAGTATCAACATTTTAATAACCCCAATAGTATTTTTAAGTAAATATGTGATTGCAGTTATACATTAAATTGATTTAGAAAAAGCTATTTGGATTTAATTTAATTGTTTTCCCTCCAGTAACATGGCGACAAGTAGATTGGAAAGAATTGGAACAATATTTACTAGGTAAATATTTAGTGAATTAAAAATGCTTGCATAAGCTATAGATTTTTGTTTAAACTTAAAAAAATAAAAGGGGTGCTGTATGATTTTCCTTGCGAGTTTTTAGTGTTCTTTTCTCAAAATGATGTACTCATTACTTATAAAAACATAGGTCTGGTTTTAAATGTTGTTGTGTCCTAAGTTTAGCAAAATGTAATAAACATTTGCCATCAAACATATTTTCATACATTTCTATTATTTTTTAGAGCTGAAGGATTGCTCAAACATGGGGCTCTAAAGCCAGATGATAGGCCCATTTGGTTTGATGTTTATCAAGCCTTCCCACCCCTAGTGGAACCAAAGTTTGCAAGACCAAAGCCAGAAAATAAGCCTATAAGGCAAATTTTGTATAAAGAGGATGCAATTAGGGTGTAAGTGTCTTTGCTAGAAAAACCATGATCTAACTTAAACCTTTTAAAAAAAGACTGCTGTTATTTAAAATATTTTAAAAGAATATTATGAATAAGCAATCACATTTTCTACATAAGATTAAGGTATTAATAATTTTGATTTAAACAGCCAACCGGCTTCCACACCTGTTTTATTGATACATACTTTCTTGGAAAGTTTCATACACTTAAATGAGACAGGCATTATAGCTGTGGACACAAAACCTTCTTTACCAGGACTTCAGACCTTTCAGCATTTATTGCAAATGGTTTTAAGTATAGTTGTTATAATAGTATGAGATCTGGTGGCAGGATTATTGTGTTCATCAGTTATCTGCTAAAAATCAAAACCAAAGAGGTGCGGCCATGTGCGCAATGGCAACCGCGATTTTTGTAAATCTTCATGTAAATTGGCATTATGTAGACGATGTTTTTTTAAAAAACAAGAGTGAATTTTTTCTCAAAAATCAATTTAAAATACTAGCGGCCAAATTTTGATAGGCGACTTGGTACATATAATATATTCTCCTAATTATAAATATATATCAAAATTTGGCTTTAATCAAATAACCAAATAAATAAAGCACTAATCCTGCAGCCGGATCTTAGACCATAATATTAACTATATCTTTGCAGAAAATTTCATATGAAAGGACATGGATTAGGATTGAACATGCTAAGTCCCTATGGCGAGACTCAAACAAAGAAACTGATTCAGAAGTATGAACAATTGAAAGAGGAAGGTGTACAAGATACAGAATTAGTAGAGAAGTCAGTTTCTTCCGTTATAAGCCATAAGGAATCTGAACAAATCACATTAAAAGCTAATCCAGAATCTGCTACTGCTCAAGTTTTATCAGAAGCAAATTTAAAAAATATTTTTAAGCAATAGTTTAGTGATGTATTCTAGATGTAAATAAATAGATAGTTGGTATTTAATTAAAATGTTTTAATATTACAATTTGATAATTATGGCAAAACAATAGTCACATCATTCAATATTTAAAATAATTTGCCAAATTATGACCACCCTCAACCCGTAGGCGAGGCTCAGTTAATTTATGATTTAACGTGACTTATAGTTTGCTAACAGATTCTTGGCAGGAAACTCACTAATCATTTCATCTAAGAAACCTGTTCACATACTACCCTATAAGAAAAATTTACCAGTAAAACATACCTACATAAATGTGGGTGGGGAGAGTTGTGTGTGAGGGCTGTTAATTATTTATTGTTACCTACTCATTGCAAAGCACTATTGCAATTGCAAACCAGAACAATTATTTTAATAAGTCGAATAATGTTTAGGTAATTCTGAGACTGAAATTTGATAACCGATTTTATTATTCTTCTAAAAAATTTAACCCTTACCTAATTATTAAAGGCAATATTACAGTTGCCTTTAATAATTAGGTCATTCTCACTGAAATCCGTAGTTATGAAGTATAAGAAGTGAATCATTTAACCGACCTACAAGCAAGCCCCTTCTACTAAATATAATCTATTCCTATCTTATCTTAGAGATAAGCTCGTTCTAAACATTATAGTCGCAGTTTTCAGTGAAAACATTTCGTACTACAAATAGCAATAAAAATTAGATAAACAGTGAAAATGGCACAAAGGAAATCATTATTGTTCTATTTAGCAGTTATTTTTGGTAAGTCGAAATACTAATATGTACTTTTTTGAAGTACATCATAATTAGATGGTGTTGATACATGTACTTATAGAAAATAAAAACCTACACATAAATTCTGATTCACCATTATCGTCATAATGAAGTATTTGATATACATATGCCTAATAAAGCACAGAAATTGCCTATTCTAAAAAGGTTGTTAGTATGTGTCATAGGCCAAATCCACTAGACAAATTTGCTTTTGCACGTCAGAATGAATTCATATAATACCTACTAATAACACGATTTTTGTAACCATACCTGTCGATGAGCTTCGTTTAATTCCATTACGCATATCTTAATAAAGAAAAGATTTAGTTTAATTACAATAATATCCTATTTGGCATTAGGTTCTTTTATATTTATAAACGTTGTATGTATTATATACTGTTTTTTAAATAAACGCTTATATAAATAAATTACTATTAAATATTTTTACATTCTATTTCAGTGGTACTGAGCACATTGAGCCATGAAGTTGAAGCCAGAAGAAAAATCTTGCGAGGAAGAAGAGTTATGACCCGCACATATTATCGTAAGTTTTTCATCACAGATTATTTTGTATTGAAGAAAAACGTGCGTGTACTTATGTACACACGTTAGAAGTTATACTTCTTTGGCGTAACACGATATAAATCTTTTCAAAATTTTTATTCTACGTTTGTTGTATGCAATGTTGACTATAGCTTAGCTTACTTCAGGGTGTCGATTTTTTGTAACGATGTGCGCGCGCATCGCAAAAATTTACTTATCATTTTTCCCTAATGCGCCAAAAGAAGTATAACTACAAAAAGTTATAGAGGTGATTGTAGGTATCACTTCGAACATTATTTGTGTACATCATATCAAGCTGTTGTCTCAAAACTTACATAGACTTGTACACATATAACCCTGCAGTTGGTGGACAAGGTTACTTCTGCGACCTACATATATATGAAGATTTGAAATTTGAACACACATTTTTTCAGATGGAAACTCCGTGCCTGCTTGGGCGATCAGCTTGATGTCTGGCATCGGAATGTTATTAGTTGGTGGAGTGCTTTACGCAATTATGAGAAAGATGGTACTGTCAGCAGAGACCGGTTCATTAAACACATACCAGCCAGCTATGCAAAATGATCAAGTGTAAATTTAAGTTTATTCAATTTAATTAATAATATAATTTTAAATGGCTACATAGATTTAATAATTTTATGTTCGAAATAAAAGAATAATAATATTTCATTATTTATTTCACCATTCAATATATTTAAAAGGTACATGTACTTTCACGTAAATAATCATGTCAATATGGTAATGGAAATTTCAAAATTAGAATGAATTAAAATTCTCTTCTATGATATTTGTCAGGATCAAAGTAAGAGGTTACTACGACCCTATTACTGAATTTTCGCCCTGTGAGTGTTTGTTGCGCCTTCTGACAATCAGCAATACTATTAAATTCAACGAATACCTGAAAAAAATATTTCGTACAGAGAAAACAGGAAGTTAACTATATATTGTTATTCTGATATGAGAATTTATATGGTACTTCGACTTTAAATGTTAAAAGTATTGTATTAGTTTCTGACCATATAACTAAAATTAGCAAAAACAAACTAACTTTAATACGAAAATCTTAACAATATGTATCAATCAGAATAAACATTTAGTATTCTAGTTAAATGTTTGTTTGTGTTTTTACATTTGAAATAAATTTCTTGTAAATGATGTATATTCTTGAAAACCTAATAAAATTAATATACCTTTCCACAACCTGGTACATCCACACCCTCTATGGGTCGTGGTATTTCTATACTGCGTACACAGCCATATTTGTTACATTCCTCTCTGAAAACATAAAAAATAAATTATTAGCAAACAGCTGAGATAACAATTATAATGAAAAAAAATATTTTTAAAGACTTGTATACTTTAGGACAAGGTTACATTACTACACAAATTCAATTGTACACAACACTAGTTGATCACCTTCTGGAGACAAGTGGATATAACTTACTTGATGTCTTCAAGGATATCCTCATATTCTTCTTCATCGCGCAGTTCGTCTGGCGTGACCATGTTCAACAAGCACAGTACTTCCGTGGGCGGACCAGCTCCGGCTAAGGTCAAACCAGCTACTTGTAGAGTAACAGGAGCCGCACCCGTCATAGCTGAAAAGATTTTTTTATATTAAACATACTTAAACTTTCTTCCCTGCCATTAGTACTACTATCCGGACCAAAACCTAATGCCCAACTTAAGCCATTTATGCCTGTCATTAGGTGCCTAAGCCAAGTGTGCATGTGTAGTGTGTGATGTGAAGCAAACTCGCAAATTTAAAATTACCTAATGTTGAATTCTTCGCACCAATACTTGCTCTCTGCACAATTAATTTCTTGTCTCCAAGTTGCATTCCATTAAGACCAGCAATAGCCTGAAAAATTAATTTACTTGAACATGTAGAAACATCTTTCTAACACAAATGATCCAGATTATAATTGGTTTTACCTGATCTGTCATTGTTATATCAACATATTCAGCAAATGCATATCCTTTGCTGAGACCCGTGGAAGAATCCTTTACGAGATTGAAGGCTCTCAATTGTCCAAAGGACATCAGAAGTTCCTTCACCTGTGTCACATTACGCATTAAATGAAAATTTCCAGTGGAAATTACACCACATGTACATAATACTTGTAAATAATAATTATATAAAATCTAGTGTTTCCAGAACTAATACTTTGTACCCGTTAATGTTCGCTAATATAATCGACAATGTCTATGAAATAGTAATCTGACTGTCCTAAGCGCAAGTTATAATCAGATATGAACTTAGGAGACTTGCCTTGTTGTGCCGGCGTCTCGTTCAAACAAGACGTATGGGTGAGAATGAGAGACAACAGTGACACGAGGGCCGCGAATGTGCCAAATCTAAGCTAGGGAGGGGCAAAAAGCAAACTTTATCAGTGAGATGTAAAAAGAATGTATTGAACGCACGCAATTGCACGCTCGTCATGGGTACCTGAAATACCTGAAACGGAAATTATATCGCGGCTAACTGCTGGCAGCACCGTAGCCCTGTCAACTGTTGAATCTCGCCTGAAATAACAGCGGCATCTATGGCCTAAGGGGGACCTAAACTAGTCTCGATTTTCGCAGGTATAAAGCTATATGACAAAAGATCGCGATTGATTTTGGGATTCCTAAATTCCATTATTCCTAACCACAGGGTTGCAACTTTATAAAGAAGATGTTCTTTGTGACTAACCTGCAACATACAATGCAAATGTATAAAAGGTTTTAACTTGAATAAATTTTACATTTTAGCCACAAACCAATTCAAAGATTGGAAGATTAAAGAACAGCTTAAAAGTTTGAAAATAACTTGGGAGATACATAGAAATAGTTTATGCCAATACTACTTATTTTCTCACTTGTATTTTTAAATCTGTTCTTCAACATTATTTTCTCAGGAACATTTGAACATTGCCGTTTTTTTAATACATACTGATAATATTATGATTCTTATATAACTTACCTGGTCCTCATTAAGATAATTAGGAAGACCACCAATAAATATTTTATGTGGTGAATCTGGAACAACTGTACTTATGACACCCGCTGTAAAAAAATATTTCCCAAAGTTGAACATACATGTAAAATGTGATATGTTAATAATAAAACTGATACCAGTAAAGCACCAAGCCACATTCACAGGCAATGAAATGAGACAATTCCTCTCTCCTATTTTCAAAAAAGGTGTTTAATAGGTTTTGAAATCAAATAAAATTCCTGGATTGTTTTAAATGTGTTAAGTGTAGAACATATAAGTTGAAAAAATCAACAGTACCATTGATTATTAACTTATCAAATCTTGCAATTAACAATATGTTATGTGTATGAGATGGTTTACCTATATATATATTACAATGATTGAAGTTGTTTGAGTAGGAGTAAGTAGTTAAATATGAGAATAATCTGTTGCAGTATACATTTTATAATTCTTAAAGTGTTTCCAAGTGCTTCAATCAGGAATGCTGTCATTAAACCAAAAAATTGCAAAAAAGAACACTAACTAAATAATTTTACTATATCCTTAAAACATGCCAACAGTTTCATTATCATCATGCCTAATTACATTAATACATGATATGTCAGGACAAAAGGTAGTAGGTCCAGTTAGTAGCATAATTTTCTAAAAACAACTTAGATGCAAAAGCAAATTACAGGAAGCAAACAAGGTGTTGCCGTTAAAAAACTCACCAGGCACATTAATAGATGGATTTTCAGTTCCAGGCATCGGCTGGTAGTCATGAGGACGACGAATTTTCAAACTCTGTCCTTTAAAGTTTATTCCATCAAACGCCATAGCTTGGGTAGTTTCATCAATAGATCTAAACTCAAGAAAAGCAAAATTTTTATCGAGATTGATTTGACACGCCAGAACTGGATTGCCAGCAGCTTGTGCCAACCCAGAAAGATGCATCTGTTGGTTGAAAAACTCCATAGTTTCTTCTTCTGTCACACCAAACGGTATGTTTCCCACATATAATCGCCGCGCTTGACGTGTTATAGTGGATCCCACAACTGGAACAGCTGCTTGCGGAGTGTCCGCCACAATGTTTGCTGGAATCTGACCGGCAGCCTGCATAGCTTTATACTGCAATGGCGTAATGTGTTCGAAACCCGGTGGTGGTACATCCCAGTAAAGAGAAGGCTTGCGGCGACGTGATCGCTTCGATGGTGATCTTGACTTGCTTTTTCTCTTTTCTCGGCGATCTCTAGACCGGGAGCGAGTCCTACGTCGTTCTCTAGAACGTGATCTCCGTCGGCGGTCTGCAACATGCAATATTTGGATAATATTTACTGTTTTATTACACAAAAGGTCGTTTACGAAATATTTTATACAAATATACCTTTATCTTCACCCATAATAGATTATATTAAACAGTTAATATAACCCAATATTAGCACTCGCAAAATATGTTTCGCTGTAGTGAAACAAAATGGCGCTCCAAATCAAGCGCAGCCAGTTTTTTTTTATTACAAGATCATGGATACAAGTTCTTTAGTCGAAATAATAGAGAACCAATTTTAATTAAGAAAACGCAGTTAATCTATAATCCAAATTGCCAAGACCCAACAATACCAACATTCTCGGTATATTGGTATATCCAAGTTCACATTTCAAGGATAGTCATGCTCGCTTAAATGTCATGGCTTGTGCCGGCGTCCATGCGTCGGATTGTCTCTCTCCCTAAATATGGCGAGGGGGCCAATGGCTGGCCATGCGTCATACTCGTCGTTGTGGTAACTGGTCGTACTTAAATTCGTGTATGCTGTGATGTTAGTTATTTCCACTATGTATTTGTGTGTTTTTCCCACGAGAATGTAAGTGCGTGCTCCTATTTCACCACGCCTACTGCTGATAGAGGACAATTCTTTGTTTTTAATTATTAATTACTTAAGATGTCATGTGGAACATGGTGTTATGGTTGCAGCTCCTTACAAACATTGTGTAAAACAAAAAAAACTTGGCAATTAAAAAGAATGGCGTAGAGATTATTGCCAGTTCTTCTGTTCCGTTCTACACCCTTGATTTGAAAATTGGCAGTAAATGTTAAATTGGAAGCATTTTGCTAAATGCTTCCAATTTAACATTCAATTTGTATTTCTTTTTGACGTTAATAAGTGTACATTGTGTTAAGTAAATGAATAAATGATTTTGATTTGATATCATCACTGATACGTAGAAATCCATGTTATAATTTAATCTTGGGAAAAGTTTCACTAATTGCAAAGATTTGCTAAAACATATTTCACATCTAGACTACACAAACTAAACACATTTTAGTTTATGTAATGAAATCTTGAATAGGTATCAGTTATTAAAAGAAATCAGTGTTGATTTTAATCAAATGATGCTTCACTCAAATTTGTAAAATAAATACTTGAATGCGAGGAAAGGGAAGTGAGTTATAACCATAGTAACGTGTACTTCGACCAGACGACCATGCGTTTGAGTAGCGTCTTCCCCTTAAGTAGCTACCCAAACAGTCGAGACTTGAAGTGATTTCTTTAATTACATTTTTTTAATGAATAATACCGATGGCAATTTTAAGATCTTAATTAAGTTAAAAAAAACAAACACTAACTTCTCTTAATTTTTTTATTATGGAATTATTACAATAATTGTAATGAAATAAATTCTTCTGACTTTTTTAGTAATCAGTACAGAACACTACGATAGTCGTGTCACCACTGACCACTCACAGCTCAGTGCTCACTAGTCACTAGTCAGTAGTCAGTAGTCACCACTCACTTATAGTGATATACATATTAGGCCTGTGTCGGTCGTTCATTTCTCGCGACCCGGGTCGATCGTGACCGATCGCACTCGTGACCGAGTCAAAGGATTCGATCGGTCACCGTTCGTTGAGTGCAAAACAAAAGGCGGCGACCGGCGTAGAGCAAATGAACGATGGCCATTAATCGTTCAACAATTTCGTAGTTTACAGGAAATAAGCTAGGTAATGATTCCTGGTATAAAAACTTAAAAAATGGAAAATGGTTTATTAAAATCCAATAAACAAAGAAAATTATGCTATTTTAAATTATGATTTAGAAATAAAACGGCACCATATAAAACAATAGTTACTACTTTTTTAATATCCAAAGCGAAGTTAAGAGTCTAAATAATCACAATCTCCAACTAATAACTTTAAATAATAATAATTGACTCTATAAATTTAAATGCTTATACAAATCATAAGTGAAATAATTACAACGGCGATTGTTTACATTTAGAATTTGAACGTAAACAAAAATCATGTTAAAATCCACATGTTAAAATAGCCCTTAATATCTACGTGTTACGAACATTTTTTCTTTGAATCGAGATACGAAAGAAAATTATTACCTTCGCACCTTAGTATTAAAGTTCAATATAGCTTGACCCTAGTTTCGGTCTTCAGAGATTAACCGAGTGTATGTCAATCGCGAATAATATTCTATGAGACCGAGAGCCGATAGTAACCGAGGAGCTACCATTTCATAGCGTTCGCTTTGAGACCGAACGGTCGTGTCGGTCAAACATGATTGGGATATAGCGGCTGCGAACGATTGTATCAATCACGCGATTGTTGGGACTCGGTCGTTTTGAGTCGGTCGTTCATAACCGACACAGGACTAATACATATAGTCATTACTCATTAGTCATTAGTCAGTGTTCCTTCGGCGTTGAAGTATTGAGTTAGTATTTGTGTTTTCTTATGTATACAAGTACGAGCAATAGTTTGAGAGTACCTAAACGTTAAAAGTGAAAGTTTATACAATGTTTTCGTGTAATTGCTATACTAAATATTGAATATTATAAATCTAAATTTTAATAAGCTGTTCTTCACTTCGTAAAAATGGTATGTTAAATCTTAAACTATATAGGTAATATTCTGAAGTTATATTTCGATATAAACAACTTGTGAAATAGAAAGTGATTACCTATCTAACTGAATGTTAGTACTGAGCATATTAAAGCTAGATTTATTTATATATTCTATTGTTGTTGAACTAAAATATTTTTATTTATTAGGAAGAAGTACATACAAACGGCGATTTAAGGAAGAGAAAGTATGATGCTCACGACGCAAACGATATATCATCCCTCAAAAAGGAAACAAAGTCTGAAGTAACTGAATATCAGCCTTCCAACAATAAGACAATTGGTTTAATTTTTGTATCTCTTCTTTTGGACCTGCTCGCATTTACAATGATTTTGCCTTTACTACCGTCGCTATTGGACTATTACGATAAAGAGGAAGGTCATAAAGCAACTTTATACTCTTCTCTTTTAAATGCCGTCCAAAGATTTCAGAAAATAACTGGCGCTCCTGAGAGATTTGCCTCTGTTTTATTTGGAGGTGCACTAGGATCTTTATATAGTTTTTTACAATTCTTGACAAGCCCTATAGTAGGAAGCCTTTCAGATGCTTATGGAAGAAAGCCCTTATTACTTTTATGTCTGGTGAGTTGTAATTCACCGTTTATGTGACATAGTTTATTTATCTTGAAATTGTTATCATCATTATCAACTCAAATTTTGAAATGTTGTAAACCTTTTATCTCTGATGCTTAGAATATTTCTATCATATTCTTGTTTAGAAAAATGTTATATGTAAACAAGAGGCTTTTAAATAATTATGATAACTTATATTCAATTTCAGATAGGAATAGCCTTATCTCATGGCTTATGGAGTTATGCTAGTTCATTCAGCCTGTTTGTGTTAGCCAGGTTTATTGGTGGTTTAAGCAAGGCCAATGTTAGTCTTAGCATGGCAATTGTAACTGATGTTTCCAATGATAAAAATAGAGCTAGAGGCATGGTATGTTGAGTAAAACTTATACATAAAATAAGAATTCTATTATGAATACTTTATCCTATAATACTTTATTCACATCTACAACTATAGTATACCACATTTCATTTATAATTTTTTCATGAAAACACAAATCTCTTCAAAATACAATTCTTGTTTCAGGCTTTAATCGGTTTAGCATTTTCAATAGGTTTTATTGTGGGTCCTTTGGCCGGTGCTTGGTTTGCAAAAAACAATGATAATTCCTGGGGCATGTGGGGTGAACGACCTGCACTGTATGCTCTGTCCCTATCTGTTGCAAATATACTTCTTGTCACTTTTTGTATACCAGAAACATTATCAAAGGTTTGTATTTTTTAATGCACAATGTGGTAATTGATAACATTCATTTTTAATATAAGGTAGATATAATGTTTATAGCAATTGGATGATTAGCGTTTTGTTTGTTTCAACTATTCCATATTTTGGCCATAAATCAAACTCAACTCTGAGTTTTACTTATTAAATGGAGCAACTTTATAGCAAAAGCAGTTTTGACATTTTATTTGTATTTTATTGGTCACAGACTGGTCATTTTCAAATATGTTCTTGGATTTACCACATAATACATAACTATGAGTAAATATAGTGTAAAATTGTTGTGCATGTCACAACATTCTGTAATAATTTGAAGCTGTATGTATAAACATGTCTTGACATTAATTTCTTTCAGGACAAAAGACCGTCACTGTCACTAAGCCTATCAAAATGCCTTGATTATGTGTCTCCATGGCATTTAATGAGATTCAGAGCTGTGAAAAACTTAACAGCTAAACAGAGCAAAGTTCTGTATAAATTGGGGCTAATTTATTTCATCTATCTTTTTACGTATTCTGGACTGGAATTTACTCTCACATTTTTGACGCATCACACATTTAAATACACTGCTATGCAGCAGGGTAAAATGTTTCTAGTGATAGGTAAGTTTTTTTGCTCAAATTTTTTGTGGACTTAAAATTATTGTAAATGCGATGCGAGTTGGCATTTGTGAGATAAATTTCGAAGTAATAAAAAATACGGAAAATTGTGGGAAATGTCAAATGTAAATGTGTGTTTGATCCTATCGTCATTCAAAATATGTAGTATGATTGCCTGGAAGAGATCGCTTGTTAGTAATACGGCTGTTTCTCTTCTAAATATATCGTTCTCATTTAAGTCATGCGAAACGAATTTGTCCGTTAGTATTTTATCCATAAGTTAATTTTTTTTATTAGAATTACGATTCTCGTTACACAAACACGTTTCAATCAAGGCCGCCATTTTACGTAATTAAATCTAATTTCTCCTTCGAAAATAACTCATGCCATTGCACACACTCATGTTTTGATACCCACAGACCTCGTAATATATGTGAGGAATATAATGCATTTAACTTTGATAAGTAAGTAAAAAACTGTGACGCATTGTGTAAAGGTCATTGACTGACTCGCGGGTAAACACCTTTTTGGTATTTTATATGGATTCTTTTAAAGGTTTTGTGTCAACTACGTACACTTATAAATGTCATATTTTATCACTGTTTTGAGTTCGTAAATGATAATATTGAAAAGTACTCAACCACGAACGATTAGAAGAAAACGTTTAAACGGAATTTAAAGAAAATAGATGTGGTAATGTTATTTAAGACACAGTCATAGAGAAGTATGGTTTATTTGCATTTTTATGCATATACACACATACATACATAAAGCAGTGTTGGCCTAGTGGCTTCAGCGTGCTACTCTCAACCGTCAGGTCGTAGATTCCGAGGTTCGCCCCGGCTGTGCACAAATAGACTTTATGTCTATGTGCACATTTAACATTCGCTCGAACGGTGAAGGAAAACATCGTGAGGACCGCCTTGCCTTAGACCGAAAACGTCGACGACGTGTCGGGCACGGGAGGCCCGAGGCTGATCACCTACTTGCCTATTAGACAAATGACCATGAAACAAATTCAGAAATCTGAGGCCCAGACCTAAAAAGGTTGTAGCGCCACTGATTTTTTTCTCATACATAAAGCGTTTTATACATATTTCTCTAGTCACATGATTACTAACGTTAAAATAAGTATAAATATCTTTTTCATTTTTAAATTGCTTGTATTTTAATGTGATCTAAAACCGGAAATTAAACTTTAGTGTTATTCTTCGTCGTAACATGAATGTTATAAATATTAGTAAGGAATCAGATTCAGGTTAAGAATAATAGTTGGAGTAAAAGTGATTTTTGAACCGATATTAGGCATTTAAAAACTCAGTTTCAGAAATTGAACGGTAATACTTCGTTTTTATTAATTGAGCTTTCATTTTCAATTGACATAAATGCGTTTTATTATAAGCTATTATTTAATTAAATGGCGAAATATTTATCTCACACGCACAATTGAATCTTGTATGACCTATTTTATTATGAATTATATATCGTTTACAGGTGTTATTATGAGTGTCCTACAAGGAGGTGCGTCACGGCGTCTAGGCGCGCGCGGGGCTGTACGCGCGGCTCAACTTGCATTGGTGTTAACTCCACTTTCCTTCTTATGTGTCGCACAAGCCGCTGTCCCGCGACCAGCTCTGATGAGCCCTCTCGCTTGGTTATGGGCGGGCCTTGTACTATTTGCTCTGTGTAAGTATAATATTTATTAGTAACTATATGGCTCGGCTTACATATATTAAAACTATACTTTACTATAAGTTATATTTGAATACAACTTGACTGTTGTCTTTGTAGGTTTTGGAAAATATGGATTTAATAGAATCCTTGTGGCGCTATTTAAGTTAGCTAAAATATGTAACATGAATTTGTTCTTTATTATATTATATTTCGGGGAACCGTCCTTATGTGTTGTCTCAGAAGTCGTTCATTAAGTTGTTAGTTAATAATACATTACGTTTAGTTTTTACTGCGGCTTCTTAAAGGTCTAATGCTCACTTGGGTTATCATAGGCTTGAATGAGTAATTATTTTGTATTGTGTATTCTCAAACTTAATTTTTGATGTATCTCCTGAATAAGGGAGCGTTCAAGTATTACGTCACGCAATTTTTGGAGATTATTGACCCCCCCACCAGTTCCAGTTTCCTCATGATGTTATCCGTAATAGCGTGTGTTAAACACACATAGTAAGTCCATTGATGCACAGCCGGGGATCGAATGTACGACCTTAAGGATGAGACACGCTACAGCCGTTTAGTGTATGTTTATCCACAAATTCTTCGGAAACTAAAAATAATATCGATAATTTCTTAATAATTATGAGTAATATGTTGTAGCAACGGCTTTTGCGGTATCTTGTATGACATCGATGGCGGCGTCTCATTCACCTGAAGACTCTCGAGGGGCCGTTTTGGGCACGTTACGATCTCTCGGAGCCCTAGCTCGCGCCGCTGGTCCGTTAATTGCTTCCACAGGTATATTTATCTTAATATATATAAATTACGTGTCACGTTGTTTGTCCGCTATGGACTTCTAAACTACCGAACCGATATTAATCAAATTTGCACACCGTGTGCAGTTTGATCTAACTTAAAAGATAGGATAGCTTACATCTCAATTTATACCTGCAATATTATTTTATTGCAAAATATTTGTTTATTATTTGATAGTCACAATTCTAACAGATGGCGATGTGTTGAAAAAAAAGCATGGTGGTCCCCATGACTGGTGTTCTCCTACCGTTTCCCTTGAATAGGTTACTACTATGTAATATAACAAAAACCTTAGCCACAGCAACGCTTGGCCGGTGTGCTAGTCATATATATAAAATTCTCGTGTCACAATGTTACTTACAATACTCTGCCGAAACGGCTTGACCGATTTTTATCAAATTTTATATGCATATTCAGTAGGTCTGAGAATCGTCTACTATCTATCTTTCAACACCTTAAGTGATAAGGGCTGAAAATATTTTTTTTTCTTGGATAATTTTTTTATTAATTTTTTTATTATACAGCATACAAAAATACGTTCAACCCCTAATTTTCACCCCTCTACAATCAATCTTTTTTTTATTATTGTAGATTGTTATGTTTATTGAACTAAATAATATTTCCTAGAAATATTTTCATATATATATATATATATATATATATATAAATAAATTAGTTAACGAATTACATAGGTTAAAGGAGCTTTTTCATTGCCCGTTGAGTGAACTGGCAAAAGTTCTATTATTTGTTAGTGCCTATAGTAGTTAGTTAATTTCGTGTATTTTTTATTATGTAATTTTGTTATTAGTAATTAATTTCGTATGTTTGGTTTTTTTGTTTCGTCTGTAAATTTTATTAACTTTTGTCAATTTAGGGTTTCCTGTTAGGGCTGGAGTGTTTTTATAAAATAAAAAAAATCTTCTCCGGGAAACATGATTAAAAATTAATAGATTTTTAAAATTTCCAAATTAAGGTTTATTTGGACGGGACTTGGAAGTTTTAAATGCAAAGTAATTCTCGTTTGTCTTAACATGATTTCTGATTTGTAATACTACATCAATAATATTCTAAATGTTCATGAACATAAATTTATTTTTTACTGAATCTTTCAATTCTTTTCAGTATATTGGTGCTCAGGCGCAGCTGTAACCTACACCATTGGTGCGGTAATTCTAATCATTCCAGCTGTTATGTTGTGTAGACTTAAAACGTAAACCTTCAAAAGGTTCTTTATTAATTTTCACTGCCAACAAGTTCATTTGTTTAATTTTTTTTATAATACACATGATCAGCTTTGTATGGGAACTTCAATTCTAATATGTTTCAATTTTTTAGTGCTTTTTTGCGATAACGAAAACAAAGATTTTTTTTGTCATAGAGTAAGTTTTGAAGTCGAGGTTTAGCGGGAATTACGAGTGTCAAAAACGTAATACATATTTTGTGATGATGGGGTCATAGTTCGCGCTAGGTCTCGCTTGTCTAATTTCTAAATAGATATAAAAACAAAATCTATAACAAAAAAACAATAACGAACCTTAAAATATAATAACTAAAATATATTATTAAAAGAAGTCCCTTTAGGCAAGGTTCCGAAGATACTGGCAGCATTCCCCCTTTGAATAGAAAGACTAAATCTTTGTCCGAGCCAGCTCTTTGGTCTCCTGTGATGTCGACTAACCTTTTCGTTATTTCTTTAAAAAACCTTATAGCGCTAGGACCCCCACGGACCAAGGGTCTCGGAGCCTGTAAATTATGTTATAGATACTAAACATTGTTGTTTTGGCTTAGGTGCATTATATGAACTTCTTCGGTGTGCAATCATTTAAGATTTTTGTTTTTTATCCGCGATAAATTAAAATCATTTATTCCTCGCGAACAAAAAGCACATTGATTTATTTATATTTAAAATGTATGTACGTTGATCTATAAGTGCAATTGTGTGATTGTTTTATTTATGAACAAAGTTCTATTAACTTTAAATTTCCGAAGTATTAAATTATTATTTGAAGTATTCAGTAGGGTTACATTTGAGCAAATAGGAGTACTGTTAAGTACTGACTGAAATAAAAGACTATTTGTAGTATTGCTAGTAAAAAATTATAAGATTAAAAAATCATTTATATAAACGAAACGGGAGTTGATATTGTCTTGCAAAATCCGAATATTTGTATAATATTTTTTATAAACAGTAATTATAAGCCGTGTTAAATATTTATTAACTTCGTTATATAACCGTTTATTGTTTAAAACATTACGAGACTTTTATATCAACTATGTATTTATAATCAATAGATTATTGCCATTTTGGTATCTGCAGGCCTAGACAAAAACGTTTTATCGCAGGCTTGACCAACATTTGAATTTTATTGATATAAATCAAGACAAACTATAAATATGAGATGATGTCATTTACTGCTGATAGGAGATTTTTGTTTAGAGATTTGTTTCACTTGTGATATTAACTGGATATGAAACATACAACATTCAAGTGTTTTAAAGTATTGTTTACATAATTGGAATTATTCCAGATTTTCTTTTCTACAATATTTCAGATGTATTACCTTTTTAAAAATTATATATCAGTATTTAACTAGCTCTTGTTTTATTGTGGTCCTATCCTTGTAAATAATATAGTATTCTATGAATAAAATAATGTACTGGTGCAATTATAGAATATGCTATTAGAACATACTAGCATGTTCTAAGAAATTATAATGCTCGCATTTTTATCATTACAAGGATCAGGGGATCATCCTCCAAAACCAATTGAACTTCGCTCTTCGTATTATACGACACACCTGTTTAATAATTAATACATGTAATTTAACGTGAAACTATACATTAATAATAATAATAATTAAGCCTCGTTTATTCCTTGAAAAATTTACACTTAATATATTTTTTTAAGGACCTCTTATTGAATGTAGGCCTCCTACAATTGGCTCCATCACTCTCTGTTTTGAGCATTTTTCTCCCAATTCTCTCCACCAACTTCCAAGCTCGTCAGCCCACCGTGCAAGAGGGCGACCTTACTTTCTTTTTCCTGGTGGCCCTTTCCACTTTGTTACGCTGTTTGTCCATCTCACTTAAGATTTTGCAATGGGATAATGCATCAAAAACCTTTGTTTTGTTTCTTATTTGTGTACTTCTGAAATTGTCCTTCAGTTTTAAATTGAGTACACTACGTTCCATTCCTCGTGGACAAGTTGTTATTTTTCTATTCGTGTTTATTGTTTGGTTCATAAAACCAATTTGAAACATTCAGAAATCTGGTAGGTAATTATTAATAATTTAGAAGCATTATTTAAGTAGTGTACCTAGTCAAATCGCGACGGTATTCAATAGATTTTTAAAAAAAAATATTAAAGAAACTATTGATTAAAAAATACAAGTGTTATTTTAAACGGTATTTAAACGGTGGTCGATGTTAGACTGATCGGAATATAATTCTATTCTTACTGCTAAAACCCTTACATGATAAAATAATAAAACTAAGCATTCGTCGTAGTAGTTGTATTAACGCCAATGGGTGCGTTCTGGTATATGTGTGAAAATGTAACTACCTAGTTCAGTAAAGTACCTACACATGTAAATCTTTATGATTTACTTGTCAAAAAATATCATAAACGAATGGGAGCGACTTCCATAAAGAAACACCACTAAATTTGTTACGTCAATAGAGCAATATTTTGTTTTATTATTTCGTTACCATGACAACTTGTATCTGTTGTTTCTTGCTTTGCTATCCCGAATGAACCATTGTTTTTATACTAGTTGTTATGGGTTACGTTGGATCACGTATTTAATAAAAAATGCCATTATTTAGTAACAAGTTTTCACCTAAAAGTATTCCGGTAAGAAAATTTGATACTTCGGTGATAAGAAATGAATTTGGTAGTGATTATGCTGCAAAAGAATTATCTATTGACATTCAACCGCTTAAACTAAAATTTGGTGATTTCGAAATATCGTTTGAGGATGGGCAATGGATACCAGGTTAGACATATTATATTTACATTTTGTCATTATTTCTGGAAGTTACAATTCTAATTAAGCTCTTAGCTCTACATGAGGTTGTAATATATTTGTGTAGGTATTTAGTACTCACATCGTTCGAGGCGATTTTAGTTGAAGGGCTTTTTGCGTAATTGTTAGTTTTTACTTTAAATCTCCGACCATCAATAGTTTGAAAATTATATTATCAACTCAAAAGGTCGAATATTAACGTTTTCGTCGTATTCTGTAGCTTCAGGAAAGGCAGGATTAACTCACAAAGAGAATATAAGATTAAGGAAAGAATTGGAGCAGCTGGAGGAAGAGAACAATATGTTGCGACTAAAGTTCGAAGTTTTGCTCGATATGATGACAGATAAGACCGTGGAAGCTGAGCAACAGGCAGAAATACAGCGGTCTCAGAGTATGAGTTCTTTGAAACAGAGAAATAAAAAATATAAATGGTGAAAATGCGTTTTACATTTTTATCATTTAAGAAACTTTGTCCTGAGAATTCAAATCAATTACTTATTAGGTACTAACGGAGTTAAACGTTGTTAAAAATATGTTTATTAAAAATAAAATATGTTTATTATTGAATATAAGATACAGGTATCACTTATTCCACGTTATTAAATTTGTATAGGTAGGCATCCCTACTCATCGGCAAAGAAGACAGAGGGTGTAAGCCGAGAGAAAATGCCGGCGCAAAAAACTCTCGGTACTCTTTTAAAATAGCAAATCATCAAACAACACTTATTTAAAAACAAATATCGCAAATTAATTAGAAGTAGCTGGTCTAGCACTAGTCCCAGGTCCTTTTATCAACTAGATAATCGTTAACTTTATAATAAGCCTTTTTACACAGCTTTTCTTTAATACATTTCTTAAATTTATTAAAAGGTTGAGATAAAAGAGCCTCTGGGATTTTATTAAAGAAGAGTATCCCTTTTCCCAAAAAAGAATTAGGTACATGTAGCAGTGGAGCTTGTAATTCTAGTGGGCTCAAGAAACAAGTTTACAAGATTGTAAGATTTTAATAACAGATTGAATTTTTAAAGATTAAATTTCGTCTAACTTTTCTTAAAAAAAATCGTGAGGTGCACTTGGTGGTCTGTAAAAACTTAAAATAATGCAGTTCTCAATCTCTACACAGGCTACTTCCAAAGAATGTTCTACAGACAGACACACGATGTCATTACGCTGTTTATACTTCAAATTTTTATTAAGAATAATAATTAAAGAGCCTCCATGAATCGCTGACATCTGCAAGACGAACTTGCAACTTGGTACTGATCAAAGTTTCATTCTCTAAGCCAATGTTCGGTAGGACATACACGTATAGGACATCATTTTTACTTGATTTTAAAAATAACTCCAATTCTAATTCTTTGCCCAACATACCTTGCATGTTTTGATGCAACAAGTTTAAACCGTTGTTGTTAGTAATATTACGTATACATGTTTGTGTTGAGCTGAGTTGAAATAAGTTATTGCTAGAGGTCGCCTCTATTGTCACACTATCTAATAAAAGAAGCAGTGGTCGAAAATCGACGACTCATTGGTCTAGTGGTTAGTACCACTGACTGCGAATCCATGGGTCCCGGGTTCGATCCCCGGCTGAGACGAACATCGATGTGATGAGCATTTGGTGTTGTGCTTAGGTCTTGGGTGTTTAAATATGTATTTATATGTCTATCTATCTATAATATGTATGTATATCCGTTGCCTAGTATCCATAACACAAGCTTAACCAGCTTAGCATGGGACTAGGTCAATTGGTGTGAATTGTCTTTAAAAAAAAAAAAAAGCTAAATGTTTAGCTTTAGTTGTATATTAAAAAGAAAGATAGCATAGCTATCTGTTGTAAATAATAATTAGGTAGGCGGAACCTACCCTTTGTCAATACATAGTTATTAGAGTTAACGTAATACACCCCAGCAAACACTTATTTAAGTACGCACAACTTTCACTAATATATTATAATAACCCGTACCCTTACCTTACAATTAACAAAAAATTTAATTACATTAAAGTTAACATTTACTGTTAGTTTTTCACCGTTAGTTCTTTGTATGTTAAATCGTCAATAAATTTTGTATAAACCATAAATGTAAATAAATAAAAATATCTAGTAAATAAAGTTATATTTTATTCTTAACGGTCACTAAAACGATAACAAATAATACAAAAGTAGTTTTATTAATACGTTTAAGCTTAATACATAAAAACTATGCTCAATCTAGAAATTTCTATTGATTGATTATTAGGGCATCTTTTTCTTGTGTGTCCCTCTTTTCGGCATGGCTTAGGGTCCGTTCACACAGACCGGCTCGGAGAGGAGAGCAGATTTTTATCACGTTGGAAACAGTGTTTTGAGTGATTGTAGTAAAGTTTATTTTTGCATTTGCACCTTTTTTGTCATTAAAAATGCCTGAACGCGCTTCGTGTGAAGTAATAAAAGGAGCCGACCGGCTCCGCTTGCGTGCTCTTTCTCTATCGCGTAGCCGATCGGCTCCGATTGCGTGCCCGCTGCGGCCGCGCCGACCGCCATTTTGATAGCAACATTTGAACGTAATAGTTGTGCGTACTTGTACGAAAAGATGAATGATGAAAAATTAATAATACTCGTGTCAAAATATGAGTGTTTATTTGACATAACCAAGCCATCATATAGCGATCGGATAATGAAAGACAATGCATGGGAGGAAATTAGCAAATGTCTCGGAATAAGTGGTAAGTAAGGTTTTCATTGTTTTACACCTACCCCCAGATACTCAAACGAATTTTAAAGCAAGGGCTTCTTAAACTCGTGCTGCGACGTGTTAGATTCAAAGTCAAAATAGGAATAACATGAGTTTAAATGCGCCCTTACTTTAAAAACTCGTTTGAGTATCTGATCGTTAGAATATACTTATGTAGTAGACAATTTTTATTAAATATAACTTAAGAAACTCGCGTAGCCACTTGATCTTGCCAATCTAAAGCACCACTTGATGAAAAATAATCCTTAAATTTATTCCTTGTGGTTAGAACTGCGTCGCTATTAGAACTGTTTTCATTATTATTGTCTGTTATTGCTGTTAATAAATTTATATTGCTGTGAAATTCATTCTCTTGTCCTGGCGTCCGATTTTCTATTAAAAAATTATGTAAACATGTAGTTGCTAATATAATTAAATCACAGTACTTCGGCTGAATTTTCATTCGTTTTTGATAAATTTCAAATCTTTGAGTTAGCATTCCAAATGCACATTCTACGACTTTTCTTGCCCTGCTTAAACGCAGATTAAATACTTTTTTTGATAATTCTGTTCTTGCTTGTTCTCTTGGATACGGCCGCAATATATTATTGCTCAAAGGAAATGCCTCGTCTCCTATAAAAACATGTGGTAAGCTTTCAGTGGTACTAGGTAGAGGTTTATTTGGGGGCAGCTTTAACTTATTGGTGTTGAGTTTTTTCCAAAATTTTGAATTCTGTAAAATTCCGCCGTCGCTATTTTTACCATATGATCCGACATCAACAATTAAAAACTGTATTTCGCGTCGAACACAGCTAGTAACACTGTACTGAAAAAGTTTTTATAATTATAGTATAAGCTTCCACTATTATCTGGTGCCTGTATATTGACATGCTTTCCGTCTATAGCGCCCAAACAGTTAGGAAAATTCCAAATATTAAAGAAATCACGTGAAACCTTTTCCCACATTTCTTCATCTGGCATCTGCATAACTATGGGCATCAAAACATCACAAATTACTCTGATTGTCTCATGAATAATTGAATGAACTGTAGAAATTCCCATTCGAAAATTAAATGACAAGTTTTTGAAACTGCAACCAGTGATGAGGAATCTGTAAAAATAAAACAAACACACAAAATAGAAATATAAGACTGCCGTACCAAAACGAACTATAAAATTAAAAAAGAGTTATGTTATTAATTTTTCATTTCTGTTCTTTCCAGTGACGCAGTGCCAGGATCGTTGGAAGAAACTGCGAGATAACTTCAGAAAAGCCTATTATAACCGAAAAGGCAAGAGTGGCGATGGTGCAACTACGTCCAAATTGATAAAATTTGAAAAAGAACTTTCTTTTATAATACCATTTTTTCGCAATCGAAACCAAATATCTAATGTAACATTATCATCGGATGATTCAGAGCCTGGCACACCAATACCACCACCATCGACATCATCTAAACGTTCTGACCATTCTGAAGTTGAATCGCTTGCAAGTACTTCTGGCTCGAAAAAGAGACCACGCTTAAGCAAAGATGTCGCTACGGTTTTCGAAGAGTATCTTGAAGAAAAAAGAAATACTACACCCCGTGACAAGGCATTACGTAATTTTTTTTGTCTATGTCAGATACAGTGGAAACATTCCCAAAAGAAGTCCAAGCACGAATTAAAAGGCGCGTGTTTAACATTGTTAATGAAGCTGAATTAAGTCTGTATGAAAATAGTACAGATTTGAATTATTCTTTGTCTATAAATTCACCGCCATCGACTAATCAATCTACTTACCTAGTGTCAAACGAAACCTATATTCCTCAAAACTATCCAGATCAGACTACTTGCGGGTACAATACCAGCACACAAAATACAAAATAATAAACAATCAAAAACAATAATAATTATAATAATAATAATTAAACACACACAAATCTGTACTATTTAATTACATTTCATTAACGTAAATAATGCTTAATAAATGGAGGGCTGTGATTTTGTGATCTATTTAGATGTTTGTGTTATTTAACATGATTAGTATAAGTAATTTACATTTCATTAACGTAAACAATGCTTAATAAATGGAGGGCTGTGATTTTGTGATCTAAATAACATGATTAGTATAAATAATTGTTTTTTATTTACCTTAAAGTTACCGTTAACCTTTCTTCGGCTGTAATGGTGCAACGATAATTTGTAGTCTTTTTTGTTATATGTACTCTTAACAAATCTGTCAATTTCAAAAATTGCCAATATTCCATACGATAATACTCATAAAATTTTAGGCTATCTCTCTTCAATTCCTCGAAAATGGTGTGAAACTCCCCATGGATTAGTCTGTTTTTCCAAATATGTTTTACCCATATTTGTTTCCGCTTGCGCTTACGTTTCCTATGTTCTATTTCAAGTAATCTTGCTGACAAATATATTTCTTCGTCGGAGCTATCTAAATCCATGTTTCGAAAAGCACACGTTAACACACCGAAAACAAAACTTAGACTGCGCGGAATACTGGCACTGCCTTTGTAGTGTATCCACCCGACTCCGAGCGCATCCGACCGGCTCCGAGCACATCCAACCGCACCCGCTTTCAGATCTCTTCCAGCCGGTCGATGTGAAATAGTTGGCGGCTCCGCTCCGGCCAATTCCAAGCGTATACGACCCGGTCTGTGTGAAAAGAAAAAAGCAGGCCGATGCTCTCCGAGCCGGTCTGTGTGAACGGACCCTTACTCGCCGTACGTCCATTCATCCGAACTACTATATGCACGTTTCCGACCTCTTCCATTGGTACTCCATCCTGCAAAAAAATATTTATATTTACTGATATATCTAGAACAATTGCCATGTTATAAAACTCTAATTTAAATTGGGAATGCTTTGCGTTGTGGTCAGTGACACGTCGATTTTAAGAAAGTTTACGTTTAAATTCGTCTGTTATTTTTCTTTTCGATTTTAGAGAGCAAGTTGCTAGACGACCATGAAATAAATCAGTGTCAGAAATGGTTTGTATGTAGATAGATTGCTTCGGCTATTAAAAATCACGCTGGGAAAACTAGTTAATAAATAAGGATTTTGGTACTGTAGGCATCGCAGGCGTGTCAGTATAAATCATTGTTAAATAATCATATTTCAAAGTAGTTGTATGTGTGAAACTAATGGTAAATGGTAGGATTATTTAATTTCATCTTTAAACTTTCCTAAAATTGTGAAGACAATCAATTTTAAATTAACGGTCATTAAAAAACGGTTATCTATGACCTGTATGTGTAAGATATTTGTTGAAATTGAATAGTGAGAATATATATTTTATATATTTATATTTAGGAAAGATCTACGTATGATGATGATATTCCGGCTTTCTCGAAAATAAGTCATATAGAGATGGGCCTTTTTGTTTTAGAAAACCAGTATCATGACAATTTAATTAGTTATTTAATATTTTTTTTAAATTAACGCATGAAAACATTTTATCATTAAGGAGTAGTCTATAGACTTATTTCTCATAGAAAATAAAATTCACCCGAGCTGGTTGAAGTTTCCCCATCTGCCCATTGAAAGAATTTGCATCGTTTTTTGATATCCTTGGGGCAGGCGTAAAAGGGGCGCCCTTTATTTTGACTTTCTTTGCTGACAGTTAACCTATAATATAGAAAAAAAATGTCAAGTCCCTTAAGGCTTCGACGGGTTTTTCATTCCTGCCTTTGTATGACAGGTTGATAATTGCTTACAACACAAAGAATTGTTTCTCGCCGAGAACCGATTTTAGTCACTGTTCTATGTAAATCTAGATTATTGGGGGCAGCTCTATGTCTTGGTTACTAATTTTTTTACAATATCATATTTTTTTTTTACGTTTTCCAGATAATTCCCCGACTATGTAGTCGTCGGAGGTGTTAAAAAGCTTACATAAATGGTATTGGTTACCCGAATGTTTACTTTCTATTACTATATTACTATATTACTATATATTATTAGAAATTATTGTAATTTCTTGACGTCATTATAAATATTATATAGAAATAGATTAAACATTGCTCATCTTCTCAAATTCCACTCTGGTTTTCCATATAACCTAGCTTTTCATATACCTAAAGTCCAAAAATATAGGTACTTTTTATATTACGTATACGTAACGGAAACGTTAAGTGATACCGCCATCCATGGACACTCACATTGCCGGAAAGGCTCGCAAGTGCGTTGCCGGCATTTTAAGAATTGGTACCATCTGTTATAATGCAGCTCTGTACAGAATACTGCTGACATCTCACGTTTTCGCCAGATCATCAATTCATAATAAAATGTTACACTTAATAAATACTATTGAATTTATTTATTAGTAACACATTTGTCTTAATTACAATTTATTGTATCGAATTATTTCGTCATTGAATTTAATTATAGTTTAAAATAAACTTATTTTTTTTTAAACCCTAAAATAACGGGCAGTTCTAACATCCTTCCTTTCTAACCTATACCTAAGCCGATTTATTAATAATATTTTAGAATCGGAATTCGAATAAACCATATTAGTTAGCGCATAGAAATTCGTACGTACTTTTTACACGTAAGCCTGCATTCACACATAACATTATCTTTATTGGGGTCTGTATTGGGCTTTTCGGAAAATCTCTCAGCAAGAGCGCCATCTATTTTATTTGCTTCCGCTGTAACTTTTAAGTATACTTCTTTGTATTTCGCAACCTGTAATGTCAGACAACCGTTAGAAATATTATTGGAGAAGTGGCCAGTCCTCAAAATATAGGTCATTATTCAAAATAAGATCCCGCACCACAAGCGTCGGGGAGATAAGGAAGGCAACCTGGTATCTTCTGCCAAATACATTGACCAAACGTTTCATACCTGTTCTGCCATAACAACTTGTGGCTGCTTTCTTCCTTCGGATATCGCTTTCAAATCGGCTTCAAATTGCGCTCGCAAATGCGGTTTTGACAGATTAAGACCTATCCTCTCATATCCTTCGACTAGCCCCATACCCAACAGGTCAGGAACGAATGTTATGCCATCATCTAATTTTACATAAGACCGTTCTTTTATTTTTTCAATGTGATTTGCGTGTGTTGCGTCCGTGCCTAATAAAAAAACCGTAATGTTATTGATATTTTATAGAATAGGGGCAAAGGTGAAGGGGGCTTATCAGATGATAAGCCCATGCAATCTTTCTTCGCCTTACATAAAAAAAAACCACTGATGGGCAGACAAAATCTTTTATTTATGAATGAAATATTTTAATAACTTACCAATGCCATGTTCTTCCATGAGCTCGATAAGATCCGCTTCCGTTAATAAGTTCGGCGGTGACGTACTTCCGTCCACGAGATCTATACATGACGGGTTAAATGTTTGTCCTGACTAAAATGGCATACATATTTTATTTACTAATTTTGAGAAGTAATTTCTGGTTGTATTTTTAGATAGATTACTTCTTAAAGTAACGAAATACAGAAAAACAATTATCTAAATAAACCACTAGGATTTCATCTACGGGGACTTAAACATTTAGTTTTTGTTTTTTCAAATGTTAAAATATCTGTCCCATATGGCATGGGGATACAAACCTGATAGACATGAATTTCCGTAGACGACCAATCATCATATGGATATACGTCTAAATAATTCCTCGCGGTTATCATTAGCCCGTTGCCTGAGAATACTTCATTGGCAATATTAATAGTAGCTGTGGTCTCTTGGCCTTGTGCGTCTTTGGAACAACAGGCGAGAAACGAACGAACAATCAACTCGTATAGGCGTCGCTCCGGTAATTTCAATAGTTGCCCTGGCAACACAGGCTAATTTAAGTCTATTAATCCGATAGAAAAAAAACCTATTTCTATCAACCAATGCCAAATGGCGAATGGACTTGTATTCAGGTCATGTGAATAATTTAAGCAGTCACAGGCCAATTATAAGCTGTCCCTCGTTTAAATGTCCCATGTTTAAATATGAAAACGAAATAATGCTCTTTAATTATTATTATTATTAGTTGTCATTGCACAAGTCAAGCAGAAAAAACACTAAGAAATTCACCATCGATATATTTTGTGGGGTAAATAGGCGGATGGGCCCCATCACTCTTATTTCCTTGTCTGGGAGTAGGTCCACCATTATCCAAAATATTCTGCGCAAACGCACCCCAATTGGGATCGTCGGTGTGTAGACCCACCAATTGCTCCAGATTCATTTCCTCTGGAAATTCGTTTGTTTCTGTACGAGGATAGCTTGTCAGACCATCCATATATAACTTTTCCGCAAAATCCATAGCTTTTTTGGCGTTTATATTTAATTTTCTTGACGCCAATTTTTCAAATTCCTAAAATTTTATTTTAAAAGTTATGAGAGTATTTTAAATAATGTATCATTATATTGATTTGAAACTGTGTAGAATATCGCCGAAATATCACGAAGTTCGTCTCGATTAGTATAAAATATAATCAGTAGTTCTTTTCGTTTTTGTCGAATCTCTTTGGTGTACGTGAAAAGTAAAAAAAAACAGAGCGAATTTATTACATCATTTTATATTATCATACAGCATTTGTGTGAAGAAGTTTTATTATATGCATTATTCAAAGACAAGCATAAGTACATAATTTAAAAACGACATTATTCGTTCGTGCATACTTTTCATTAAAAAAAACATACCTCTTTTCTTCACACAGTAAACAAAATTTGACAGAAAGAGACGAAAATGCACTTTAGTCACAGGTGCAATAAGAGTGCTCTACAGAGTTAAATAATGTAAATATTTAAATTAATAAACTAACAAATACTTACCACAGTGGTTAACGGCAAAGGACGCCTTTTTGATTTAGGTTTCGTTGTGACGTCAGTTACCGTAGCAAGAGGACTCTCTTTACATGTGTCGTGTAATACCTGAAATTTAAATATATTTCCTTATAAACTTAAATTTAATAAATAATGTGGAAATGACAGTGCTGAAAACTAAACATTAGCTAGCTATTAAAGGCGTATAGTATGCATATGGACGAGGTTATTTAACACTAGACAATTAGGGTAAGATTCTGAGTCGAGACTTCGTGAAGTATCAGTTCCGTATTGAATTTTTACATACAAGAGTCATACTTATTAGTTATTACAATTAACTATGAAACATGACATCAAAGCCAGCTGGTCAGAAGTATTTCAGGCTGGTCGTAAATTACTTTGTTGGACACAACCTATTAAGGGTAATAAAAATAAATAGGGTTGGCAAGAAACTACATAATATAGTAACTTAAACAAATAGAAAAAAGTAGGTAAGTATAGAGGTAGGGGAGCCCAAGCGGGGATTTCGGGATTTACTAAAGCGCGGCAGATTAATATACAGGCGGATACCTTGTACCCGGTTAAGTACCTCCACAAAACATGAGGCCCATATATAAGGCCGCCCGTGAAGGATACAGGATCCGATTAGTAAAAAAAAATTGACCATCAGAAATTCTCGAGCGCGTCAGATTAAGGTAGGGTGAGTTAATTACATCCTAAAAAGTGTATATTCCACTAATCTGACAATTTGAGAGTGACGTAAAAAAAGGGGAGGGCAACAAAGTGGTAAAAAAAAACGTCATCTCGACATTCTCGAGCGTAGCTAAATTTTTTTTACCACACTTTTTGCCACATTATGAAAATGGCCTCGGGTTTGCGTCCCATCGAAATCTTCAGATTAGTGAATGAGAGCTTTTTTTTGGTGCACTTAACACTCCCTTAGAAAATCTGACGCGCTCGATTAAATTTTTTTTTTTTTCATTTTCAACCCTTAAATTCAACCACCCGCATCATGCAAACGATCAGATTAACATATTTATATTATTAAAAATACGTAGGGCATTGATGCTATCAATATCTGACGCGCTCGAGGATGTCCATGCAACAGTTTCTTTTTACATATTTAAAAATCTATAGCCGCTTCCCCCACCGATGTAAAGATATATATCATATAACATTTTTTTCTTCTTATCATCTAAGCTTTGCATCCCAATAGGTCTCTACGACGCTCGAGTAAATCCCCATTTAGCATCGTGGGCTCCCCTACTATAGCTGTCACTGCAAAATCGTATGAGCCCACTGAAACTCAGTGTTGCTGGTGACAGCAACTTAATGCTGACTTGGGCCCATTTTTGATTAAAGAGATTCATTCTTTCCATATAAACAATTAAAACATGAATTTTGTTTTTATTTTAGGGATACGGTGTGGACAAGTGATGCAAAATTAGAAGCTGGTGAACTTATAATTCTTTTTTTTAAATGAATGTTTAGAACATACCCGGCAAGCTTTTTGATCAAAGAGCCTCACCCTTTCCCAATTGAAATCGACGCTCAAGCCATTCATTGTGTGATTTACTGGAAATTAAAAAAAATGTCTTTTGGCTTGAAGTTATGCGTTCAGATCATGGCTGCTCAGCAATGACTTTTGTAAATGCTCAAACAACACTCATACAGCGAAAAAGCTAACTATGAAAACCAGGATGACGTAGACCTAAAATCAACGTGTCAGGCACATCACCTACTAGCCTGGTAAGGATATTTTTTTTAGTTTTATTTAAATAAAATTTTCGTTTTGCAATGCAATGCGAAAACCATAATCAATGTTTTATTAATTATGGTTTAACGAATATCGTGTAATAATACCTAATTATTTAATAATTGCATTTGTTTTATTCAGTCATTATGCCTCGTAACGTAATGTCCGGAAATCGTTACGTGCAACATCCTATACTCAAGACGTGTGGCCGAAGCCATAGAAAAAGTAAAAAGCAAGGTTTTGACATTTGGAGCAGCTTAAATTTATGAAATACCCATTGTTACGATTTACAACCGTTTGAACAAAAAAACCGGCGTTAAAAGTATTACATTAGGTCGCCCACCAGTCTTTGTTCATTAAATCGAAACGAGATTAGCAAATGGCCTTAAAGTTTTGAAAAAATTGGGTTTTGGGCTATCTATAAAAGAAGTAAATTTTCTCGTGGAACGCATTTAAGGGCCGTGAATCAGGACCAGATTGGTTTAATAAATTCTGAAAAAAATCTTTATCGCTTAAACATTGTAGAGATAAACATACTGACAAACATACCCGTAGGTATATTATGCCGAAAGAAGAAACCCGGTCCTCTCGAACATGGCACAGGGAAATAAAATATCACTGTTTTAACGGCCGTTAGTCAAATTCCAAAAAATATACCCCAAATTATATTTAAAGGAAAATTTGCGTGGGATTCGTGGATGGCTTAAAACTGAGAGAGAGATAAAAGTTTGAGAACGTCTGTTTCGATCTTTCCACGTTGGGGTAAGATTGATATAGGTATGTATGTAAAAAAAAACAATTAGCTATACCTATTTCCTATTTACCTTTATTCTTAAAAAAGCTATGTTTTCACTAAAGTCAGATGTGAGTCTTCAAGTCACACATCTCTTATTAATTTGATTAAATTGATTTTAGAAAAAAAATCAATCTTTCCCCGTCACGTTTTCACCTTTACCCTATTTTGTAGTCGTATCTTTACTTTTTCATTTACTTATTTTCTCTGCTTTGGAATTGATTTAACAATATGTTATTGATATTATATAAAAGTATAGTTATTGGTCTTTATTAGTCAAAGCCATTAATTAGTACAGGTTAATATTTATTTTTTAATTCTAAACATTCTAGTATTTATCATCCAACAATATTTTAATCATTTTCATTCGCCTTTTTACACTGGTTACTTTCTTATTATTGTTAAGAGCTATCTCGAGAGGATATATATCGAGAGGATCGGATAGAAAACGCCGTAGATTTCTTCAAGGGTTTATTTTCAATTAAATCAACGAGGAATTAAACAAACACAGAATACTATCGTAATGTAGAAAGGAAGTAATATCTACATGTTTCCCACTCCTTCAGCTTAATAAATGTTTATGCATTTTTCATGGTTATTTCGTGGTAATAATATTATCACCTAGAAATGAAAATATTATCTGTTTAAAAAAATTAACAGAAGGGAAACCAGGATAGTTAGTATATTGTAAAAATATCACCTGTTAATTTCCAAAACGGTTCCGCAACAAAGTTCTCAACAGCTCTATATCTTTCCACCACAAATCCCAGAGTTGGAAACTGACAAGAACCATAACTAACAACGCTCTTGCCAATAGTTTTCGGGAAAACCTTTCGGAGACGTAGTGTTTGGAACCGAGTGAATGCAGCACCTGCAATATCCTTAAGTTATAATTCTGTAATTTATATTCAGCAATAGCTTGTATTTCTGATTATCAGGTATAGTCGAGTTAATTGTATATAATATATTTAATTATTTATATCAATTACTAATATGTTTCTTAGTATGGCAGTCCCACATTATGTTAATTTTATTTATTAAATATTTTTTGTAATTGAATGATAAATAAAAAAAAGAGTGTGTGTACTTATGTACACGCGTTAGAAGTTATACTTCGTTGGCGTATGGAAAAAAAAATAACTAAAATGCAGTAGTGATTAACGATAAATATTAAAATTAATCAATAAAATTATTATTAGTAAATACTATCACCGTTGTATATGAAATTGATTTAATAAAAACAGAAAAATAATATTTATTTATTCACACTGTTTAATTGTACTGTTACGAAACACATGTTCTAAATATAAAAATACTAGAATATACAACTTGAACATAGTTATTATTGATTTTCATGCCACCTAGAACTAACTTCATTCTGTTTATTTTGTGTAACGGTGCGCGCGCATCGTAAAATTTCACTCTCATCAAATTTTCATAACGCGCCTAAAGAAGTATAACTTCAATAAGAAATATTATGTAATTGAACTGTCACAGGTGTTATAAATTAGCAACATTTATGTAAAAGTGTGAAATCTTACCAATTCTGAAGTCCAACTCCTGTCGCACATCAACTGCATCACTAATATTCTTGTTAGGTTGTTCCAAATTCTGTAAAGCTATTTTCACAGAAAATTCCGTTATCGCAGAGAACTTTGCTCTGAAAATCTTCAAGTCATTCTTAACAGCAGAACATACTTCTATAATCTGAAAACCTATGTTTTCACCTTCTCTATCACAATCTGTCCAGATAATGAGCCCTTGACAACCACGGACCTCTCTTTCTAATGTTTTCTAAAATTATTTTAATATAATTAATTTAAGCTCAACTAAACAAATATTACAGTAGTAAAACTACTTCTAAATTATATTATTTTTATTCAGTGTGCTAAATTCAATTTTAAAAAGCGCATAAATATAATTTGTTCCCGATGAGCGAAAACTCATTAAGTCCAAAATTCTTGTTTTGAAATTGCCATAACTTTAGCATGTCATGACATATTTTTATGTTTTTAGTTTCATTTTGAATGAAATACAATTAAGTTAAAATGATGCTAGCTACCTAAAGTGTTGATTGAGTAGATAATTACTGAGAAAACAAAAAAAAAAAACAATTAATTATGATTTCTCTGTGGAATATCCGATGTATCCGATGAATTACTTAATATTTGCCCCTAGTCAGTGATTTTTCACTCAGATCGAAATTATTTTTATGATAAATAACTTTGGTTCGGGAATTTAGACTAATATTTAGTATTTAAACTAACTGGTAGAGATACAAAATATGCATCATGAAAAAAAAAACTTAAGTGTAAAAAAGGCATTTTGTTTTATAATAATATGAAATCAAACTATACTGACGGACTCATAAACTGCATCAAACTTCAGGATTACAATGATTTTTTTAATAAGTATGTAAACTTTTTAGATAAAATTATACAAATATGGAGAGACTAGCCCTTAATCTTAAAAAAAAAGCAATATTTAAAAATAGAACTGCAGAAAAACAAATGAATATAGCCGGGAAAAGAAAATTTACTTGTAGAGTCCTTTTCATGAAAGAAGTCCCGCGGAGATTTTTGGAACTAAATTTGACAGGTCGGCCATGTTGTCGATCGTCTATGTTATCAAGTTCGTTTGTTGTGGTAGATTTTTGTGAGTTTTTAACTAGCTTAGTGCATTTTAAAGATTGTTGACAATGCCAAAAGTTGTATAAAGTTCGGCTCGAGAAATGATATTGAAGGAACAAAAGAATCAAGGTGTTTTAATACCACTAAACAATGTTCAGAAGAGAGTAGCCGCCATAACAGGTACTTTTTAGAGTTGCCACATAATAATTTTTTGCTGTATTTATGGGACTTGCGACAAATTTGAACAAATACATAACGAATGAACTTAAAGTTACTATTGTTTTTAATTATTCATTATTTAATTGCAGGTGTCAGAGAGAACTGTAACAAGAATTACAAAAGAAGGTATAACAGCGGCGAGTAATTCGAAGAAAATTGTCACCCCGGGGAAGAGTCACCCGCATCCGAAATAGTATCAATAAAAAAAAGAACAATTATATCTACGGCTGGTGATACTGAAACAGAATCAGATTCTGTTTCCATCCACTTTTCAGACAGTGATGTTCCTAAGGCCGCTGATCACAATTATTCAATAAAACTCTGAATAAAAAATTGTAATGCTTTTCTTTACCCTATTTTCTCATCTGTTCCCTGTAAGTAGGTAGAACACCGCTACTATAAGTAAATAAAAATATACTTTTTACATAACATAAATATTCATCGAAATATGCAGAAAATAGTATTATTTGATAAATTACATCTGCTAAATGTAAATAAAATAGGTAATTTTTTTACTCATAAATGGCAACATTACATCATGCGATTGCAGCGCCGCGTCTGGGGGACTTCTTTCATGAAAAGGACTATAGTATCAGATTTGCGTGTTTTTTAAAATTGATTCTTATTGATTTTTTATTATTTTGACAATTGAATTATTGTTACCAGCAGAATTGTTGGGTTAGCTTTTTAACTCATCGAGAGTTTCTGAACGATAATATGGATACTTCGTCCGAACAAGCTGCTCAAATTGTAGCATTGGTGCGGTAGAGCTTGGATCAACGAACGATTGGTAGAAATTTAAATTTAAACCAGTCTACGGTTCCTAGAATATACAGAAGGTTTGTGGAGACAGGTTCTTACAAAAGGAGACGTGGTACAGGCAGAACTCGAGCAACCACCGGTCGTGATGACCGATTTATTGTTACAACTTCCCTGCGAAATCGTTTCCTCACGTCAGTAAACATCAAAATAGAGCTGAATGAAGTGCGTGGAGTAAACGTTAGTGCACGAACAATAAGAAGAAGGTTAAAGGAAGCGGATATCACCCCTTTTAGACCAGCAAATGGTCCAAAGTTGTCTGTAGCTCACAGACAAGCTCGTTTAAGATTTAGGCGTGATCACCTAAATTGGACAGATGAGCAATGGGCCTCCGTATAGTTATAAGTATGGTCGCAGAAGAGTCTATCGTGGACGTGGGGAGCGATATGCTCAAAGTTGCATTAAGGAGCGTGTTCCTTTTGGAGGCGGTTCGTTTATGGTCTGGGGTGGCATATCGATGAACGGGCGAACAGAACTAGTATTCATAGACATGGTCCGTCAAAACGGTAGTAGAGGAGGTTTGACTGCACATCGCTACATAACAGAGATCTTAGAAAATCAAAATTTTACTTTAATGCAGGATAATGCCCGGCCGCACGCTGCTGCACAAGTTCGACAACATTGCGAAGAGGTTGGGATACGTACAATGAATTGGCCAGCACGCAGCCCGGATCTTAATGCCATTGAGCATCTTTGGGACAATTTAAAAAGAGCTGTATATGCGAGAAATCCTGTGCCTACGACAGTGGCATAACTAAGAACACCAATTTCAGAAGAATGCCGCAAGATGTTTTAAAAACCCCAATCAAATCTATGCGGAACCGATTAGAATCCATAATAAGGGCACGTGGAGGTAATACACCTTATTAAAACATATAAAAAACCCTTGCATAAAGCTTGTGTCTATTGTTAAAACCATTTTTTTAATTAAACCAATTTTCTTTAAATTTCTGTTTTTCTTCAAAAAAGTTTTAAGGTCCTTTCCAGTATACAAACTTAAACTTAAGGATATGACCCTACACTGTTTTAAAGTTAACGAACCAATCGTAATCGTAATAACGTTTCAATTTAAATCTGTGTAGAAAGTTTGCTTACTTGGTTAAAATATTTATTTCGAAGTCTTTTTTTACTTTGATGCAGTTTATGAGTCCGTCAGTGTAGTTTTATAAAATAATAGTAGTTTATGCAACTGTCATAATAGAGGGTATTAAAACATGAGTGTAGTTTTTTGATCAAAATAAGATTACACGAGTGTTTTATTACCTAATTATATGCAGTTGCATACACTACTTTATTTAATCTCATGGCTATAGGTTTCCAAGTCATAAAGTCTTGGTAACATTAATTGTCGTACGCTTTTCTTGATTTTTCTGACAAAAGACTGTTCGGCAGTATCGTAGCTGGTTCAAGAATGTCAGGTGGAGTTAAATTTTCATCAGTATCGTCGACGTAGCTTGACATACTTAACATACATACATGACTTGGCAAAACTAGAAGTAAAATTTTTAAGGGTTGGGTGTTCAATACCACCGCACTTTTTTGACGATACTAATTATCTAGGAGTGTCCGGGGGACCTTCATTGGAACACCTCCAAGTGAGTTTTGCTCCGGAAACGCGTCTAAATATTTTTATAAAAAATTTAAAGTTTTGTGTAATGTATTAAAATTTGTAAACAATCCGCCATTTTCTACTTTTCTATTGGTTATAAGTGATGTGACGTTCACTTAAAAAAATCGTGTTTTTAATTTATCGATTGTTAATAATCGTTTTATTTATTTATCGATTATTTCCTCATTTTTGAAATTTAAAGTTATAGAATAATCAACATTGAAATTAACCTAATTTCGTGTTGAAAGATTATAATTAGTACTTGTATTTCATTGTTTGCAACTTTCTGTATTATTTAATTTTTACTAGAATAAAGTGTTTACTTTGATATCCAAAAAGTACCCAAAACCGAATCAGAGCACCCCACTATCCACGTGGTCTTGTCTGTCTTACCCCTAGAGTGTATATAAATAATCGGAGGCGCGGAGGAAGAGCAGCCCCCACCCGCTGTAACCAAAAAGCCGAGGTTGCGGAGGCTTGAATAAAATGCCTGTGCTTTGGTACGCAAGGGTGGAGGGGCTGCATTTCCCGTAGCGCCGGAGCTGTCCACGAAAACAAATATTATTTAGATTGGTTAGGTTAGAGTTAGTATATGAATATTTGGTCGCCGAAGGCGACCAGGACGCCGAGAAGCCGAGGCTTGAATAAACAATTACTATTTAGATCGGAGCTGTCCACAAAAAAAAATATTATTTAGATTGGTTAGGTTAGAGTTAGTATATGAATATTTATATATTTTTATTTAATATATTAGGAAATACAGACGAGTAGGTATCGATAATTTCAAAAAATTTCGGAACCCTATAATCTATCAACACGAAATTAGGTTAATTTCAATGTTGATTATTCTATAACTTTAAATTTCAAAAATGAGGAAATAATCGATAAATAAATAAAACGATTATTAACAATCGATAAATTAAAAACACGATTTTTTTAAGTGAACGTCACATCACTTATAACCAATAGAAAAGTAGAAAATGGCGGATTGTTTACAAATTTTAATACATTACACAAAACTTTAAATTTTTTATAAAAATATTTAGACGCGTTTCCGGAGCAAAACTCACTTGGAGGTGTTCCAATGAAGGTCCCCCGGACACTCCTAGATAATTAGTATCGTCAAAAAAGTGCGGTGGTATTCAACACTGTTACCAATTTTAATATTGTTACTTCACTAACTCATCCTCTTCTTCTGTGGCGTCTGGCTCCAAAAGTAGAGATAAAACGATACGAGTAAATACAAGTACATACTCAATACTTTTCTCGGATACCAAATACATACTTTTAGTATCGATATTTTGAAATGAAGTATAGAGTAGGTATCGGTTAAAAGTACTCATATCAGTATGCCAAAGTCACCAATTCATTTTATTTAACATTACAAAATGCATATCTTAAATGGAAGTTTTTGATCCTAGTCTCAGTTTTGTGTCTATGCCCGAAAAAAATAGTGTGCGCCGCCATGGTTTTGTAGTAATTGACATTGTTTTCGTTCGTTCCTAGTATACCTCCATCCCATGTTCGTTAATCCGAACCTTTAACAGTAGTCAGTTAGTAAGTTGAAAAAAATTCTTTAAAACCGTGCGATGCTTCTAATTTACATAAGCATATAAAAAGTCACCCTGATTATATTACACCTGTTAATGATACTCGTAACGACAAGATTTCGACGTAAGTACATACTATATTAAATCATTTTATGATACCTATGTATCGCTGTCGATTATTATTATACGTTACTTTATAGATATCGATAAACGTTTGATATACCTAATCTTACTGATAGTATCGATAAAGTATAAGTATTAGTATTTATCTTTAAATAATTAATATTTTATCTGCCTTGTGATAAAGCGTAAAACCCATAGAAAACGAGATATTTGCAAAAAATTTAAAAAAAAACGATTTTTGTGACCTTTTGTGACTTTAAAACTTGCGACCATCCAATTATATGTGAATTTTGAGAACTGTTTTAGGATACCAAAATACAAGTTTTTATGTGGTATACTAGGTATGTCGATTTTTCGAGATATGCACCTAATTTGGCCTAATATGACTGGACTATTGGTATTTGCGTAGTAATCCACCACTCAATGGCACTAGAAATCTCTACCACTACCCCTTTTACCATTATTCTCGTTCCAAGTTATAGAAAACGCTTCATGAGATTTTGCAGTGTATATCGTATTATTTAGAACTTTTAACTTTCTAGTAAAATATAAAATACTAATACCACTGATTGGTATATTATGCTGCGTAGAATGCATGGTTAAAAGTATATAAGTTAACTATTATCAAAAATAATAGACCGGTGTCCAATTCTTTAGCGTGTTGTTCTTCTAAAAAACATGTGATTTATAATCTTCCTTTAAATGTTCTGGACGTCCATAACTGTCATAACAAGATTTTAAGTAGGTATATCACCATGAATATTTTTTGTGGCTAACTGCTAAATTTGAAAACTTTATGGATTTTAGTGTCTATTTTCTGTAAATCTCTTTATTTTCAAGCTATGTAATTTTTTTGATAAAAAGTTTGTTGACAAGATTTAGATATTTCTCTTATTTTCTATTAGGACCAAAGCATAGCTTTATTTACTTGTCACTTTTCGTAATTCGGAAACTAGGATACCTACAAAATTTACGATTAGACAGTTAAATAAAGAAAAAAAAATCGTTTTAGTGGCATAGATAACTCGTTTTTTAATTTTTTGACTTAATTAGTTTTCGCTCTACGATGTATTTCATTTTTGTAAGCTATTAATATAATATATATTGTAAAAAAAATATATATAATTATTTTTTATTAAGCTTATTACGATTCTATTAAATCATAATTCAATTAGTATGAATCAAATTAAATTAGGTTTGGTGTGCAATATTTTGTACCTTGATCTCCTCATACTTTATTATGCAAGACTTGAAAACTTCAGCATCAAAAAGTTCAAGGGGATTGCAAGATTGCCAGTTTTTATAAGCACCATAAAAATCCAAAGTTAGAAGGTGACCAGACAAAGATGTCATGACCATTTGGCTTTTTTGCCCCAAAACTTCAGCTTCAAATTCGTATATCTTGTTATATTGCAATAAGCCTTCCCTCTACAAAGACAAACAATATTATATTATGGCCTTATAATTAACACAGTATAACTTCTCATTTTACATTTACTGCCAGTTCTCAAATCAAGGGCGTAGAACGGAAGAGAAAAACTGGCAATAAACTCTCCGCCACTCTTTTTAATCGCCATTTTTTTTTTACTTTTATAGGCTAAACATAAACCTATAAATTAATATTACACTATATTACTATAAAATATGTATTATAAATGAATCATTTACCCAAATCTGAGTTCCTTGTGATAAATGGATTGCAATATTTTTTGCTGCATTATTTTTTTCTGCAACATTTAGGTACTTCATAGCTTCTTACTTCGTAGCTGATTAATAAGGCATTTATCAATGCATTTAAAATATACGTGCTGCTTTCTAAAGATAAATTCGAGATAACAATATCATTATCAATTAGGTATTGCTTTACATCATTCTAATTTCTATGCGGCACATAAATAATTTGCACTGTAGTACTTATTATTAAATATAATAAAATGGAATTATAATAGCAAATAGACTAATTACTGATTTCATTTGATTTTATCGTCGAGTTATCATTTACGTTGGCAGTAGTTTTGACGACGTTATTATCATAAAATTAAACAATTAATTGCCATAAATTCATAAAACATCCTAAATACTTATAATGTTATCCTTAGTTGATACTAAAAGCGTACTAACTAATTTCTTTATAAGTAATATTTCCTTAGAAAATCCTTGATGGATCCTCTGGATTTAATTAATTTAATATAAGTGGTTTGTTTTAACATTATACTGGCCCTTAATCTTAAAAAAAAACAATATTTAAAAATAGAACTGCAGTAAAACAAATGAATATAGCCGGGAAAAGAAAATTTACTCGTAGTATCAGATTTACGTGTTTTTTAAAACTGATTCTTATTGATTTTTTATTCTTTTGACCATACCAGCAGAATTGTTGGGTTAGCTTTTTAACTCTAAAATGTTAACCCAACAATTCTGCTGGTAACAATAATTCAATTGTCAAAAGAATAAAAAATCAATAAGAATCAGTTTTAAAAAACACGCAAATCTGATACTACGAGTAAATTTTGTTTTCCCGGCTATATTCATTTGTTTTACTGCAGTTCTATTTTCAAATATTGCTTTTTTTTAAGATTAAGGGCCAGTCTCTCCATATTTATATAATTGAATCTAAAAAGTTTGCATACTTATTAAAAAAATCATTTCAAAGTAATCCTGAAGTTTGATGCAGTTTATGAGTCCGTCAGTATATTTACATTTTGTCATTATTTCTGGAAGTTACAATTCTAATTAAGCTCTCAGCTCTACATGAGGTTGTAATATTTTTGTGTAGGTATTTAGTACTCACATCGTTCGAGGCGATTTTAGTTGAAGGGCTTTTTGAGTAATTGTTAGTTTTTTACTTTAAATCTCCGACCATCAATAGTTTGAAAATTATATTATCAACTCAAAAGGTCGAATATAACGGTGTTCGTCGTATTCTGTAGCTTCAGGAAAGGCAGGATTAACTCACAAAGAGAATATAAGATTAAGGAAAGAATTGGAGCAGCTGGAGGAAGAGAACAATATGTTGCGACTAAAGTTCGAAGTTTTGCTCGATATGATGACAGATAAGACCGTGGAAGCTGAGCAACAGGCAGAAATACAGCGGTCTCAGAGTATGAGTTCTTTGAAACAGATAAATAAAAAATATAAATGGTGAAAATGCGTTTTACATTTTTCATCGTTTAAGAAACTTTGTCCTGAGAATTCAAATCAATTATTACTAACGATTATTAATGCTTTTAAGTACGCCCAACTTTCATTCAACTTCGCACTAATATGTAGTAGGTAACGTACATTACGTTACAATTAATTTAAAAAAAATTACGCTAAAATAAACAAATAATTATATAACGTTTGATTTTCACCGTTAGTACGTGTAGGTTAAGTCGTCAATAAATTTTGTATAATCCATAAATGTAAATAAATAAAACAATTTAGTAAACAAATTATTATTATATTCTTAACGAAACAATTTACTTAAACGATCACAAATAATACAAAAGTAGTTTTATTAATACGTTTAAGCTTAATACATAAATCGATGCTTAATCTAGAATTTGTATTTATTGATTATTAGGACATCTGTTTTTTGTGTGTCCCTCTTGTCGGCATACGCTACATTTTCTACGACTATCCGAACTAGAAGTACTGGCCCCGCGTCCACGCCCCCTGCCTCTTCTATTGGTACTACTTCCCCATTCTGCAAAAAATGCTTTATATTGACTGATAATAACAATTGCCATATTATAAAACTCCTTTAACCAATTTTAACGCGTTATCATTATTAAATTTGGAACTCTGTTTTTAAGAAAGTTCGCGTTTAAATTCGATTGTAAGTTTTCTTTTCACTTTTAAAGAGCAATTTGCTAAAAGACCATGAAACAAAATATGAAGGTAGTTTGCTTCGACTATTAAAAACATGCTGGGAAAAGTAATAAATAAGGATTTTGGTACTGTAGGCTTAACACCAGTATAAATCATTGTTAAATAATCATATTTCAAAGAAGTTGTATGTGTGAAAGGAAATGGTAGGACTATTTAATTTCATCTTTAAACTTTCCTAAAATTGTGGAGACAGTTTTTGAAGTTATACTTCTTTAGGCGCGTTATGAAAAATTTATGAGAGTGAAATTTTACGATGCGCGCGCACCTGTGACACAAAATTGGGAGTGTGATTATAGCGTGCGCGAGCGAGATAGGAATAAGACAATCTACAAGTAAAAAGAAATAGAATATGCGTGAAGTTCGTATGCCAACAATTTTGAATGACCATAATGACATTTGTCATTTACCTTTTAAACAAATAAAGGAGTTTTGATTAATTTTTCAAAGAAATTTATTAATTTTATATTGTGCAATACTGCCAAAGCTACAACATACTTCTTAGTGTTTGGTAGAGATGTTCTAAATATATAATTATATATACTTTTAACTAAATAGAATTTATGTTACACTTAATGTAAGAGAATAATAATAAATAATTATTTATTTAATTTTTCAAATGTAAACTGAACTTAATTGACTATAATGACTCCTTTTCCAGTCTTTGATTATTTAATTGTAATTAATTATTTGCATGCAATCAAATACTATTTTTAATAATGCCAAAGAAGTATAACTTCTTACGCGCGTACATAAGTACACGCACCCTTTTTTTTTAATTAACGGTCATTAAAAAACGGTTATCTATGACCTGTATGTGTAGGATATTTGTTGAAATTGAATAGTGAGTTTTATATATTTAAGCAAGATCTACGTATGGTGATGATATTCCGGCTTTCATGTACTCGAAATTAAGTCATATAGAGATGGGCCTTTTTGCTTTAGAAAACCAGTGGCTCTACAATCCTTGAGGTCTGGGTCTCAGATATCTGTATCTGTTTCGTTATTTTTTTTATGGCAAGAAGGCTTTTAATCGACTATTTATCTAAGGCATTCTAACAATGTTTTCTTTCTGCTTACGAGCGAGTGTTAAATGCGCACAAAGAAAGAACTTATAAATAAAAAAATAAGTCCATTGGTGCACAGCCGGGGATCGAAACTAAGACTTCTTGGATAAGAGTTTACGCTGAAACCACTGGGCCAACACTGATCTGCTTTCTTTGTTTTAAATCCGATAAATTACTGGAACAACTCAGGGAACAGTACAAGTTTATCAAAATAGCTTCAGTAGCTTTTTAAATATTTCCGATTTAATTCGTTATTTAATAAAAAAATTAAATTAACGCATTAAATCATCCAACTATTGAATTGTTTATAGACTTATAGACGTATTTCTCATAGAAAATAAAATTCACCCGAGCTGGTTGAAGTTTCCCCATCTGCCCATTGAAAGAAATTGCATCGTTTGTTGAACTCCTTGGGGCAGCCGTAAAAGGGGCGCCCTTTATTCGGACCTTCTTTGTGGACAGTAATCCTATAAGATAGAAAAAATTACAGCGTGATTGCTTACGTCACGAAAAAGTGTTTCGCCGGGAACCAATTTTAGTCACTGTTCTATGTAATTCTCGATTATTGGGGACAGCGCTATGCTCTATGTCTTGCGTGTACGCACTTATATTTCACCATGCCTCCTGCTGATAGAGGACAAATCTTTGTTTTTAATTTATTTTATTATTATTGGGGGCAGCTCTATGTCCTATGTCTTGCGTGTTGTTCCCACGAGAATGTAAGTGCGTGCTCCTATTTCACCATGCCTCCCTCCTTCTGATAGAGGACAAATCTTTGTTTTTAATTTATTTTATTATTATTAATTACTTAAGATGTCATGTGGAACATGGTGTAATGGTTGCAGCTCCTTACAAACGTTGTGTAAAACAAAAAAACTTGTCGATTAAAAAGAATGGCGGAGAGTTTATTGCCAGTTCTTCTCTTCCGTCCTACGCCCTTGATTTGAGAACTGGCAATAAATGTAAAATTAGAAGCATTTCAATTATATATTTTTTTGACGTTCATAAGTGTACATTGCGTACCTATATGAATAAATGATTTTGACTTTGACTTGGTTACTAATTTTTCATTAGAAATTGTATTGTAATTTCTTGACGTCATGATAAATATTATATAGAAATAGATGGAACATTGCTCCCCTTCAAATTCTACGCTGGTTTTTCAGATAACCTAGCTTTTCATATAAAGTCCAAAAATATACTTTTTTTATATTATATGGAGGCTCATCTGATGTTAAGTGAACGCTGTCTATGGACATTCACATTGCCAAAAGACTCGCAAGTGCGTTGCAGACCTTTTAACAATTGGTACGATCTTTTCTTGAACCTAAGTGAAATTATTAATAATATCACAATATTTTATTCAGAAAGTAATCTATCTCTATTCCTCCTAATATCAAATAACCCGATAATCTAATATTATATTATTGATGTATAGGTATACGTACTTGACGAAACTATCGCAAAGATAAAGGAAACCTAGAATTTTATCTTGTTTCTTGTAGAATCGTAAATCAAATTAACCATATTAGTAAGCACTTAGAAATTCGTACATACTTTTTACACGGAAGCCCGCATTCACACATAACATTATCTTCATTGGGTTGAAAGTCATCTCTATTGTAACTCGGTGCGACGCCCCAACCTCTTGAACTACCGGAGTCCGAAGTACCCCTGGAACTACCAGGGGCAGAAGTACCCCAAGAATCGTTTTGGGCGGAAGTACCCCTGGACGTACCAGGGGCAGAAGTACCCCAAGAATCTCCAGGAGTTGAAGTGCCCCACGAGGCATCACTTTGAACGTTAGAATCTATCGATTCCGGTGCCCATAGAAAGAAATCACAACCATTGTTATCTTTGCCTGCTTGGCATTTGTAGAATTTCTTACCTAAAAAGAATTTCATTTCAACACTCAATAGTACAAGATGTATGACACGTAACAATAAAACCCTTAATAAATATATCTTTCTTAAGTGTGACTCACGTACGAGGGGCGGTCAAAAAGTTTGTGGACTGACAGTGAAGGTAAATTAAACATTAAACTATTTTTCCTTTTCAATGTATTCTCCCTTAACCCTTGTACATTTATCAGATCTGTCCAATAACTTATTAATACCGTCGAAAAAAAAAGATTTGTCTTGGTCGTCAAAATAGGCCGCTATTGCCGACTTCACTTCATCATCGCGCAACTCTTTTTTCCGCGCAGTTCTTCTTTTTTGGAAACAAATAATAGTCGCTAGGCTGTAGGGTGGGTGACGAAGTTGTTCCAAACCGTAAAAAAACCCCTCGTATGTCAAAACATTGGATTACGACAGTCAGAAGTCTCGACTGTATATCTCTATCTTTGTACTTTTTATGAAATATATCGTCACTGTAGAATGATAACCGTCAAAAAGCCATTTATTTTTGAAGTGAAGACTTCTTTAGCGGCGTGTACACTTTTTTTGGAATGCGCGTCAGGACACGTGACCTTATCGAAAATTCGTAAGACGGATGGAGTGTAGACAGCTGGCGCGGCGTATTTAATGTAATATAAATTGACATGTTTGTGTACGATAGCGCAATAAATAAATATTGTATTCTACCACATAAATGATAGTACTTTTATACTGATAATTAAAGCAATTCGTGCAAATTTCTTCCCTAATCATTCCAAAATATCAAAAATGCACAACGTTAATATTCAAGTTTTCAGCCGGCACTCCCTCCACTCATTGAACTGGTATAATCATGAAGTAAGGACTTATTTATGTTATTAATAAATAAGTCCTTTTTACCATCTAAAACTATGGACAAAAACACATAATAATACATTGACGAAATGAAACATATTTTTCGTTTTCTGTAATGTTTAGTTCTCTGGACATACGAGGTTATCATTATACAGTGACGATAGGTAGTTAAAAAAATTAAAACAAAATATGGACTGATAAAAACTAATGTGAAAGAAATTTAAGAAGATCAATTATATAAGAAATCACAATTATGTATGCATAAATACAAGATTAGTCAATTGAAAACTTACCAAAATTTGCATTTTGCTTTCTTACAGTCAACAAAATGGCCGGTTTATTGCACCCACAAATAACATTATTATCATCACTATCTCCAGGATTTGCATTTGGAAATCGTGGGCCATTTCCCACATTTCTTGGTACTGGTAATCTAGGTATTTGTGTGGGAATTTGACTTCTATTTGTATTAAGAGGCGGAGTAAATTGCCTTGGCTGTGTTTGTCTAGTAGTAGGTAAATTCTGACTTGTATTACGTATACTTTGTCCTGTATTAGGTATGTTTTGTCTTGTATTAGGTAAATTCTGAATTGTATTACGTATACTTTGTCCTGTATTAGGTATGTTTTGTCTTGTATTAGGTAAATTCTGAATTGTATTACGTATACTTTGTCCTGTATTAGGTATGTTTTGTCTTGTATTAGGTAAATTCTGACTTGTATTACGTATACTTTGTCCTGTATTAGCATTATTGGTTGTTCTATTGGAGATATTTTGGTTATTCTCAGTTTGTGTAGATCGGACACTATTCAAGTTTATTCTGAGCAGTTCTAAGAAAGTTGTATCACAACCACCAATACATCCAGTGTAAGGTGGCGGGTATAAGTGATTGATTGAATTATTTCGCCATTCGAATTTGACCTTTTTGTAATTCGGCCCACACTAAAAAAAACTTTTCGCTTAGTTATTTCGGCAACCGTTATTTTATGAAATATATTATATTTGTGTATACAGGCTGGTAAAAATTCGTGGATCAAACGCAAATAGGGGATAGATGAGGTCATCAGCTGTAAAAAATTGTTCTACGGGAGGTCTCTAAGCTCAACTCCTGCAGAGTTATAATTTATTTTGCGTTTTTATAAAACATTGACTTTTATTTACTAATTCTTATTAAAAATCGGAAATATCTACACCTGTATCTTTTTCATAATATCCACTAGATTAGTCTGATGAGTTCTTGCGTTAGACATACTATTTATAGTTGTTTATTGAGTGTATTGAAGATAATATTAAGTTATACGATATAAATTTTTTTCAAATCATAACTTTTTGTTTACTTCGGACCTCACTGTGAAAAAAAATTACTCTACCGAAAAGTGACCCTGTATTACAAGTTTTGGCGCATTTAATAGGAATTCTGAAAAGGTATTACACATGGCCATGAGTCGCTCTAATATTATCTTTAGTAAGGTAAGGTAATTTACTTACTGTTAGACATGCGTCTGGTAGGACTTGCAGGTTTTTTACAATAGAAGGCAACCAGACAGCATTTTTACAATTTGGGTACGACATACAACTTATGTAGAATTCATCTGTATTGTTTTTCTTCTGTCGCAGTATCATATCCGACCCACATTTCGGACATTTGAACACTGAAAATTTGTTTATACTAATTCTGTTGTTCTATTGCATACTAAATTAAATATTTTACATTATCAGTAAAACAGAATTCCAATTCGACTTAGAGTCCTTTCCAAAGCGTGTAAATTTTTAAAATTCCGGCAACGCACTTTCGAGCCTTCTGAGTATACATGGCGGTATCACTTAACTTCAGGTGAGCCATCTGCCCGTTGCCCTCCTATTACATAAAAAAATGTCTTAATTGATACTAATAAGAATTATTATTAAAGATGCTATGTTTACTCATAGGTCTTAAATTTAGGTACGGTCCAATGATTTGTCTTAAGCCAATAAAAGTATTAGCAAATATATATATAATTTACCGGAGGGCATGTTATTAGAGCCACTTTCACTGGGCGTATAGTCTAACGGCCTTTCGGAAAATCTCTCAGCAAGAGCGCCATCTATTTTATTTGCTTCCGCTGTAACTGTTAAGTATACTTCTCTGTATTTCGCAACCTGTAACGTCAAACAACCGTTAGAAATATTATTAGAGAAGTGGCCAGTCCTCTCGCGAGTTTTCTTAAGAGAAACATTGATTTATTTATTTACACTTCGTTACCATTTACAAAATCATACATAATATAAAAAAAGCAGGTTACATAAGTTATTGGGCAACGGGCGGCCTTATCGCTAAGAAGCGATTTTTGACGGGGTTAAATATAATGATCACCATAAAATGCTTTGATACCCTTAGTTCTTTTACCAAAAATATATACTTAACACCAGATAAATAACGTCTAAAATTACAATAGTACTAGCTATTTTAGTCACGACTGCACTTCAAATTGTATTCGAACACCAAATGTAGTAAATGATCACCAAATCTTAGCGAGCAAATTAATGCGCTATTTCTGCCTAAATAAACCACTATGATTGACATAAAATGTAGGCTTATTACCAAATGAAAAATTTTTGGACAAGTGGAAAGCCGAAAAAGATTTTGTTACATACTTTGAAAATGAATGGCTAATACTAAATCGTTTCTGGTATTTGGGCGCATCTCTGGGGACTCCTGCTACAAACAATGCTCTGGAATCTTTCAATAAAACAATAAAAGATGGTGGCACGCTTCGTGAGCGTCATCCTTTGGCGCGGTTCTTAGTAATTGCTTCTGATATAGTCAAGGACTGGTCTAATGAATACGTGATTAATAATACTGAGAGACGGTTCGCTCAACTGCCGACAGTATCTTTAAAGATGTGGACAGAAAGTTACCAATGGGCAAAACTGTCGAAGCAGGTGCCATTAAAGAATAGTACTGAGCTAGTTTGCTCATACAGAATTCCAGCTGGGTCGGATTTAGATTGCAAAAATTATGAAAAGCCATGGGAGACCTTTGACGAATACAAAGAGCAACATTTTAGAGAGTGGGAAGTTATAATGCCCCGAGAAAAGGAAAATTGGTTACACGGCACATGCAATTGCCCAAAGTTTCTCAAAGATTACATTTGCAAGCATCTCGTTGGATTGGCGATTCGGCTTAAGCACGTCCAGCCACCTTCAGAGGCCAGAGCTATTCCGATTGGCATGAAGCGCAAAAAGAGGACGACCAGCCAAAGCTAAGAAAGCATTAATTGTGCAGTGAATTAATACAGAAGACTGATTCTTCTTAAGATTTTTTAAATGCTTATTATTAGTTTAGTTTTAAGATCTTTGAACTGTTTATTATTAGTTTTAAGAGGACTATCTTTTTAATGATTGTTTCAATAATTAAAAAGGGATTATTGAAATTGTAAGAGTTTTATTTTTTATTTTAGGTATAGCATTTGGTTGTAAACGAAACGCTCAAGATAATTTTTTTTTGTAGTGGTTAATCAATTTGGAGACAAAAAGGTTAGGAGTAAATTTACTTTACTGTGTTTGGCAAAATATTTTTTTTTGCCGAGGGTAATTTACTTTAATCGGATAACGAGATTTTATTTTTTTGCATTTCATTTTAAATTAAAATATGGTTAATAATTTGGTTTTCATTAACTATTTTTGGGCTAACAATGAGTTTTTTGGAGCCAGTTTGCTTAAATAGGATAGCAAGATGTAAAAACTTTGGTTATAATTTTACATTAAAATGCTGTTTTAATTTTGGCGATCATTTACTACTTTTGGGTTAACAATGATTTATTTGGAGTCATTTTGCTTAAATAGGATAGCGAGATGTTAAAACTTAGGTTGTAATTTTACATTAAAATGCGGGTTTAATTTTGGTAATCATTTACTATTTTTGTCTGTTATATGTTACTATACCTGGTGGTAAGTTAAACATAAGCCAAAAAAAAATAAACACCTACAGAGGGTAAAGTACAAGAAGTGCTTAAATAATTGACAAAAAAACTCAAAATAACATGTAACTATAACTAAAATTAAGTAAAGTAAAATCTAAAGAAAAAATATAAATAATATGTATAAACATAAATGGGAGCGTTCAAGTATTACGTAACGCAATTTTTGGAGATTATTGACCCCCCATGTAACTCGCCGTAACGTTATTCAGTACCCAAGTATAGTAAAACGTTTCGTGACCACCTAGTAACTCTTTAGTTACTATTATGTGGTGTAAGTCGAAAAAAAGATTAACAATAACGCGTAATTTAATCCCCGCCCCGCATCGTAACGTTTTACAAAAGGAAACCAAAAAAATACGTTACGTAATACTTGAACGCTCCTCAAGAAACTTTCCGCCACTCTTTTTTAAAAGTTTTGAGTCATAAAAACTGTTTGAACTGGAACAAATCAATCCCAAAGACGAATTTAAATATTCGTCAAATTTATAAAGTGATAAATTTACGTTTAACGAGAGCTTTGAATTTATTTAGTGATCATTCATTTACGAAACGTTTTACTATACCGCAATATATATATTGCCCGCTCTACGCCCTTGACTTGCGAACTGGTAGTAAATGTAAATTTAGAATTAATTTCACTACTTTTCTGACGTTCATAAGTGTACTTGGTTACATATATGAATAAAGTTATTTTAAGTTTGAGTTTGATCAGTACAAATTGACCTAAAAGGTGGTAGTGCTGCTGGTTTCAAACGTTTCATACCTGTTCTGCCAAAACAGCTTGTGGCTGCTTCCTTCCTTCGGATATCGCTTTCAAATCGGCTTCAAGTTGCGCTCGCAAATGCGGTTTTGATATATTAAGACCCATCGCGTCATATCCTTCGACTAGCCCCATACCCAACAAACCTGGGACGAAATGTATGGCATCTGCTAATGCTACATAAGATCGATTTTTTATTGTCTCAATGTGATCTGCGTGTGTTGCGTCCGTGCCTAATAAAAAGAAGAAAACCCGTAATGTTATTTATATTTTTTTTAAAACCCCTGCTCTAAACAAGGTGCAGGAGGCTCACCTGATGTAAAATGACAAGACCATGGACACTCAAAGTCAGAAAGCTTGCGAGTGCGTTGCCGGCCTTTTAAGATTTGTTACGGTAATTTATAGGCAATCTTTCTTTGCCTTACTTAAAAAAACCATTGATGGGCAGACAAGGTCTTTTATTTATAAATGAGATACAACAATTTATGAAGTTTGATAGCCAAAGCCATGTTTTTATGAATGCTGCTTTTTTTTATAATTTTAATTACATACCAATGCCATGTTTTTCCATGAGCGCGATCAGATCCGCTTCCGTTAATAAGTTCGGCGGTGACGTACTTCCGTCTACGAGATCTATACTTGACGGGTTAAATGTTTGTCCTGACTAAAATGGCACACATATTTTATTTGTTAATTTAAATTTTTTTTTCTTCCTGCCCTATGGAGCATACAAACCTGATAGACATGAATTTCCTTAGACGACCACTTATCATATGGATATACGTCCAAATAATTCCTCGCGGTTATCATAAGCCCGCTGGTTGAAAATACTTCATTGGCAATATTAATAGTAGCTGTGGTCTCTTGGCCTTGTGCGTCTTTGGAACAACAGGCGAGAAACGAACGAACTATGAACTCGTATAGGCGTAGCTCGTTGCCGCTTAAATCTGGCAACACAGGCTAATTTAAGTCTATGAATCCGATATCTTGGAATAAACCAATAAAAAAATCTGATAACCCCGGCCAATGGACTTGTATCCAGGACATGTGAATAACCGAATAAAAAAATCTGATAACCCGGCCAATGGACTTGTATTCAGAAAATGTGAATAAACGAATAAAAAAATCTGATAACCCGGCCAAAAGACTTGTATCCAGGACATGCAAGCAGACACAGGCCAATTATAATACAGGTTATCCTGTCCCTCGGTTTGAATTTGAAAACGAAAGAATGCCCTTTAATTATTATTATTAGTTGTCATTGCACAAGAGAAGCAGAAAAAAACACTAAAAAAACTCACTATTAGTATATTTTGTGGGATGAATAGGCGGATGGGCCTTGTCACTCTTATTTCCTTGCCTAGGAGTAGGTCCACCATTATCCAAAATATTCTGCGCAAACGCACCCCAATTGGGATCGCTAGTGTGAAGACCCACCAGTTGCCCCAGGTTCATTTCCTTTGGAAACTCGTTTGTTTCTGTACGAGGATAGCTTATCAGACCCTGGGTATATAACTTTTCCGCCAATCTCATAGTTTCTTTGGCGTTTATTTTTAATTTTCTTGACGCCAGTTTTTCAAGTTCCTAAAATGTTAAGTTATGAGAGTATTTTAAACAATGGAACATAATATTGATTTTAAATACTGTAGAATATCGCCGAAATGTGTATACACAATCACAAATATTATCACGAAGTTCGGCTCAGCTATTATAAAATATAATCTGTAGTTTTGATGAATCACTTTGGTGTAAGTGAAAAGTAAAAAAAAAAAAAACTAACGCGAATTTTGTATTATTATACAGCATTTGAAGCCTTTGAAAATAAGCAATGCGTTAGATGCCATGATAAATCTCTCTCTTTTCTTCACATTGTAAACAAAATTCGAGAGAAAGAGACAACAAAGCACTTTAGTTACGGGTGCAATTAGAGTGCCCTACATAGTTAAATGAGGTAAATACTTAAATTAATAAACTAAAATATACTTACCACAGTGTCTAACGGCAAAGGTCGCCATTTTGATTTAGGTTTCGTTTTGACGTCAGTTACCGTAGCAAGAGGGCTCTCTGTACATATGTCGTGTAATACCTGAAATTTAAATATATTCCGTTATAAACTTTAAATTGTTAAATAATGTTTTGAAAATGACAGTGATGAAAACTAAACATGGACGAGGCTAATTATCACCAGAATATAAGGGTAAGATTCATAGTCGAGACTTGAAGTATGACTTCCGTATGTAAAATTGGAATTTTAGAAGTCATACTTATTTTAAAAACCAGTGACGCTACCTTAGTTCTCGGCCTCAAATTTTGTTTTTGTTTCGTGATCATTTGTTTTCTCTAACAGGCAAGTTGGTTCAAACTTCTGGGTCTGATACACGCCAACACTGCTCTTTTATTTTTGGAAAGATTTGATTGTTTGAGCAATATATTTTAAGGAAGTCATAATATCTACTTAAAAAATCGTGATACCGTCCAATACATATTTAACTAGCTGACCCGTGCTTACTTCTTAGGGCTACTTTTTATGACTTCAATATAGATTCAAACTCAAAATCATTTATTCATATAGGTAACACAATGGTCAAAAAAAGGAAGAACTGGCAATAATCTAAAAATCATGATTTCTATTGTGGGATACGATGTCTACAAGTGATGCAAAATTAGAAGCTGGTGAACTTATATTACTTTTTTTTAAATGAACGTTTAGTACATACCTGGCAAGCTTCTTGATCAAAGAGCCTCACTCTTTCCCAATTGAAATCGACGCTTAAGCCATTCATTGTGTGATTTACTGGAAATTAAAAAAAAAAAGGGTCCGTGTACTTATGTACGCGCGTAAGAAGTTAAACTTCTTTGGCAATATTAAAAATAGTTTGGCTTTGTTCCACCTCCAGTTTTTGATGTTTCACAGCGATAAGATGAAAACTCTTTTTTTGTATTCAATTTAGTGCAGTTACACTGATTCATCAATTGTTTTTTGTCTCTTTTCCTTATATTTGCTAGATAAAATCAGAAAAATTACATGTTTTGATTAAACAATGTGGTTAATTTTTTAATCAAAACATTACTCGATAATAATAATAATACATACGGATAGTTAACCTCAATTGTATTGAAGCACTTAGGAAGGTTGATGAGCACAGTTTTTTCACAAATATTAATTAGTATTGGTTTAAATATTCAATTTAAATCACTTCTGATTATAATTCAAAAAGCATCGCTAAATTTCTTTGAAAAAATAATTAAAACTCCTTTATTTGTTTAAAAGGTAAATGACAAATGTCATTATGGTCATTCAAAATTGTTGGCATACGAACTTCACGCATATTCTATTTCTTTTTACTTGTAGATTGTCTTATTCCTATCTCGCTCGCGCACGCTATAATCACACTGCTAATTTTGTGTCACGGGTGCGCGCGCATTGTAAAATTTCACTCTCATAAATTTTTCATAACGCGCCTAAAGAAGTATAACTTCAAAAATGTCTATTGGCTTGAAGTTGTGCTTTTGGATCATGGCTGCTCACGGCATGGCACTCAGCGAAAGAACATAGTAAGAAAACCTAAATGCCTAATTAGATAAAATCAACGGGTCAGGCACAGAAGGCTGATCACCTACTAACCTGGTGAGGATAAAAATGTATCTAGAAATAAAAGACTGAGGCCAAGAATTAAGAAATTGTATCGCCATTATTGTTTTATATAAAGTAATATTCTTTAATTTTAAATTTGATTTGTAGTATTTTCAAATTATTTCCTCAATGTACAAAACATTTAGATTTTACAATTAAATTATTTTACAGACAAATCCAGCCCAGAATTTGTTCTTAAAATTGGTAAATAAGTTTTTTTTAAACTATTACTGGACTTATTTTTTCTTTATATTATCCTGATATCAAGATATTATAAAGAAACATTCTAGTATTTATCATCCAACAATATTTTAATAATTTTCATTCGCCTTTTCACACTGCTTACTTTCTTGATATCATAACTATGTAAGAAGGAAGTAAAATCTACATGTTTCCCACCCCTTCAGAAACAGCTTAACCAATTTTTATGCATTTTTTAGATTTCCTCACCCTTTAATTTCCAAAACGGTTCCGCAACAAAGTTCTCAACAGCTCTATATCTTTCCACCACAAATCCCAGAGTTGGAAACTGACAAGAACCATAACTCACAAGGCTCTGGGCAAGAGTACTCGGGAAAACCTTTTGGAGACGTAGTGTTTGGAACCGAGTGAATGCAGCACCTGCAATATCCTGAGAGAGTATTTCAAATTGAAGACATAATATTAAGTTATTAATCTGTAATTTCTATTCAGCAATAGTGTATTTTTGATTATCAAGTATAGTAGTGTAATATACATATATTTAATTATTTATATCAATTACTAATATCTTTACTATGGCCTGCATTATGATACTTTTATTTAAAAATATATTTTTTTGTAGTTTTGTTGCAATTTTTTTATTAATATTAACATTGTTACATTACAGATAGTTGTTTTATACCTAGGCATGAATATCTTAGAACTAATTGAAAATTACTTGCCATTGTATTTCAGAAAAAGATGGTGTAGCATGCAAACATGCAAATTTGATTATCTATCTATGTTAAGGCAGTGGTGATACTCTTAGATACATATGTAATTGAACTATCATAGGCCTCATAAATTAGTAACATTTATTTAAAAGTGTGAAAACTTACCTATTCTTAAGTCCAGCTCCTGTCGCACATCAACTGCATCACTAATATTCTTGTTAGGTTGTTCCAAATTCTGTAGAGCTCTTTTCACAGAAATTCCTGTTATCTCAGAGAACTTTGCTCTGAAAATCTTCAAGTTATTCTTAACAGCAGAACATACTTCTATAATCTCAAAACCTATGTTTTCACCTTCTCTATCACAATCTGTCCATATAATGAGCCCTTGACAGCCACGGACCTCTCTTTCTAATGTTTTCTGAAATTATTTTATTATAATTAATTTGAGCTCAACTAAATAAATATTATAGTAGTGTAACTACTTCTAAATTATATATCTATCATTTTTATTCAGTGTGCTAAATTCAATTTTGAAAAGCTCATAAATATAACATATTTCATTTTTGTTATTAAGATTATTATTATTTATGAATCAAATTAAATTGGATTACGTGTGCAATATTTTGTACCTTGATTTTCTCATAGTTTTCTGGGCAAAACTTGAAAACTGGAGCATCAAAAAGTGTAAGGGGATTGCAAGATTGCCAGTTTTTATAAGCACCAACAAATTCCAAAGCTAAAAGGTGACCAGATACAGATGTCATGACCATTTGGCTTTTTTGCCCGAAAACTTCAGCTTCAAATTCGTATATCTTGTTATATTGCGATAAGCCTTCCCTCTATAACGACAAAACAATATTATGTTATGGTCTTACAATTAATACAGTATAACCTAATATTCACATTACGTATGTTACTATGTTACTATAAAATATGTATGTATTATAAACGAATCATTTACCCTTCGCGAAGTTCCACGTGATAAATGCAATGCAATATTTTTTGCTGCATCATTTTTTTCTGCAACATTTAGGTACTTCATAGTTTCTGTGTTTTTACCCCGTAGCTGATTAATGAGGCATTTATTTATGTACTTAAAATATAAGTGCTGCTCTCTAAAGATAAATGCGATTCGAGGCAACAATATCATTATAAATTAAGTATTGATTTACATCATTCTAAATTCTATGCTGCACATAAATGTTTTGCACTGTGGTACTTATTATTAAATATAATAAAATGGGATTATAGTAGCAAATATACCAATTACTGATTAGCTTATTTGAGAAATGGTGATACATATATTAGATCTTAAAACTTCACTATTAAATAAACAAACAAAAAAAAATTCTCCCCGCCAAAATCAGTTGTACACACAGACTACTTATTCTAGTTATAAGTAAAACGATGTAATTATATATTTTTTTTCTTTTTTTTTAATTGGCCCGCACGGTTTGTGCATTGTGGCCCAGGGTCAAAAACAGGGAAACGGGTAAAAACATAAAATTATCGGCTGGAAAGGAATTTAGGAATAGAAAATATTTAATCTATAAAATAAAAGATCAATTCTTATAAATCAACATACAAAAGGAGTGTAAGAAAACATATTTACATATATTTACGTTCATATTGTCTTAATTTTTATATTATTACTTAAGATAAAAGCTGCTAAAAGATTATATACATGTGGGTCCAATGTTGAAAGTAAACATGATATGGATGAAGGGAAAGGAATTTGAAGGGAAATGAGACCTTCAAGAAGAGCCGACCGGTCGCGTCGAGGACAAACAAATATGATGTGATTTAAATCACCTACATCATATCCGCAATCGCACGTAGGGCTGTCATTAATATTTAACTTAGTAAGATGAGCTGGGGTGCAGACGTGTCCCAGTCGCATACGAGACAGTACATACTGTTGTAACTTTTTTACTGAATCTCAGTTTCCAAAACCAGGGCTTACTGGGTATAGAAGGTTGAATAGTACGATAATGGCGACCTTTTGAACTATCTTGAGCCCAGGATTTAGTCCAGGAATTCCTGAGATAAATCCCTGAAAGAGACATCAAATCATGCGCATAGTTTCTAAAAATGTCTACATCTCCACTCTCCACCGCCTCATTGGCTAAACGATCGGCTTTCTCGTTTCCAGATATTCCACAGTGACCAGGAACCCATGCAAACGATACGGAATAGTTTTCTTTTATACATTTTAATAGCAGTTTTCTAATTTCGGAAATGACAGGGAATTGATAATGTGATCCAAATGGGAACCGGGCTAAGGCATTTAAAGAACTCAGTGAATCTGTAAAAATTACAGTTTTTTGAAGTTTTAGTAGAAGGATGTATTCTATGGCTTTAACAAGGCCAATACATTCGCCAGTGAACACGGAGGATTCAGGAGGGAGTTTAGTTTTTTGAACAATATTGTAATTAGAGTGCAGTACACCAACACCTACACAGCCATCTTTGGAACGCTTAGATGCATCTGTAAATATTCGATGCCAATGTGGCCACTTGGTGTCAACAATATAGTTAAATGTTAACTTTTGGTTTTGCTCAATTTTCACAAGACCTGTGCTAGTATGTATATCAGGAGAGATTACAAGGGAATCATAACTATATTTGAACAATGGATTAGAAGTCGCTTGGTGAGTAGGAGCCTCAAAACAAGTAAATCTTCTGTAACTTTCAACCAAACATGGTGGGCGTTTGTTTTTCCAATAACTACAATTGGGGATTAAAGATGCCAGGTAAGTCAGTTTAGGTGTTAGGATATGGTTACTGAATTGGATACAACGGAATAGGAATTTATCAGACAGAAATTGCCGTCGTAAGCTTAATGGAGGCTCTACACACTCGACTCTCATACAGTTGATTGGACTTGACTTCATAGCTCCTAGGACTATTCTCATTGCTTTAGACTGAATACTATCCATTTTTTTAAAACCAGAAATATTTCCTGGTTCCAACAGAAAAGTACCGTAATCCATTACACTTCTGATTATGGCGTTGTAAATCAGTTTTAAGGAGTGTGAATGCGCTCCCCACCAGATGCCCGATAAGCATCTAAGAATATTCAAATTACGTTCACATCTTGCAGTTACATATTCACAATGGGGGACACCGGTAAGCTTGGAATCTAGAACTACTCCTAAGAATTTGACGTCATTAGTCGAGGGAATCAAAACACTATTGAACTTTACATGGACCGGGGGAGGCCTACGCATTCTGGAAAACAACACAACCCTACTCTTGGATACAGATAAGTCTAAACCATTCGAATTTAGCCATGATTTTAAAAATGAAAGGGAAGATGTTAGAGCTTGGCAATTATTTTCAATAGATTTTCCCGATTTGTATATAAGAAGATCGTCTGCATATTGTAGTACGTTTGCTGATGCCTGCAATGATGTTTCTAAATCATATGTGTAGATGTTATAGAGCAAAGGACTGAGCACAGAACCCTGTGGTAATCCTTTCCACACAGTCCGGGATAGTTTGACATCTTCGATAAATAAATTAATGTATCTTTCACTGAGCATATTGATAATAAAGTTTGACAGAATCGGTGGTACATCTAAGCAAAGCAATTTTCCCCTAAGAACCGATATAAGAACATTGTCATAAGCTGAGCTTATATCTAAGAAAGTAGCTACTATCGACTCGTTGTTCGACTAGTCTTATGTCCGTAGTGAATATACCTAAGCTATCCATTGTGCTTCTACTTTTCCTAAAACCGAATTGTGACGTTGCTAATAGATTTTTACTCTCTAAAAACCATTCTAAACGGATTTTAACTAGGTGTTCTGCTGTTTTCATTAAAACAGAAGAAAGGACAATAGGTCTGTAAGAAGAAGGATCATCGGCTGATTTATTGTCTTTTAAAATAGGGATAATAGATTGAGTGATCCAAGACTTGGGAATGCACCCAGAAATCATAATAGAATTTATAATATTTAAGTACAGCATCAGCACACGGTCCGAAAGGTTTTTCAAAAAAGAATATGGAATCCCATCTTCTCCTGGAGTAGAGTCTTTTACGTTATTGAGTACACCTTTAAGTTCAATCAAAGAGAAAGGAGCGTTTAATCCAGTTTGGTCATCGGAAATGCAAGCAGGAATAGATAATGGAGGAAATCCCTGTTCCGGTACAGAAGGGGGTGCAAGATGATCCATGAACTGATCAGCTAGGGTTAGCGGTAATTTAGAAGAGGGAGAATTATTATATGCAGATCTAAATCTACGAATATTACGCCAGACCTCTGACGGGCTGACGTCTGGGCTAATGGAGGCACAAAATGATTGCCAACCATCATATCTCTTTTTCTTAAACATTTTTTTAGCACTTCGGGCAGATTCTAAATATAACTCGAAATCTCCTCACAGTAATTTTTTCAGCCTGTTTTCTTGTTTTTATTGCAGCTGTACATTCATGATCCCACCAGGGAGGCGAAGGAATTTGCGATCGGAACTTAGTTTTAGTGCAAAAAGATTCATCGGCAGCTTCAATCAAAACCTGAGAAAGAATTTCGGCAGAGATCTGATCACCTTCTTGAGAATAAGTACTAGTTTTCTGCACTACTCGTTGGTTGAATAATTCCCAATCAGCGTTGTTTAATCTGTATTTAAAACGAGGAGAGCGAGTGGTTTTGGTAGGTTTGTGTGAAGGAAAAGTAATTACAAGTGGAAAGTGGTCACTACCATACGAAGATGCAAGAGGGTGCCAGTCTAAAGTTGAAGCTAAATCAGGTGAACATAAAGATAGATCAGGCGCACTTGCACCTTCACTTGGACCAGTAACACGGGTTGGCAGCCCAGTGTTTAAAATACAGATACAATGAGAATCTATAATATCTAATAATTGATCTCCATAATAGTTGGAAGAAGTGCTTCCCCAGGATTGATGTTGGCAATTAAAATCACCTAGGACTAAGAATGGCCTTGGAAGGATGGAGAACAGTTGATTAAGATGAGAAAAAATATTTACATTAGGACGAGAAAAATAAATAGACACTATACAAATTTTATTTACAATAGCAGCAATGACTGATAAGTCATCTCCGAATGAGGGAAGTGGAAATAAGGAATAGGGGAGATTATTTTTAATGACTATGGCAACACCGCCATAGCCGTCAGGTCTGTCCTGTCGGAGAATAACATAACCTGGAATTCGAAAAGTCAATTCCGGTCGAAGCCATGTTTCCGACAGAGTTGAGACAAATGGTTCAAATTTATTATGCAAATGGATTAAATCATTTTTATTGCAGATAGCGCTTCTGCAATTCCACTGGATTATTTGTTCGCGTTTGTGACGCATAAGAGGATTTTAATTGAGTTAAGGAAGCAATCGTTTGGCGGCGTTGTTCGGTTACGTTGTTGTCAGAGTTAGAATTGGATATCAGTTCAGTCAAAAGTTGGATTATATCAGAGATTATGTCATTATTGTTAACGTTACTGTTTATTAAAGCGACCCCGTTAGAAGGAGCTGGAGCGTCGTAGTCCTTTATCAAATTGAAGTGTTCTGTTTTGTTATACCCCAGTCGTTTTAGTTTGGGGGATGTTGGTTTAGCAAATATTGTTTTCTTATAAGATCTACTATACGACGGAATCGAGGGAGAGGAAGGCGATACATGTGGGACAGGAGAATTAGGAGTATTCTGGATGTTTGAAAACTTAACTATATCAGCAAAAGATTTTGAAACTGGATCATACACTTTATTTGCTTCTGCGTAAGATACACATCTCTGAGCCATATACAATTTAATTTTAGTCTGCCGTTCATATTCTGGACACTTTCTGTTTGTAGCAAAGTGTAGACCAGAACATAGACAGCAAGACGCGGCATCATCTTGTATGTTGCATGTGTCCCCAGTATGGCCTTGGCCACACTTGTAACAGCGGGGCCGAGAGTTACAATTAGACTTAGTATGACCAAATCGGCAACAAGAATAGCACTGAATAGTGGGGTATGCGTAAAGTTCTACGGGCAGAGCATTGTAGCAGACAAATACATGTTTAGGAAGGGTTTGACCATCGAAAGTTATTACAATAGTCTGTGATGGCTTCCACTCAGGAGGGCTGCTGTTACGTAGTTTATAATTTAGTCGTCTAATTTTTATAATTCCTCCGCTGCCTACAGGCAGAGAG